GAGAGATATCAGTATTTTGGTTTTTTTAGTTAAGAACTGTCCTAATTTCTTGAAAATTTTAATCAAATTGGTTTGATCATTATGTGGATATACATACTATTTGCTAGCTTTGAATTTCATTAGTCATATGTAAGTTGCCTTTTTCACCTAAAATTTTTTGACAGATTTTTGTGTCTTTTCTTGTATCTGTTGTAGATCTGTCAAGATGTATTCTGGTCAGAACAAGATCCACAAGGATAAGGGTGTGGAACCAACAGAGTTTGAAGAGCAAGTTACTCAGGTTATTGTCGCTACTGTCTTTTTGTCTTCGACCTACGAGTGTTACTCATTTTGTTTTTTTTGTTGCTCATCGATTAGAATGTTGATTTCTTTTTTACTTACAGGCTCTTTTTGACTTGGAGAACACCAACCAGGAGTTGAAAAGCGAGTTGAAAGATCTCTACATTAACCAAGCAGTGTATGTACTTGTTTTCTCCGTTGGAATGATTTTAATTTTGGTTTCCATACTAATTGTCCGTTTATTTCTTTGTACAGTCATATGGATATTTCTAGCAACCGCAAAGCTGTTGTCATCTACGTTCCATTCAGACTGAGGAAAGCTTTCCGCAAGATTCATCTCCGCCTTGTCAGAGAGCTTGAGAAGAAGTTCAGTGGAAAAGATGTTATCTTTGTTGCTACCAGAAGGATCATGCGTCCCCCTAAGAAAGGCTCTGCTGTTCAGAGACCACGCAACAGAACTCTTACTTCTGTCCATGAAGCCATGCTAGAGGATGTCGCTTACCCTGCTGAGATTGTAGGAAAGCGAACCAGATACCGTCTTGATGGCACCAAGATCACGAAGGTAAAACGTTTACTAATTCATTAATCTTCGTCCTGTGCTTTAAACTGTTCTATAACATGTCTCGTTCCTTTTAACTTTGGGCAGGTCTATTTGGACACTAAGCAGAAGAACGACACTGAGTACAAGCTTGAGACAATGATGGGTGTGTACAGGAAACTTACAGGGAGAGATGTAGTTTTCGAGTACCCAGTCATAGAAGCTTGAAGAGACGAATGTTTGTTTTATTCTTTTTTGTCGGATAGAGAGAGCTTTTGATTCTGTTTGGGAGTATAACTCTTTGAAAAGGATTTTCTTGTTTCATCAACTTCTTAATCTTCTTCAAAGTTCTGTGATTTCTGTCTAACAACACCCTTCTTTTTTCCTACTAGCATTTCATAGTTTCAGAAACAAAATTTCAAAAAATTTCCACATTGAGTTTGTTATTTCAGAGAACAAAAGTGATTTGACACTTCGATTATTCAAATTCATACAATAACTGAAAGAAAAACAAACATGTGTTGTGTACTGTGTGTAGTTTGGCTATAGAGGATACAAAAACCTACTGTTGATTCCTGCTCTGTACAACTTCAAGTCAGATGATGACCTCAAGTGAATCTCGGTATCTGCAGGCACAAATAAAACATCTCCCATTGAAATCCCATCTGCTGATGCTTCTGTAGACATTCTTCCTTCACCTTGGAGTACAAGCAGAAGAGAAGGGCCTGGAACAGAGGGAAACACTGTCGAGGCAGCACTGGGAAGATCACACAGATCAACTTCAAACTCTTCGAAAGGCGGGAGGTATCTTGTGATGTATGGTCGAATCCTTGATCCCTTTAGGATTTCCGGATATCCCTGAAACTCAGAAATAAGACCTCAGTAACCAATCTGTGAACTTTCTTTGTGCGTCTTGAAATATACTTTTGAGTTGGGTTGAAAGCTTTACCAGTTTATATGAGAGCATGGAACAAAGTGTTTGAATATCCAACGGCTTGGAAGTGAGGCCAGCTCGTACTACATTGTCTGAAGTCGCCATGACCTCAAGGCATTCACCGAATAAGTATGCGTGGGGCTCGTTAGCACCGAGGTACAAGGCTTCGCCAGGATTGAGCTTCACATAGTTGAAGAAGAATGCAGATATGACTCCAATATCATTTGGATATTGCTTCTCTAGCTTCAAAACCAGCCTTTCCTTGTCTGTCAGTTGACGTTCCTGCATATATTGAGAAGGTTTCAGCAGTGGCATTCACAAGGCAATTAAGAGAAGGAATCATCAGAAAAAACAATCGAGCAAAGTAGACGGGGTAACAGGGAAGTTAGATGGCTGACCTGACTATCCATATGCAGACGGCGTTTTAGTTTGGATACTATTTTCTTTGTTGTATCGGGATCTGCAGACATTAACAGGGTGAAGATTGTTCGGACAACAGATTTCACTTTTTCCTCATCATGTTCACTGATGCAGAAAACTTGGTTTGCTTCTTCACTCCCAACAAGTTCCTCAATCTCCGGAATAGCTTGAATGACACTCTTAAGCTCCTGCAACATTATTACAAGAAGAAACTTAAATCCTTCAATTCTGAAAGATAAGCTAACAATCCTAAAGTTTTGAAAACTGAATAACATGTAGCAGAGATTTCATAGAGCTGCTCTCCAAAATTAAGTTGTTTCCAAAGTTTTGGTAATGTGTTCATATATGAAATATATCCAGAGGAAAAAAATAGGAAAGAACGAATCATGTGCAACAACATGAACCAACAGAAATACTTGTTCAGCGTATCCAATCTCAAACCTTAGACTCAAAGTTTAGAGCAATAGAGGAGACACTACAGCCATCAACTCATCATGGAATTTAGAGTAATAGACCAAACAACATGTGTTACACCTGTCGAAATTGGGAAACTAAGTGGGCCATTGCATAGGTTCATCTCTTATGTACAGAAAACAAAATAATTAAGAAATGATTAAGTACAGTGATAACATAGCAATGTGATACCTGAAGAGGTATAAAGCCACACAGAGCCTCGAATTGAGTATAGGCCAAAGCCATCTCTGGTTTGTGATTGTCATCTTTATAAAGATTAGGATGAGCTTTGTGCATTTTCTTTGCTAATTTCTTGTCCGGATGTGCTTGAATCGACAAGGGCCTTGCCACGGACAACACCTACCAACATTTTATATAATATAAATCACATTTCTGCAACTTCCAACATAAAAGAACTAACAGTGCATATTCAACTCCATATCAGACGAAATGAGCAAAATCAATTTAGAAAATCATAAAATGCAGAGACTTTGTGGGAAATTGACCAATGTGGCAATGTCTATACCTTGAACAGAAATGGGAGATCGCAACCCCATTTCTCCAAAACCCTATCTCCAAGAGATTTAGGGTTTTCGGTGATCCACGATCTAAGGGTCACGCCATTGCTTCCATCAGCATCCTCCAAGTAACTCGGACCGGACTCGTGAGTCCCCATCCAAAGCTCGGCGTAAGGTCGTGTAGGATCGATCTGGTCATCCGAGTTAGCCGCATAAACCCTGTAAACGAGTGAATCCGATCCAATTTTGCCCCAATCGTAATCCTTAACAGAGCATCTCAATCGACGAAGCCGTCGTCGATCTGCTTCACAACCGCCATTAGCCTTAACGACAGTAGCGATCTCCATTACACAAAAACTCACGATTACGAATCTAAATCCGTGTCTCGGAGGGAAATAAATATCTCAAGTAGAATAAGCTATGCGCCCATGTCAATTGGAAGACTCAAAGCTTTTCTCTTTACCCCGAATCGTGGAAATTTTTATGTCTTTATAAACAGAGGAAGGTATGATTGCAATATCAAAAGTGTGGGGTTCAAAAGTATGAATAAAATAGAAATATGGGGTTGAGATGTTTAATTTAAGAAAGTGCAAAAGTGACAGATGTTTAAAGAAATCACGTGTTTTGCCGACGGTATTAACGTCCGTCCGTTGGTTGTGGGCCGTTTGCTAGCTGTCCACGTGGACTCTAACGATGACTCACTCTCACGTCTTAAAATTATTTTGTAGTTTTATTCAAAATAAACCGACAAAATGTACCAAAATAAAATGTTCAAAACGTTTTCATTTGTTTTACGATAATTCCAAATTTACTCTTTTATGATTTTAACAAATAGAACAGATCTAATATTGACAAAGGAGAAAATAAATAGCCGATGCGTTGAGTAGAATAAAAAGTTTGTTAGTTTTTCTATTCAGACCAATAAATTCTTCATTTTTCTGTTGTAGTAAACCTATATTGGTCCAGTTGGTAAAGGACTCACGGCTGTGAGTTTCCTCTCCTGGGTTCGATTCGGGTTGGCCACCTAGCCGCTCTATTAACGATAGGGTAAAGCGTACCCGGATGCAAGGCCTCGTGAATTAGTCTTTGGGCTTAGAAAGCCTTTTGGATCCCACGGTTATCAAAAAAAAAAAACATTAACTAAATAACAGAATTGGAATGTTCAAATCATTTAGATTTTATTTAAAAAAAATTTGAATTGCGTGATAAAATAATTTAAATTTATTCATATTATTTAAATTAAAAAGATATAAAATATTAAATTTATCAATCAGTTTAATAATCTTAATTTGTATTTTAAAATACAGTTTATGGTTTGGGTTTTACATTCTGGGCCTTATGTTATTAGCCCATTAAAATATTATGGGTCCAACGCCGTTTGATTCGTTCTGACGGCGCGTGACTGTCGTCTCGTCCCACGTGCGGGCACGTCATCTTATATACTACAAGTACAACTGTACGAGAGGACCAACAAGCAGCATCTTTTCTATCTCCCGTCGGAATCTAAAATCAACTCATACTTCTTTCTCTTATTTTGTCAACTCCCCCTTAACTTTTAGCTTTTTACAAATTTCACCCCTAAATAATTTTATGACACACCCATACCCATCTTTTCTTCTACAATCTCCCACAGAATCACATACTTACTCATACGCACAATGATCTTCTCTTTGTCATACTCTCTGCTAAACTCTCAAAAATTTGATGAGAGACAATTCATGAATTCATTGTTGTTTTTTATTTATTTTTTTTGTCGACAAAAATTTATGATTGATTCGAATAGTAAAAAAGTCTAGAAACATGCCAAAGAGTCTGTTGTCAAAATGTGTTTTGGTACTATTATGTTGAATATTTCCCACCTTTCATTCTTCATTCATAAACTTGGTGACGTGGGTTTATTTCCAATATACAAGTATAAGGTTCAATTTGTAAATATAACAAAATATTGGGAAAAAACAAAACAGTGGGCCAAGAATTACAAAATTACCATGAACATGAGAGAGTGAGAGAAGATCAACCAATCAATCATAAATCTATGTGTGTACCACATGCATTACTACTGTTGACTCGTTCCGATTTAGTGAAAAAGGGTAAAGTATAAATCAAGCCGGCGAATCTTCTTTCGTTTTCCGGCACCGATCGCGGTGGATCTCCGATTTAAATGGCGGCGGACAATGCGTATCTGATGCAGTTTGTCGACGAAACCTCCTTTTACAACCGAATCGTTTTGAGTCATCTTTTGCCGGCGAATCTGTGGGAACCCTTACCTCATTTTCTCCAGACATGGCTCCGAAATTACCTCGCCGGAACCCTACTCTACTTCATCTCCGGCTTCCTCTGGTGCTTCTACATCTATTACCTCAAAATCAACGTTTACCTTCCCAAAGGTCTCGACTTTCAATTATGTTTTCACTAATGCTTAAGAGTTTGATATGTTATCGATTTCCAATTTAAGGAAAGGGGTTTCTTTGTGTACTGTACTGTAATTTGGATGTGATGTTGGATAAAATTTGATGTGGATGGTTCATGTTGCATTTATTGATTATTTATGAGGTAAGCAAGCATGATTACAAAATTCTCCATCTAAGGGATTGATTGAACAGTCGGTTGCTGATATAAATAAGTTCTTGTGCAACCAATGAAAAGTCATAGATCTTTGAAGTTGAATTTTCCACTGTATGTATACTTGGCATTTAACTCAACTTAAATTGGTAGTGATTGTCTACGTTCAATCTTGACTTCATTCGATATTTAAAACACATTCTTTTCTGCTTCTCTGAAACTTTGCCTGGAAAAGGATATATCATATTTGAAATCTTTTTTTGATCTGTTTTGCTTCAGATGCCATTCCTACAATAAAGGCTATGCGTTTGCAAATGTTTGTGGCAATGAAGGCTATGCCTTGGTATACTCTTCTTCCAACTGTCTCCGAGAGTATGATTGAACGCGGTTGGACCAAATGTTTCGCCAGCATAGGCGAATTCGGCTGGATCCTCTATTTTGTTTACATCGCCATCTATCTTGTTTTCGTTGAGTTTGGTATTTATTGGATGCACAGAGAGCTTCATGACATTAAGCCTCTCTATAAGTATCTCCATGCGACCCATCATATCTACAACAAGCAAAATACACTCTCTCCATTTGCCGGTAAGTGTTTTCAGTTTGTAATTGTTTAGTCATGTAAAAGATTGGTAGCACTCAATTTCTCACCGGAAAAGACTTTGTCAGCAGCTGCTTATAATCCAAATCACATTTTGCATTCCTTATCCATAAGTAACCAGAAAGGCTATAATTATATAGATATCAGCTGCATTACTGTACATATGTCAGAGACTTATGCATTAACCATAGTTTAGTTCTTTGTTTCTCTTCTGGTCTCGGACTTGATTGGAAACCACGAGAAGTTCTTTTTATCTACTTGCCTGGAGTGTATCTTGGTTATCCAAGAATGTTGCATCTAATATGACTTCCTTACGTTTTGGTTTACAGGGCTTGCATTTCACCCAGTTGACGGGATACTTCAGGCTGTACCGCATGTGATAGCGCTGTTTATAGTGCCAATTCATTTCACAACCCATATAGGTCTTTTGTTCATGGAAGCGATATGGACAGCGAACATCCATGACTGCATCCACGGCAACATCTGGCCTGTAATGGGTGCAGGATACCATACGATACACCACACAACATACAAGCATAACTATGGTCATTATACCATATGGATGGATTGGATGTTCGGCTCCCTTAAGGATCCTCTTTTAGAAGAAGATGGCAACAAAGATAGCTCCAAGAAAGCTGAGTGAGAATGCCCACTTGTTTTTTTTTTTTATATTGCCGTCTTTTGTTCTGCTTGCTTGTTGTGGTCCTTTCTTGTTCGTTTTCTTCTTCATGTGTCTCTCACAACCTTTCCAATTAGTTTGTTACAAACATTTGCTGTGTAGTTTAAAACATGTAAATGTTTGATTTTTGCAAGACTCCATTTTTGTTAAGGTAAACCTTGAAACAAAGATTTTGACTTTTCTGTCAATCTTGCGCCACCAGTTGTGTGGATTTGTGGGGGCATTGCGAATAATATATCTTCGTCAAATATCAAAATTCGGCCTGGCCCAATATATAGCTGGGCCAGTAGACCCGCTATTGATGAGTAACTTGTCCTTTTCTTGTTGAACAAGTCAACAAGCAAAACACACTCTCTCCATTTGCCGGTATGTCAAGCTATGTTCTCAATCTAACTTCAAGAATGTTGTATCAATAGTGACTTCTTTACTTAAAACGTTTTTTCGGTTTTCCAGGGCTCACATTCCATCCGCTGGGCGGGATACTTCAGGCTGTACCGCATATGATAGAGCTGTGTATAGTGCTGATTCATCTCATAACACATCTGAGTCTTTAGTTTTTTGGAAGGGATATGGACAGCAAGCATCCGTGGTAAAATTTGGCCTATAATGGTGCAGGATACCATACACCATACGACATACAAGCATAACTATGGTCATTATACCATATGGATGGATTGGATGTTTGGCTCCCTTAGGGCTCTTTTAGCAGAAGAAGAAAGAACAGTGAGAATATTCCATGCTCACATTGTTCTCCTGACTCTTAACATTTTCTAATCACTTTGTTATTCCATGCTCACATTGTTCTCCTGACTCTTAACCTTTTCTAATCACTTTGTTGGAATTAAGTAAAAAAGCAAATCATTTTAATACTGTAAGTTTGTTTTATCTGAAAAGGTTGTAGCTATAAATCACTCTCTCTACCACAACCATTTTCAGTAACGCTTAAGCACAGTTTAACTTTTCTCGGCGGTTTCATGGCGGCGACTAGTGCAGATTATAATCAGTTCGTCAATGAGACCTCTTTTTACAACCGTATGGTTCTGAGTCACCTTTTGCCGGCGAGTCTATGGGAACCTTTACCACATTTCCTTCAGACATGGCTCAGGAACTACCTCGCCGTAAACATACTCTAATTCACCTCCGGCTTCCTCTGGTGCTTCTACATCTATTACCTTAAACCCAACGTTTACGTCCCCAAAGGTGCTTTTCTTGTTTTTCTTTCAATTTACGATATTCTGTTTTTTAAAAGCACGTAAATTTAGTTATTTCTCAACTTTGAATCTATTCTAACGATTTGGCTAATTTACATTTTTAAGTTGAATTTTTGATCTCTGGATGAGGTTTGAACTCAAAATGTACGTTGAAATTGAAAAATTGTGCTTTCAAGTTCTGTTTCTTGTGGGGTTTCTTCTATTTTGTGTTCAGATTCTATCCCTACAAGAAAGGCAATGATTCTGCAAATATCTGTGGCAATGAAGGCTATGCCTTAGCACAGTCTTCTTCCAGCTGTATCTGAGTATATGATCGAGCATGGTTGGACCCAATGTTACTCTACAATTGACCATTTCAACTGGTTCCACTGTATCCTCTACATAACTCTCTATCTTGCTTTAGTTGAGTTTGGGGTTTATTGGATTCACAAAGAGCTTCATGACAATAAATTTCTCTATAAGCATCTCCATGCGACCCGTCACATCTACAACAAGCAAAACACAATCTCTCCATTTGCTGGTATGTCAAGTTATGTTCTCAATCTATATTTAAGATTATGCTGAGTATCAATAGTGACTTGTTTACTTAAAACGTTTTTTCGGTTTTCCAGGGTTCGCATTCCATCCGTTGGACGGGATAATTCAGTCTTTACCGCATGTGATAGCGCTGTTTATAGTGCCGATTCATCTCATAACACATCTGTGCCTTTTGTCTTCGGAAGGGATATGGACAGCAAACATCCATGACTGCATCCACGGCAACATCTGGCCAGTAATGGGTGCAGGATACCATACGATACACCACACCACATACAAGCATAACTATGGCCACAAAACCATATTGATGGATTGGATGTTTGGCTCTCTTAAGGCTTCTTTAGCAGAAGAAGACAGTTTCAAGGAGAAAGCAAAGTGAGAATGTTCAATGCTCAGTTGCTCACATCACATGTCTCTTCTTCATATGTTGTTCTTCTCGTGACTCATCTTAAACCTTTGTAATCACCTTGTTGGAAATAAATAAATATATGTTGGAATCACTCTTAAACCTCTTTCTTGTTCAACAAGTCACCTGGGTGTGATCATATCGCATACTTGAGAGTTGAGGCTAATGATAGTAAAACGCAATTTAACCCGCTTAAAGTTTAATCGTATTCAAAGGATTGGCCACATAGACTTGAAATAATCCATCACAAACCCTCCATACCAAAAATTCCTTAAAAAATAGCAAATCATTTAAATATTGTAAGTTTGCTTCATTTAAATATTGTAAGTTTGCTTCATTCGAAATTTTAGCTACAGATCTCAAAGCTCCTCCTGTTGGCTATCTCTCTCTCTCTCTCTCTCTCTATAAGCACAGTTTGACTTTTCTCGGCGGTTTCATGCATGGCGGCGACTAGTGCAGATTATAATCAGTTCGTCAGTGAGACCTCTTTTTACAACCGAATGGTTCTGAGTCACCTTTTGCCGGCGAATCTATGGGAACCTTTACCACATTTCCTTCAGACATGGCTCCGGAACTACCTCGCCGGAAACATACTCTACTTCATCTCCGGCTTTCTTTGGTGCTTCTACATCTATTACCTTAAACTCAACGTTTACGTCCCAAAAGGTTACTTTTTTCAATTTCGATGTTCTGTTTTTAAGCCTTCTTTTGTTTATTCCTTCGATTGTATCGCCTGGTGGTTTCTGTTATACGTTTCAATTTGACGAACGTTACCCTCTCTTATTTTTTTCCCTTACAGTTACTTTCAGTTCTTGTCTTCTACTTCTCATTTAATTAGTCTTGAAGTTTAATAATCCAAGCAAGTAAATTTAGTTATTTCTTAACTTTGAATCTAACTTACATTTTTTTAAGTTGAATTTTCGATATCTCGATAAAAGTTGAGCTCAAATCTGATTATGTTAGATACTTCATGAATCATGAGGTACTGAACATTTTAATGAAAGATTGTTGTGCTCAATTGTGGTTAGTAGAAGTTTTAACCCATAGGAACATAAGTGTTTTATTCATGTTAAGCTAATATTCAGTACCTTGAAATTGAATAATTGGGGTTCTTAGTTCTGATTCTGGTGGGATTTCATCTATTTTGTGTTCAGATTCCATTCCTACAAGAAAGGCTATGCTTTTGCAAATATACATGGCAATGAAGGCTATGCCTTGGTACACTCTTCTTCCAGCTGTCTCTGAGTACATGATCGAGCATGGTTGGACCAAATGTTACTCTACACTTGACCATTTCAACTGGTTCGTCTGTTTGCTCTACATAGCTCTCTATCTTGTTTTGGTTGAGTTTATGATTTATTGGGTTCACAAAGAGCTTCATGACTTTAATTTTCTCTATAAGCATCTCCATGCGACCCACCATATGTACAACAAACAAAACACACTCTCCCCATTTGCCGGTATGTCAAGTTATGTTCTCAATCTAAATTCAAGAATGTTGTATCAATGCTGACTCCTTCACTTAACGTATTTCGGCTTTTCTAGGGCTCGCATTTCACCCGTTGGACGGGATACTTCAGGCTGTACCGCACGTGATAGCGCCAGTGCCGGTCCAAACATTTTAAGTGCCCTAAGCGAAAAAAATAAAAAATTATTTTTGATTTAAGTGTTCTAAGCGAAAAATATATTTTCGAGTTTGACTATTAATTATGAGATATTAGCAGTATAAATAAACCACTAAGCTACATATTTAATCACTATAAACTTAATTTAGATGATATGTATTAGTGTTTTCCTGGATTATACAAATAATTATAACGATTTATATTGAAGCTACCATTGTTTACACACTAGATAAATTAATTCATACACATATTTAAACAAAAATAAATGATGGACCTATATGACCACTTTTATATATGCATGACTGAAACTCAAAAACAGAAAATGACAAAAACATTTACATTTTTTTTTTTTTTTTTTTGGACAAATTACATTAAAAAGTAATAAACAAGAACAGATAATGAGATGAAAGACCTATATTAATATAATGTAATCAAGTCACGTGTGAACATTTTCTAATATTCAAGCCAGGGCCGTAAGCGGTCGCTTATGTTGCGTACCCTCAAGGCCGGCACTGGATAGCGCTGTTTATAGTGCCGATTCATCATATAACACATTTGAGTCTTTTGTTTTTTGAAGGGATATGGACAGCAAGCATCCATGATTGCATCCATGGTAACATTTGGCCTATAATGGGAGCAGGATACCATACCATACACCATACGACATACAAGCATAACTATGGTCATTATACCATATGGATGGATTGGATGTTTGGCTCTCTTAGGGTTCCTTTAGCAGAAGAAGACAGTTTCAAGGAGAAAGCAAAGTGAGAATGTTCAATGCTCACATTTCTCTTCTTAATATGTTGTTCTTCTCGTGACTCTTAAAACATTTCTTATCACTTTGTTGGAATTCAAAACATGACTGCATAATTTGATGCAAAGTTCCTGACTTCTAGTTTTAAAATCTCTAATGATTATTAACCTTGTATAACTGCAGGATGAAGTTTCATATTTGGTTTTTATAGATTTAAAATCTGAAGGGTTTAATAGGTCAGATGCGGTGTCAATTTAACCACATTTTTTTCTAACCATCACCCAAAAAACTAGCCAAAGTTTTACCACAGTAATCTTTGAATATTCCAAAATAGTAAAATAATTATACTTATATGGTTGGTGAGGTTGCTCAAGATATGATGACATGTAAGAGGCAAAGTTTCCTTTTTTGACGGTTAAGAATTTGAAAATCAACAAAAACAAACAAAAAAAAGGATCAAAATAACAATCAAAGTTTGAAAACATAACAAAATTAAGAAAATTAAAGACCTAAAAAATTGCATAATATCACCCAAACAAGTTTTTCTCTAGTATTTATCACCATCGCATCGATACGCGTTACCTCTCTCTCTATCATCCGCCATGAAAGTATAATACACATTTTCGTTAACCCTCTTTTTTTTTTTTTTGTTTGCGAAGTATTCATAAGGCGATTCGATCAAAGTCAGGGATATTTCTTCATCTAGCTACATAAAAAGTTTCCTTTTTGCCTTTTATCTCACACGAGGAAATCGACTCGAGCCTGGTAAAAAATCTTCTTTTGCATATCCATGGGGGCATAAAGGTCGTTACTTTTTACATGGGTTTTTTGTAGATATATCAAAGCATTTATATTGGCCACTCCCACTTGTTGTGGTGATTAGATTGTCCCTAGAGTCACTGTTTTGGTCTACTTATCGCTCTTTCAATTACTGTAATGTTGAATTGGGGTTTCATCTACTAAATAAGATGAAGTTTCTTGTCTCTTTCTGTCTCCCTATTTCTTAATTGCTCCTCTTCAGCTAACTTTGGGGCTTTTAAGTGATACAATGGCTCGCTTCAGTTTTCCTTGTTTTCCAAATTTTGGGGGTTTTAATCAGGTTTGTTGATTCTTGTCAATGATTTTGGAAAACATTTAAATTTTGTGGGTTTTACTTGAATCTCTACTTTAGATTTGATGTGTTCCTACAAGGTTGTGTTTGGTTTTATCCAGTTCCAAGTAATTACGTGAAGTTTGCCTTTTTTTGGATCTCATTGTAGATGGTTAGGTCTGCAATAGTCTCAATTAAACCTTCTTGTTTGCATATTATCAGTTCAGTGACTCTTGGTTCCAGATTCGTTTTGGTGGTCATAATCTAGTTATTCATGGTTTGGTTCTAAGCGAGTAAGAATCTCTTTCAAATCTTCGATGTTCTTCTCTCTTGTGGTTGTGTGGTTTGGGTTCTAAGGTGATATCTTTGGGTTTGAATCTTATAAACTTTTTGTTTCCAGCTTGATTGATTGAGCAGGGGAATAGTTATTATATTAGGTGGTTGATATAGAAGAAAGGGCTTTTCAGATCTTAACTAAACCAAATACATAGATTTAGCTTACCAATGTTTGACCTAACCCCATCTCACCGGAATATAGGATTTTATATGATCATGAAACAGAAAATGAGCGGGAATTGTAGAATCTATAGTTTGTTAGAATCATTCTCTGTGGGCTTGTTTAGTTGCATCCATACGTTATTAGATTGGCTTGATTTAAGACAAATATCATGTCTTTAGCATTACATGGAGCCGCAGTTCTATACCAAACCAATCAAAACTTGTGCTATTCAATCTAAATTGCCTCTTCAATCAAGTCTTCCCCCATAAGCATGTTCAATCGAGTAAAAGTGCATGTGCTTAGGACATTTTAGGACTGGTTCTTTCTTCCTTAATCTTGATTCTTTGACTATTATGTGGTGGTATTCTTCGTCTTTCCCTATTAAACTTATTGACTGTAAGAGAGTGTGATTTCATCTTAGGCTGTGACAAATCGGGGGCCTGAGATTTCAGAAACTGCTGATAATTGGGTCTCACCATCTGACATTCCACTCATAGAACCTAATAGTAAAGAGGTACCCTTAATTGTTTTTGTCTTTTCGCCAACTATATCTTGGCGAGTCTAGTCTATATCAAAACTCTAATTGGATCTCCCCATTAGACATCAAGTTTCCATATATTTCTTGTTTCCACATCATTTTGGTCGTTATTGATGAGTTAAATTTATGATAGCACTGTGATGCATCAGGTATATTTTTGTAGAGAACTCAATATTATACTACGAATAACTTTTCTAATGAGTCCATGTAACTATTTTGACCCACAACAATGGTCTCTTGCCGATTCTTTGCTTTTCACACACTACAAGTACTTTCTTGCTTAGATTGTTGGCTTTTCCATCATTGTGGCCACACCACATCGAAATGTAAAGATAGAAAGGAAAATTATTTGATCATGTGTATTTTATGTCTATAAGCAGCACAGGATGAGAGAGGCACAGCTAGGCGGTCACACTGTGAGGTCCCATGGAATGACTGTTGCAAGGACTCACATGCATGATTGGATCATTCTCGTGTTACTTATTATTCTTGAGTGCGTACTCCTTATAATCCACCCGTTTTATCGCTTTGTTGGGAAAGATATGATGACTGATCTCAGTTACCCGTTAAAGAGTAACACCGTACCAATTTGGTCTGTCCCGGTAAGCTTCCATTAAGTCAACTTCTAAGTTCTAACATTGGCCTCAGTCGTTTTTCACAATATAAATAACATTTCTTTTCTTCGGAATGACAGGTGTATGCGATGCTGTTGCCTTTGGTAATTTTCATCTTTATCTACTTCCGTCGAAGAGATGTTTATGATCTTCATCACGCGGTGCTAGGTCAGAATATCTGAAGGAGAGTACTATTTGCTTCAATATGGCCTCTTTCGCATATATAATCAACATTAAAGTTGGCCTTTCTCTATGTGCAGGTCTCTTATACTCTGTTCTGGTGACAGCAGTACTTACCGATGCAATAAAGAATGCAGTTGGTCGACCACGTCCTGACTTCTTCTGGCGTTGTTTTCCAGATGGCAAAGCTGTAAATATTTCAATGAGTTTTACTTATTTCGTTTTAAACCTTGTTCTGTCTCTTGAATCTTGATTTTGCATCTCAGCTTTATGATAGCCTTGGAGATGTTATATGCCATGGTGATAAAAGCGTCATAAGGGAAGGGCACAAAAGCTTCCCAAGCGGACACACCTCTTGTAAGACCAAGTTACTGGTTTATAATTCAGAACTAGAAAGATGCAAAAGAGTAAACTGTGGGGTTGAATTGTTTTTGCAGGGTCTTTTGCGGGTCTGGGATTTCTTTCGCTTTACTTATCGGGAAAGATTCAAGCATTTGATGGTAAAGGCCACGTTGCAAAGCTATGCATAGTCATACTCCCTTTGCTATTTGCAGCTCTTGTGGGTATTTCCCGTGTTGATGACTATTGGCATCATTGGCAAGACGTCTTTGCAGGAGGCTTGCTAGGTTTGTTTTCTCTCTCTACTCAAAAAGGTCAAAATATTTTCCCTTTAAACATCATTCAAAATTTATACCATTGTCTGAAATCGCAGGTCTTGTGATCTGTTATCTCCAATTTTTCCCGCCACCATATCACACCGAAGGTGAAAACGAACTGCGGATTCCATTTACGGTTTGCTGAAAAGAAGTATCTTTTATATGAATTGATCGACAAGGGGTTTGATATTTTTTTAGGTTGGGGACCATATGCTTACTTCCAAGTGTTGGAGGCGGCGAGAGCGCAAGGAACCGCGAATGGAGCAGTGCAGCAGCCACCCCAAGTTGATAACGGTGAAGAAGAAGACGGTGGGTTTATGGGTTTACATTTGGTGGATAATCCGACTGTGAGGAGAGAAGAAGATGTAGAAACTGGTAGAGGCTGAGATGAAGAAACTTTGAAGCTGGTTTGGTTACTTCTTAGGACACTTTCTCTTGTTCTTCTTGATTCTTTGTTTGACTACTTTAGTAGATTTCTATAAGATAACTTAGTAACAACTACAATCGTTTGGTTTTGGTTTTGGTTTTGGTTTAAATGGATGACCGGTATTTATGGGTCCGGTATTGATATCCGTTAAAGTTTATGCTTTTTAAGTTTTAACTAGTCAACTGGATAAATGTAGCTTTATTATTTTTTCAATATTTTAAGAATTGAAATTGGATTTGAACTTACTCATAGAAAACTTAAACACAAGAAAATTAATATCTAAACTATCCTTGTGTTATTCTAAAACAAAGATTACATCTTTTACATCGATAATCAATGTGTATATTCGTATTCAAATAGTGTGAACTTTTTTGTGTGCGTTATTTATTTATTCATACACTTGCGGACTTTACCTTACACAAAATTGTGAAATTTATTTATTGTTTACTACGAGTTTGTACTTACTGTTGTTGTTGGGTCACAATCAATACACGAAGAAATATATATTTTTTATTAACTGCAAAACACAAAAGGATTTTAAAAAAATATTATTTTCTATTTGTTTCTGTATGGGTGTTGAATACTTCCAAATTCCAACTCTCTAATTAAGTACTACATTTATGTTTCGTGTTATTTTCTAATATTGCAAGTTTTGTAACGTCTGATTTTCATAGCTATTAGTTTACATATTCAACTTCGTGGAAAGCAAACACGACACGAGAGTAAGCCAACTTTCTTGATCAAGCCGATTTGTTTTTTGTTTTTTTTTTTTTTAACAAACGCCATGCGTTACCAAACTTTATTATGTACCAAAAATGATTCGTTAAGAATATAAAAACCTAAACATATCATCAATTTTTCCAAAATAATAAAAATAAACATACCATCAATGTGATGATTTGTTTATTGTAAAACCAAATAATTGTCATATGTCACACAAGTGCATAGTTGTATAATATCAATATGTAAATATTAATCATATAAGAATAAATAATAAGAGCTGGCTAGGGGGTGACATGTTTAACACTCCATCTATTTGTCAACTCACTATATACATATACTCCTCTCTCTCTCCTCATAACACATAGGCACAAGGGCAAGGAGAAGAGAGAGAGACAGATAAATGACGATGGCTCTTCTCTTCAACTCGACGATGACGGTGGCTATGAAGCAGAATCCCGCAGTCACGGTATCTTTTCCGCCGCCTGCTTGCTTGGGATATAGTTATTCTCCTCCTCGTCGTCTTCGAGTTTCGTGTGTTGCCACAAACCCTAGGTGAGTATATTTTTAGATCTTCAATTCTTTTCGTTGATCAAATTTTAGTTTTTTTTGTGCTTCATAATGGTTAATTTCGTACGTGTATATGTTTAACTCATTGGATTTCCCTTTTCCAAAATGGGATGAAAGTGTTAGATGATCATTTTATATATAAGTATTTGTCTAATTGGCAAATTCTGTCAAACCGAATCGAAACGGTACAAAACTGATCAAAAAGGTAATGATTGTTTTTGTTCTATGTATATATTAGAGAAAATGGCACTGAATAGTGAAAGTGAACAATATTGAACTTGAAAATACTTCAAATCAATAAAATTGATTGTGCGTTGTAACAAAACTCCTACAATCATTTGCATTAAAACACACAAAATCGCATGAATTGTTAGGTAAACTCATTGTATTGTTAATAACTTTTAAACTTTTAAATACTTGCAAATTAAAACACGTTCTGTAAATTACAATAAGACACGAACCTGGTGATCAAAATAACAATTTTCTTAACAATGAATATGTTATAGCAAGACGAGTGAAGAAACAGACAAGAAAAAGTTTCGACCCATCAAAGAAGTATCAAACCAAGTGACACACACAATAACACAAGAGAAGCTCGAAATCTTCAAATCAATGGAGAGTTGGGCCCAAGAAAACTTATTATCTTACCTCAAACCCGTCGAAGCTTCATGGCAACCACAAGACTTTCTGCCGGAAACCAACGACGAAGACCGATTCTACGAGCAAGTGAAAGACCTAAGAAATCGAACAAGAGAGATCCCTGACGATTACTTTGTAGTTCTTGTCGGAGATATGATCACCGAAGAAGCATTACCGACTTATCAAACGACTTTGAACACTCTCGACGGCGCCAAAGACGAGACCGGTGGGAGTCTAACACCGTGGGCGGTTTGGGTTAGAGCGTGGACGGCGGAGGAAAATCGACACGGCGATTTGTTGAATAAGTATCTTTACTTATCGGGTCGTGTTGATATGCGACATGTTGAAAAGACTATTCAATATCTTATCGGATCCGGCATGGTACGTTACGTTCTTTTGGTATAGTCAAATTGTTGCATTCTCATAAATATATGTGTGCTCAAAATGCAAATTATAATTATTTTAGGACCAAATTGATAATTTGATAATTGTTTTTCAGGACTCCAAATTTGAGAACAATCCCTACAATGGCTTCATCTACACTTCTTTTCAAGAGAGAGCCACTTTTATCTCCCACGGCAACACGGCGAAGCTAGCCACGACCTACGGCGACACAACTCTCGCCAAAATCTGCGGAACAATCGCGGCGGACGAGAAGCAGCACGAGACGGCGTACACACGAATCGTCGAGAAGCTATTCGAAATCGATCCCGACGGTACCGTACAAGCTCTAGCGAGTATGATGAAGAAGCGAATCACGATGCCGGCTCATCTGATGCACGACGGTCGCGACGACGATCTGTTCGATCATTACGCCGCCGTGGCGCAGAGAATCGGAGTTTATACAGCGACGGATTACGCCGGGATTTTGGAGTTTTTGTTGCGACGGTGGGAGGTGGAGAAGTTAGGGATGGGTTTGTCCGGTGAAGGAAGGAGAGCACAGGATTATCTGTGTACCTTGCCGCAGAGGATCAGGAGGTTAGAGGAAAGAGCTAACGATAGAGTCAAACTTGGGTCAAAGTCAAAACCTTCTGTTTCCTTCAGCTGGATTTACGGGAGAGAAGTTGAACTATAAAACGACAAAGTTTGTTGCGTTTTTACTGTATTAGACTCAAACGTTAATGCGAGAGCTTATGGGCCTTTTAGTCATGTAATGAAGAAAGTAATTAATAATAAAACGCTAAAAGAAGTAGCGTTTCAATGAAACAGTGGGTTATATATTACCATACGGCCCATGGCCCATGGAAAATAAGCAAAGAAAATATCTGAAAGGAGTGGCATAGACGTAATTAAAAGAGTAGCTGAGGGATATTCTAGAGAACAAAAAAGGTTAGTATATATGAATAATGTCCCTGAGCTCGATCATCACGCCCAAAGCTTCTGCTTCACATTGTCTCTTTTCACAGTCTCAGAGCATAGAAATAATCGAAAGTTTTTCTTTTTAAAATCTGGGATTTGCTTTTTTTTTTGTTCATTGATCATCTTCGATTGATTTGAGTTTGTTGGAGAAGAGAAAAATGGCGATGGCTATGGATCGGATCGTCTTCTCCCCTTCATCTTACGTCTATCGTCCTTGTCAAGTTAGGGGATCCAGATCTTCCAGAGTTTCCATGGCTTCTACGATTCGCTCTGCTACTACGTGAGTTTTAATCTCTTCATTTCGAATTCGTGGGCTTTCTTCGTTTAATGCTTTGAATTTGTCTTGATCTGGAGTTTGCTTTGAGTATCGATGATAAACCTCTGGCTTTGGTTGATCCAGTTTCTTCTTTTCATCAATTTGGTTCCCAATGCACTCTCACTATGTGTAATTACGAGATACCTTAGTTTCTGCTTCGTTTAGATCAAAGAATCTTACTTTTTTCTCTGTCTCTTCAATTTTTTTTTGATCTGAAAATCTATCCTTACATGCAAAGGACAATCTTTGCTAATCTCTTCTTCTTTCCCAAACGCATGCATGAATTGTTTTGTGTTTTTGAATTTCCTTTTACTTGGTTGTTGACCCATAAGACAACTATGCTAAATAATTTCTTATTCATTTATTCTCTTGTTTGTTTATTATGTTAAGAAAGCTTATTGGTGTTGTTCAGGATTGTTGTGTAGTAGCTGCTTAGGTAATTTCTAAAGCTTTATTTGGTTTTGATTACAGAGAGGTTACGAATGGAAGGAAACTGTATATCCCTCCTAGAGAGGTGCATGTCCAAGTGAAACATTCAATGCCGCCACAAAAGTTGGAGATCTTCAAGTCTTTAGAAGGATGGGCTGATGAAACCCTGTTGACTTATTTAAAACCTGTAGAGAAATCGTGGCAGCCTACCGATTTTCTTCCCGAACCTGAGTCAGAAGGATTTTATGACCAAGTCAAGGAGTTAAGGGAAAGGTGTAAGGAACTTCCTGATGACTATTTTGTGGTGCTTGTTGGGGATATGATCACTGAAGAAGCACTTCCTACTTACCAGACGATGTTGAACACATTGGATGGTGTTAGGGATGAGACAGGAGCAAGTCCTACGCCATGGGCTATTTGGACCAGGGCTTGGACTGCTGAGGAGAATAGACATGGGGATCTTCTTAACAAGTATCTTTATTTGTCTGGTCGAGTAGACATGAGGCAGATTGAAAAGACAATTCAGTACCTGATTGGGTCTGGAATGGTAAGCTCTGCTAACTTTCTTTTTTGCTTTCACCCCTAATCCCCTGAAGTTGCATTTACTCTTTAGTAAAAAGTGACTGGGGTCGGAATACAACCGTTGCCTGCTTATTTAAATTGACTGTAAATTCAATAGGTAGGGGAACAGAAGAGGAATAAGTTGGAACCATTTTTCAATTTTTACTTACTTTTGTAAATTATCTTGTCATTTCTTAGTAAGGCTTGAATTGACTTCACAATGAGAATTTGCATATCTTCATGCTAACAACATACGCATAGTTTATGTTTCAAGTTCTGAAGATAGAACTGAAGTGATCCTCCTGCTTAGCTGCCACCTTAAACACTTTACGGTTTTTCATTGTGTATAGTTTTGTATTCCTAATATTCAATATATGATTGATCGATCTGTTTTATGTTCTTAGGATCCAAAAACTGAAAATAATCCTTACTTGGGTTTCATCTACACATCCTTTCAAGAAAGAGCGACCTTCATCTCCCATGGAAACACTGCCAGACTGGCGAAAGATCGTGGAGATTTGAAACTTGCGCAGATATGTGGCACCATTGCTGCTGATGAGAGGCGTCATGAGACTGCTTACACCAAGATTGTGGAGAAGCTATTTGAAATTGACCCTGATGGCACGATCTTGGGCTTGGCTGATATGATGAAGAAAAAGATCTCAATGCCTGCACATTTAATGTATGATGGCCAAGATGATAACCTGTTTGAGCACTTCTCAACCGTTGCCCAGAGGCTCGGTGTCTACACCGCCAAGGACTATGCTGATATTCTGGAGTTTCTTGTTGAACGGTGGAATGTGGAGACTTTGTCAGGCCTTTCTAGTGAAGGACACAGGGCCCAGGTAAATTACCTCCATGAAACCTCCAAGTTTATGAATAGTTATTGGTCATGAACACTATATTAGATACTATTTTGTGTATTTGAAGATCTGATCGGAACCTAAACTTGAATTCTGACTCGATCATTTCCTTTGATAGGACTTTGTCTGCGGACTTCCTGCAAGAATCCGCAAAATTGAAGAGAGAGCTCAAGGAAGAGCCAAAGAAGCAGCCAAAAACATACCATTCAGCTGGATATTTGGTCGAAATATTAGGGCTTAAGAAGTTTACTACACAATTCTCCTCTTTCGAACTATCCCAAGTAAGCCATAAAGGTCTTCACCAACCATCTCACCAATGAAGGACCAATTTTAAGACCACGAAAGTTCATTGAATATGTTTTGTACTTTTGTTTTTTACATGGAACATTGTAGATAAAGTTATGTGGTTAGGTTATGTTTCTTGGTTGAATCAGTCAAGACCAAAGAAAATTGAGTGTTATTAGTGATGTTGTATGGTTACCAATAACAAGACTTAAGAGTTTGCTTTACCTTTTTGATTTTCTTTTTGTTGTATCAGTCTAAATAATGTTCTCTCTTAAGTAAAAAGTGGTTTGTAACTCAACCCATTTTCTCTCTTGGTTGTTTAGGCATTTGTAAAACGCTCCTTCCGTTTCTTAATTTCAGATGTTTTGATAAAATTAAACCAAAAACAAAGCAAAATCTGGATAAAAAATTTCAATATGTAAATAAACCTTCTTGAACTGGTATCAATGGATTATTGTTCTGTCTTGCTCGCTCAAAGTTCCGATTTCTCCTTTTGATTATCCTAAAAAAAATCCGATTTCATAGTTCTAGACTTCTAGTTGGGTACACATAGTTCCATGAATAAAGTTTACTCTTGCAAGACACATATTCAAAATCATCAACAATGTAATCAACCAATTAAGTTCTTCAATACATATAAACCAAACCCTGAAAAACAGATCAAACTAACATTTGATACAAACTCTCTTCTCTCAAACAAAATCATTACAAGAAATCACTTTTCTTCAAACCTGGAACGCCCATGGCGAATTCTTGAGAGTGTCTTCACTCTGAACCTTAGCAGTCCTCTTCATAGCAACTCCATCACCATCGACATAAGCATAGTACTTTAAGAAGAAGGCAAGAACAAGAACGATCCACTCAAGGAAAAAGATCACAACACAGAGCCCACCAGCTAGTTTCAAGATCATAGACGCTTCTTTCTCACGGACATAAGAGTTAAGGCTCTCGAGGAAATTCGAAGTGTTGGTGAAGATGAGAACAGAGACTGAGCCTTGGAAAATGGCGGTAAGGACAGTTGCGATCATATGAGCTGCGTACCACCGGTTCTTACCATAAGATGCGGCTGCACAGCCAGAGACGGCGGCTACGATCGTGGTGGCGTGAAGGAGGATGAGGAAGAAACCGCAGAGCGAAGGGATTAGACGGAGAGAGAGTGTGAGGAAGATGCAGCTGGAGGATGCACCGAGGAGGACGTAGTTTGAGAAGAGGAAGAGTTTATGGGTGTAGTAATGAGATTCTTGAATCGAGTCTTGTGGTTGAGGAATTAAACCCATGATGTTGGATTTTTCTGATTCGGGTTGCAGAAAAAGTTGGATTTTGAGATCGATAAGAAGAAGAAGAAGAAGAAGGTAGCTTGTGAATTGTGATTGTGGTGAGTTAATAATCTGGGTTTATGTAGAGAGAGATTTAAACGGTCGGATTTTCCAAATATGACCGTTGAGGATTTACAGAAGTGAAAGGACAAATCACGGACAGAGTGATAGTTGGTGTTGTGTAACGGCTAGTGTTTTGCTTTTCCTTTGTTCAGAGCAAGACTGGTAGGCCCAATGGGCCGAGTTGGGTTCTTGTTCGGCCGAGACAAGGATATTTTTATCCTGAACTCGGATATGTTATTAGGAACCAAACATAGGTTTATGTGGTGTGTGTTTGGTCCGCTAAATTGAACCGACTCAATCCAACCGAACCAAATAATTGATTTTAAAAAAAAGGAATTGTGAATCTTTAATTCGATGAAACTTAAAAGACCGTTTTAATACAATTGAAATAGAGTAAAGTCTAAATGAAACCATAACTGCAAGAAGGAAAAAAAACTGTTTCTTCTTCTCCTGTTTACTCTCAGATAGAAAGAAGAAGAATGATTCGATTCACGATCTTGTGCTGCTTCTAAAAATTAAAAATCATGTTACCTAAAAAACCAATTATTTCATCTGCAGAGCAACACAGTTTTGACGAAACTCGATGGGTCATCAATGTCCAAAAATCTCTCGATGCAGAGATCGAAGAACACGATCTCGAAGAAGTCACAGTCAGCATTTTCAATGTTCCTAAAGCATTAATGTGTAGCCATCCAGATTCATACACACCTCACCGGGTTTCGATCGGACCTTATCATTGTCTAAACCCAGAGCTTCACGAAATGGAAAGGTATAAACTAATGATCGCGAGAAAAACTCGAAATCAAGCCAAATCTTTCAAGTTTCATGATCTTGTAGAGAAATTACAATCCATTGAGATTAAGATTCGAGCTTGTTATCATAAGTATATAGGGTTTAACGGAGAGACTCTGTTATGGATAATGGCGGTAGATTCATCGTTCTTGATCGAGTTTCTTAAGATTTACAGTTTTAGAAAGGTGGAGACTTTGATTAATAGAGTTGGGCATAACGAGATTCTTAGAGATATAATGATGATCGAGAACCAAATCCCACTTTTTGTTTTGAGGAAAACACTTGAGTTTCAGCTAGAATCGACTGAATCAGCTGATGATCTGTTGGTCTCTGTTCTTACGGGACTATGCAGAGATCTCTCTCCTCTCGTCATCAAATTCGACGATGATGAGATTCTGAAGGCTCAGTTTCATGAGTGTAATCATATCTTAGACTTCTTGTATCAGATGATCGTTCCGAGGATCGAAGAAGAAGAGCTAGAAGAAGAAGAAGACGAAGAAAACAGAGCAGACGACAATGGCGGAAACAGAGCAATTAGGTTTCTGGAAGAGATTAAGCATCAATTCAAAAGGGTTTTCGCATCTCGACCTGCGGATTTAATCTTGAGATTCCCGTGGAGAATCATATCGAATCTTCCTGGATTCATGGCACTGAAACTTTCAGCTGATTATCTCTTCACAGGACAAGAAAACGAAGCAACAACAACGAGACGAGAATCATCATCATCGGTTTCGGCTTCCGATATCGAAAAGCCTCCTCTTGTGGAAGAACTGACAATCCCGTCAGTCTCCGATCTCCACAAAGCCGGAGTTCGATTCAAACCAACAGCAAACGGGAACATTTCAACAGTAACTTTCGATTCAAACTCGGGTCAGTTTCACCTCCCTGTGATAAACCTAGATATCAACACAGAAACCGTTCTACGAAACCTTGTCGCTTACGAAGCTACAAACACTTCAGGACCATTAGTGTTCACTCGTTACACAGAGCTAATAAACGGAATAATCGATTCGGAAGAAGACGTTAGGTTGCTTAGAGAACAAGGCGTCCTTGTGAGCCGTCTCAAGAGTGACCAAGAAGCTGCAGAGATGTGGAATGGTATGAGCAAATCTGTGAGGTTGACCAAAGTTGGTTTTTTGGATAAGACTATTGAGGATGTTAACCGATATTATACCGGACGGTGGAAAGTGAAGATTGGAAGATTGGTTGAGGTTTACGTTTATGGTTCTTGGCAGATTCTTGCTTTTTTGGCGGCGGTTTTGTTGTTGATGTTGGTTTCGTTGCAATTGTTCTCTTTGGTGTTTAGCTCCTTCCTTCGGTTTAGAACCGGTTAGGCGTAATTCGAGTTGGTTCGCTATGTATTTGTGTTATTCCTATTTCACTTGGTTTGGTTTGATTTGGTTTATGTTGAACCATATTGAAATCGAAATTACTGTGCTTTTTTGTAACAAAAAAAAGTCCTCCTTTGATTCATTGCAATTAAGAATTATCTTCTTAAAGATCCGAACTTGAGAGTAGGGTTTTGGGTTTAGAATCAGAAACTGCTGCTGAAGATAGTCTCCGAGTGAGAGATAGAAGAAATGTTGAGATCCTTTCTCTGTAGATCGCAAAATGCGTCTAGGAATCTCGCCGTTACTCGAATCTCGAAGAAGAAGACCCAGACGACTCCATCGCTAACCTCTCTTTCGAGATTCTCATATCTCGAGTCGTCTGGATATGCTTCTGCCCGAAACATCAGGTTCTTCTCCGCGAGCCCTCCTACGGAAGAGAACCCAGTTTCTTTACCGACGGATGAGATCCCAATCTCGTCAGCCGCAGAGCTTACCCTTGAAGAATCGGTTGCTTCCGCTTTGGGATTTTCAGAAAGTGGCCATTTTGGTGTAAATGGTGGTACTTCCGTGGAAGCCGTTGGTGGTGTTGCTGAATATGGAGATTCAGAGATTGTTGCAATTGAAAACGAGGTTACCGAGGTGTACCAATTTGATGACGAAAAGTTGGAATCTGTACTGTCTTTGTTACGGAGTGATGAAGAGTCCTTGGAGTTTGGTCTTAATGCGCTTAATGTTGATTTACATTTAGATTTTGTGGTAAGAGTGTTTGAATTCCCAGGAATTTCAGGTAAGAATTTGATTAGGTTTTTGAAGTGGGCAACTGAGAGAGAAGAGATTACTGTTACCACCTCACTTGTAGAATCTCTTCTTGTAGCAATTGCTGGTGATACACGTAGAATGGATGCTTATGGTTTGTGGGATTTGGTTAAGGAGATTGGTGAGAAGGAGAGTAGTAGTAGTGTTTTGAATTTGGAGATATTGAATGAGTTGATTGCCTTGTTTGGGAAACTTGGTAAATCCAAAGCTGCTTTTGATGTGTTTAGTAAGACCGCAGAGTTTGGTTTTACTCCGAATGCGAAAACATATTATTTGACACTGGAGGCGCTTTGTAAGCGGTCGTTTATGGATTGGGCATGCTCTGTATGTGAGAGAATGCTTAAGAGTGGTGTGTTACCAGAGGGAGAACAGATGGGTAACATCATATCTTGGTTTAGTAAGGAAGGGAAGGCAGAAGAGGCTTATTCGGTTTACGAATTGGCAAAGACGAAAGAGAAATCTCTGCCTCCTAGATCTGTGGCTACTCTGATAAGTGCTCTCTGCAAGAATGATGGGACTATCACGTTTGCTCAGGAGATGTTGGGTGATTTATCTGGAGAAGCTAGGCGACGTGGGATAAAACCATTTTCTGATGTTATCCATAGTTTATGCAGGATGAGAAATGTTAAAGACGCTAAATCTTTGCTCTTGGATATGATTTCTAAAGGGCCTGCTCCTGGGAATGCGGTTTTTAATTTGATTGTCCATGCTTGTTCGAAAACTGGAGATCTGGATGAAGCAAAAGAGGTTTTAAAGTTGATGGAGAGTAGAGGTTTGAAACCAGATGTGTACACGTACACTGTCATCATTAGTGGTTATGCTAAAGGAGGGATGATGAATGAAGCTCAAGAGATTCTCGCAGAGGCGAAAAAGAAACATAAGAAGCTTAGTCCTGTGACATATCACGCACTCATCCGAGGCTATTGCAAGATTGAAGAATATGACGAAGCTCTGAAACTTTTGAAAGAAATGGATCGTTTTGGGGTGCAGCCTAATGCTGATGAGTACAATAAGCTGATACAATCATTTTGCCTCAAAGCTCTGGATTGGGAAAAAGCAGAGGTGCTGTTTGAGGAGATGAAGCAGAAAGGCTTGCACTTGAATGCAATTAGTCAGGGGCTTATAAGGGCAGTTAAAGAGATGGAATCTGAAGCCAAGGTAACGGAAGATGACAACTTACTTGCTGAAGCATAGAATTGGATCCGATATTTATCATTGTTCTAACAATGTGGACTAGCTGTTGAAGATGTTATCTCTTGGTTTGAAATACCAGGAAATACCTGGTTGGTTCTTTTGTTACTGGAATTATCTTTTGTATTCTTCCAGCATTTGCCAATAAGCCTTCACTTGGGTTCAATTTCTTTTAGCTTTTGTGATTTAAGAATTGAATCAGTTTTCCATGGTCATTGTTCGGTTTGCATTTGATTTTCTTTAAAATGACATGTTTTGATTTTAGCTCAGTTGAGAAAAGTTATAAACCATTAGTGATTCAATGCTGGTTCATAACAAAATACGTAATAAAATGAGTACAGATTTGTTATGAAAAATCTCAGGAAATTCTAACGACCACTTTATTCTTCTTGCCTGCTGATAGAACAAGACCTTTCCCTTCAACAATATCCTCTTCTTCAACTCTCTTGTTCTCATCATCAACTCTCTCATTGTTCATATAAAACCCACCTTGCTTCAACATTCTCCTCGCAGCAGATTTGCTCTCAAACAAACCCGCAGAAACTGATAGATCCACAATCGATAAACCCGACACTCGATCAATGGGCAGTGAGCAAGAAGGTATATCCTCTGCTATTCTCTCAATCAAGTTCCAATCAAGCTTTGTCTCAGCTCCTGGTCTTAAAGCTTCTGTTGCTTTAATGGCTTCCTTCAAGCCCTCTTCGCCATGTACAAATCTGGTTACTTCTTCAGCGAGTTTGATTTGTGCGGTGTTGGGAACATACCCGGGTTTGCTCATTTGATCTTCCAAGATCTTTATCTCATCCAAACTCAGAAAAGTTAGAGTCTTTAAGAAACGTATCACGTCAACGTCTGGAACTGAGAAGAAGTACTGATAAAACTTATAAGGCGACAGCATCGAAGGAGATAGCCAGATTGCTCCATCTTCTGATTTCCCGAATTTCGTCCCATCGTTTTTCAATAGAAGGGGAAATGTTAGCCCGTAAGCTGCTTCTTCTGCTTGGAGAATCTTCCGGATCAAATCAGTTCCAGCTGTTATATTCCCCCATTGATCACTACCACCTATCTGAACATTGATCCCTTCGTTCTTGAACAGGTGAAGAAAATCATAGGCTTGCAATAACTGATAAGTGAACTCGGTGTAGCTCATACCTTGTTCTGATTCTAATCTCTTCTTCACACTCTCCTTTGCCATCATAGTACCAACCCTAGCAAACCTACCGACTTTGTTCAGAAAGTCGAGCATTGTCATATCTTTCCACCAGTCATAGTTATTAAAAATCACGTAAGAGCCACCAGAACTCGGATTGCCACCCAGAATCTTGATAATGATTCTTTTAATCCCGGCAATGTTTTTCTCCAGTGTATCAGCGTCAAGTTCAGGTCTTTCTAGGCTTTTACCAGATGGGTCACCAACTCGTCCCGTGGCACCACCAATTAAACCAACAGCTTGATGTCCACATCTTTGGAACCAAGAAAGCACAATGATACCAAGTAGATTACCTAAGTGTAAACTCTCAGCCGTTGGATCAAACCCGCAGTAGACCCTTAGAGGAGCTACTTTAGGATCAGAACAAGCTGACCTGAGATTTTCGCTTGTGATCGACTCAAGGAGACCTCTTTCTTCAAGTATATCGACAACATTAGGGCGAGAAACAGCTTGATTTTCTGTCTCAAGAGATGAAGTAGATTGAATTGAGCACTTAACAGAGGAAAACAGAGGAGTAGTAGAAGTGGAGAAAAGGTGAGGAACTTGGACCCTTCTGAAGAAAGTTGCGGATAATTTCTCAGGAAAAACGAGTAAAGAAGCGACACGTAAGGGAGATAAGAAAGTTCTGGAACACATAGGCAAGATACTCCTTGAAGCAAGCGTCATTCCTGTTGCATATGCCATAAATTTATATGCTTGAACAGCCAAGCTGGTTAACTACAACTGCAAACTAAATAGAAACACCAATTAGCTGAAAAAACGATAAATAACCGATCTTAATCGTCTAAAACTGTAAACAAACATATGAAAGTAAATGCACAATTTGACCCAAAACTAGCCTCGTATACTACAGGTCATCTATTTTATCAAAAACTGATTCCAAACCCAAAAACTCTCAGGCAGACAATTTCACAAACACCTTATGGGCATTGTCTCATATTGTCCCCATAAACACGGGTAACGAGTCAATCTCCAAAAATGAGAACTTCAAAACAGAATTAAAAAGGAATGCTAAAATTCTACACCAAATTATAAAGGAATCTCCCATCATTGCATCGAAACAGACCCAGAGAAACTAACAACTTGGAGATAACAATCCCAACTTCAGCGACATTACAACACACCTAAATGGATACCCAATTAAACTTTGAGGAAGAAGAAGAAGAAGATGATGAAGTGAAAGAGCTTTACTTGTTTGCAGCTCCAGGAATGGAATTTGTTTTCGACCTTTGCTTTGCTTATTCCACAGATCAATTGCTTCAGATTTGCCGAAACCGAGATTGAACCTAAAGTCTCCGGTTTATTTTAATAGACCGGTATCTGTTCGATTTTAATGGGTTAATATACAAAACCGAGATCCATAAAACCCAGTTAATTTAATCATCTCTTTCGGGTTTGTTTTACGGCCCGTTAAAAGAAATCTGGGCTCCATCCCTATATATATATATTTTTAAAATTCGTATATATTTGACATACGAACGCAACTAATTGATGCCAATTAAAATCGAATGTGACGAATTCGAATATATAACTATATAAGTAGACTGATTTAACAACTAAAAATGCATGTATAATTTCCAATACAAATACTAGTATAACATAGAAATTGGTAGAAAAAGGAAAATAGAAACATGAAAATTTGACTACTTATATATACAGGCATGCATACAGCTCATAAATTTGACTAATTACATATATCAGAACCAGCTGTATGATTACATATTTACATATTCCTTTTTAACATTCACATTTCTTATTCACTGTTTTATATCCTTCCTAAATACTCATTATATATATATATATATATATATATATATATATATATATATTCATACATATTAAGAAACAAGAATTATATATCTATTTTTTCCTTACTTTTTTTTTAATACCAATTTTGACTAAATATTTAGAAACCAGCTGTATTTTTACATATTTACATATTCCATTTCACATTTCCTATTTATTGTTTTATATCCTTCTATTCCTAAAATAATGATTTGGGGTTTTCATACATATTAAAAAAACAGAATAAATCTAATTTTTTTCTAATTATTTTGTCTTTACTTATATTTGTTGACTAATTATTATCTCATATATTTTCTAATAATTGTTTTAACACTTATTTCCATTTCATTAGATTACTCTCACAAACCATCTAAATGTTGTTAGCTATTGGTGGAGTATAATAAGTTTGATTGGTAAATATATTATGTGTGTGTAAGTGAGGTCCTTTTTTTACAGCATGTAAATGTGTGTGATTGAGATTGAAGATTAATAGAGAAGCTAGAAACTTATGGTCTAACACCTCACCTCCTTCAAAAGGTTTAATCAACTAAGCTATATTAATCAGAAATACCAAGAAATTTGTAAAACAACACATCGAACTCAAGCCATGCACAAATACAATGATTCATTTTACTTGGATACACCGTCGTATTGGACTGAACTCAAATCGAAGTCTTTATTTATTAGATAAACATACACTTACATAATGTAAGTTACATTACACGACACAGAATACTCATTTTATAAATATCATAAGAGTACACATGATCATTATCGATAAACTAGCATGAGCTTACTCCATATCCAACGGGACACGTTCACTGAGTCGACGGTGGGAGGAACGGTAACGGAGGAAATCTAAATCCAGGGAAACCAGGAATACCGGGAATACCAGGAATACCGGGAATACCAGGAATACCACCTCCTGCTAGAGGTGATGATGGGATTGGTAACGGAGGAAACCTAAAGGCAGGGAAACCGGGAATACCAGGAATACCGGGAATACCTCCTCCTGCTAGAGGTGATGACGGGATTGGTAACGGAGGAAACCTAAAGGAAGGGAAACCGGGAATACCAGGAATACCGGGAATACCTCCTCCTGATGGTGATGATGGGAATGGAAACGGAAGTCTAAAGCCAGGGGAACCACGAATACCGGGAATACCTCCTGGTGATGATGGAAATGGAAACGGAAGCCTAAAGCCAGGGGAACCAGGAATACCGGGAATACCTCCTGGTGATGACGGAAATGGAAACGGAAGCCTAAACCCAGGGGAACCTGGAATACCGGGAATACCTCCTGGTGATGACGGGAATGGAAACGGAAGCGTGAAGCCAGGAGAACCAGGAATAGCTGATGTTGGAGGTGATGACTGCAAACTAGGGAACGGATCAGATACAAAGGCTAGGTTTTTGGCTTCGTCGGTGGTGGTGGTTACGACTCCATCAACCGGCTTCTGATCGTTGAGAGGGCGAGCTAGAGCTGTTTCTGGTGTGAGGTGGCAGATCAAGAAAAGAATTAGGGCTAGAGTGGTCGCTAAAGATGCCATTGTGTGGAAATGTTTTTGTCTGTTGTAGTAGCAGGTGTTTAGTGCTTGTTTATATAGGCCTATATTTAGTGTTGGCTCCATCTTTATTTTTGTTATAATTTCATTTACAAAGAAAATTTCAAAAAAATATATACACATTATAAGAAGTTTTAATCTCTTTATGGACATGATAATCAATTTTGGGTTAAGGTTGACTATTTTTTTTACAAATTTATAATATGCATTTTATTTATCAAATAATAAGCTAGTTTTTAGGAATTCAACAAGTCAAATTCGTTTTGCTTTCCTGTTTTTTTTTCTGGATAAATCTTGCTGTCAAGAAAGACTTGACAGCAAGGTTTTGTTTTGTCCTTAATCAAACTATTGGGCCTAAATATATATCTGGTTTCTTCGTTTGGTTTCAACCTTAATATTTTTAATTTTTGTCAGTTTTCATGCAACTAACTGGAAATATAGGGCCCTTTAAATAGAGGAAAAATATAGTCATCATATTCACTCACTCACATAACAAAAATTTCCACAACTAAGCACATCCTCTTGCTTCCTCCACAAGAAATTACAATGAAAGATATCAATAATGCTTTCAACGTTCAATGAAAGATATCACCTCCTTAACAAAAACGCTAGGGCGAACATCGCCGCCGGTGTGAGCTTGAGATTCGAACCGATACCGTTGCCGTAGGGCTTGAGTTTCGTTTATGACTGAACTTTTTCTTTTTGTTATTGAAGGAAATGATTTCATCATCATCTTATCTTCTTCTCCAACAAACATTTGTTTTTTAAAAATGGTTTTGAAGGAAACGTGAACCAATGGTGGAATCTATGGGAACTAAATCCAAATTTAACTTGTTAATATAGAGATTAACGTAATTAATGGGTGAATTAGGAAAATAATTCTTCAATTGAATCTTCAAATTGGTGAAACGAATTACAAAACATCACGATTTAGCATAAATGAGCGATATAACTTGTTGGAGAAGTGAAGAGGAAGAAGAAGAAGGAAGGGATTAAGCAGTCATGTGAGGACAGCCACTATTCATTATTGATACACTAGCATGAGCTTATTCCATATCCAACGGGACACGTTCACTGAGTCGACGGTGGGAGGAACGATAATGGAGGAAGCCTAATTGCGAAACCGGAACCCGAAAGACGGTAACGGAGGGAAGTCAAAGCTAATACCAGGGAAACCGGAAAAAGCAGGTAGATCATCGTAATACACCGCTTGAGCTTGAATAGGTTTGAAAACATTAAGATCGACTAAAATTGCCACTTTTTTCCCTGTTGCGGCTGCAAGATCTTTCAACTCGGCTCCACGATCTGAGACACAATATGACAATGTAACGAAAAAGACAGCAATCAATGATTTCGTTCAAGTGCTTAATTATATTGATTTTGTTCTTACCTAGTGCCTCTCTCATGCATCGAGCCCTTTGTCCTTTCTGAATATTCATATAAGAACCTTAAAAACAAAACCAAAAATTTGGTTAATTCGTAGAAAAATCAACAAACAGAAATAAAATGTCTCTAGCTACATACTACCGGCAAGAGGTACCACCATTGTACTTGATGCATGATCCGTGAAGTCTACAATCAAATTAAAAGAAAATTAGAAGAAATCACCAATCCTAATATCTCAAAAAAGGCCATAATAAGGTCACCTGTGAGTAGATGTCTGGAATCATCATCATAAAACACCACTTGATGTTTATTAGGTTTGAAATAATTAATTTCGCTGTAACGTGCCAATTGTTTTCCCTTCTCGGCTGCAACATCTGAAACACACAAAGAGACCATAAAAATCTATATATATTGTGAGAGAGTTTTCTCTCCATCTAGAGTGTCCACATAGACGACACATCAGCGTACACGTCATCATACATTTTTAATAGGTATAAACTGTTACCAAAAAGATTCGAACCCCTTACCCAATACATTTAATAGGTGCATTTCAAACCAAATTGCCATTTAAATCGTTTTGATTGATATCAAAATTTAAATTATATATATGACTTTATAAAACTTTTACTCAATTTATTTATTAAACGAAGAAACATTAAAAAAAAATTCACATACTTTTATATTATCATCTTTTAATAAAAGAAAATATTTTTTCATAAACAATAACATTGTTTAATACAAAGTAATATAATATAACACACAAAAATATGTGAATAGAAGTTAATATACAAATAGATAATTCAAAAATAGAAGTTAATGAATTAATAAAACACAGCACAAAAATATATAAGATAAAAATATGAATAAAAATTAGAAGCATATAGATAATTTTCAAATACATATAATTTATATATGAGAAGTAGAAAACAAAAAAATATGTTATCACGCTAGAAAGACATTAACCTTTTCAAGAGTTATAAATATTTAGATTAAAAAAAGTTTATATGATAGTAAACTATAGAATTTAGATTACACGAAATAAGAATATCTATTTTTCAAGAAAAAAGTATGTATCCAAAATCAAGATAAAATATATATAAAATTGTATAATATATTTAAGGAAAGAATTTTGATTTAAAAGTACAATTAGATACAAGATTTCTTTAAACAATAACGTTAGAGTGCAATGTTTCATGGAAAATGAAATGTATGAGAATAGGAAGAATACAAATATAAAATTTAATATGTAGGAAAAAGAACATTTTATAATAGACAAGAAAAAATAAAATATAAAAATGAAATAGATAAAGAGAATATAATTTTAATATAAGTTTATAATGAATCAAAAATTTAATCAATTATTTAACGAAAAGAACGTGAAAAGAGATAAAATGTCGCGAGGTGGACGACTGCATATTAGAATATGACGAATAAAATGACAGCGAAATAATTTCAAGAGAAATTGACTAAATTCAAAAAGATGTATGAACATGACATGGTCGAGATTGTATTATATTTCTCTGAATTTTTTCAACTAATTTTTTACCACGTGTTACCTAAAAATTTGTTGTTTTTTTCAAGAGAAACATTATTCTCAATAAAATCTATGTTATATATCATTTCATAAATAGGTTTATGTCATTATAGATTTATCTTTTAAAATTGAATATATATATATATATATATACATATTTATATTCACGGCTTATATTGTTAATAGTTTATAAGTAAAATCCCGCGCATTGGGATTAGAGAGTCTTCTCTCCATCTAGAGTGTCCACCTAAGCATCCACCTAAGCAATAATATTTATTTTACATTAAAATCAATTTAAAACATCCATTTAATGCATTTACTTGTAATTAATAGAAATAATAAATTTTAAATAAATAAAAAACGAATTATGTAAAATAAATAAAATGTTAAAATAATAAAATAATACTATAAAAATTTTATAAGTAAGACTAATATAATTCAACTTTTAAATGATAAAAATTAAATATGGTCAGTATTCAAAATTTTAAATGTGTTAATGAGTTTTAGGATGGAAGTAAATTTATGTAATTCTATATGTAAAACTTTATACAAGAAAATAAAATTCAAAGTAAAATATTAGTTTCAAAGAACAATATACTACATATTTTTAGTTATTATTAAATTTTTACTTAAAGAAAAATAAAAAATTACTAAACTCAACTTAAATTTATAATTTAAGAAGAAAATATTGTAAGATGCAAACTTTATCTTGTGAAATTATAAAAAAAAAATCTTGAAAATTTTAAAACCTTATCATCCATCTTTAAACAAATAAATAATCAGTGATCACAGTATTCATGAGTTTTACAATAAAATATATTAAAAATAAATGTAAGCCATTAAAAAAAAGTGATATGTAATTTGTGTAGCATATTCTCAAGTGGAAGTACAACTTTATAACAGAACAAAAAAAACTAAGTTTGATATTTCATCAATGAAATATTGAAAAGATAGTTATGATATGTCTTGAAAATCAATTCACAGTCCAATATATATTATGTGTGAGTCAATAGAAGGTAAAAAGAACGTAGATGTCGAGAGGCAACGATTGCATCATAGAAGATGACGAAAGAACTGGTAGTTAAAAGAGTTTGAAAATAAATTTCTAAAACTTTAGAAAGATAATGTACATGACTAATGTATCTTTGAGATCTCATTCTTGTGTGAAACGAATGAGTTCTTAGAAAATACATGACATACATTATTAAACAAATTATTAGATTCAAAGTTGGGTTTAACCGTTTGGCCATGTAATCATGGAAAGTAAAATAAGATAGGCACATTGATGACTTAGTCGGAAATTCTCTTATTGTTGCACTAGCTTTGATGGGTAAATCAAACTCGCTAAACTGGTTCTAGCAACATGGTATTATAGATGTACTTTTACACTAAATAATGTTCATGAAACTCGGTAAATTCACATTTTATATGGAATGATGTTATGTTCGTATCAACATTTAATCATAAATAATATCTACAATTAGATCAACAGTCGATAATTAATATCAAAACTTTTAGAAATACCTTCATGGAATATGAATAAGAAATAAACTCTTTGAGAGTATTGATACCGTTTATTATTTGTGGGATTATCTTAAGTGATCTTTGTTACCACGTAATATATATCAAATTATTTATTTGTCAAAGAAATATTATCGTCGATAATATATATGTTATATATCGCTGTGTAAAATAAGTTTAGTGTTTAAAATTTGAATTATTATATTTATGCTCAAAAAATTATCTTTTAAATTTAATTGATTATATTTTATGGTCAAATTTTATATCAATAGAAAAGATTTTAAAATTAAAATCCTGCGCGTTGCGCGGGTACAAAATCTAGTGATAAAAAATAGTAATCAACTGATGATACCAAATTTTATCAAAATAAATATAAGTGCTAACTGATTTTGTTTTTACCCCAAGGCAAATCAGTGTCTTGAAAAACTACCACTGTCGCCACAGTTTCAAACATCACAAAACCCACTTTGAAAACGGAAAAAATCTGGTTAATTCGTCGGAAAAAATAAGAAATAGAAATTGGAATATAGATATCTCGCACTACATACAGAGGCCAACTTTCAATGCTGCTTCAGTCTTCGGTGACAACTCTGCAATCAAAATAAAAACATGATTCGAGACAGAGAATAGAGGCTCTCACGAATGAAATTTGTAGATCGAGTACCATTTTTTGGTAGGTCCCTAGGTGATGATGAAGAGAAACTGCGAGACTGGCGATTTCCACTCGATCTCCATCCGCGGTAATTCTTCTATCAACAGATCAATCGCACGAATAATAGGAAAACACAAGAACCGAGAATCAGATCTACGACGTACGTACCTTGGCAACGAAGGGTCTCAAATTCTGCATGATCCAAGAATTAGGTAGTTTGTTAGGATTGTGTGCAACGAACGAAGGGTCTCGAGTCAGTGGGGGGGGGTTTCCTTAAAAAGAGCTTTCTACAAGGACAGTGGAATACGTCGTGTAAATCTGTAGCCCGTAATCCAATCAGTAACTGACACGTCAGATACATTCCTTTGTTAATAGGAATGACATGGCGTTGTGGTATTGGAATAATAAGCCTTAGTCCAGATATTTGACACGTGGAAAGATATTAGCGGTTGGTGCGGTGATATTAACAAAAAACGAGTGTGCGAGAAAGATGCGTAAAGAATCATCCACACACCTTCGTCGTGAGCTAACAGCAAGGCGAGAGACTAATCCAAGTCCTTATTTGGAGAACAAATGATCCAAGAATTAGGTAGTTTGTTAGGATTTTGTGGAGTCAGTGGGGTTTTACTTAAAAAGAGCTTTCTACAAGGACAGTGGAATCAGAAAGATGCGTAAAGAATCCACACACCTTCGACGTGACAACTCCAAGTCGGACAAATGGGCCTACTGTTTTATTATTGGGCCAATTATCTCGTTTTTTTCTTTTGTAACAAGTCCCGTCTCCTTTCATCTGGATTCGAGAAAACCAGATAAACCATAGAATCTCAAGTTTATTTTGGAAAACCGGATTACGCTTGGTTTACAAAACCGGTCTTCTAGAAAAACCCCAAACCCAGTAAAAAGCACGCAAGTCTTTCTTTCTGAAGAAACAAACCAAAACCCCTTCGTGTATCAGTAATGGTTTGGGGTCTCTTTCCCGTTGATCCTCTTTCAGGTCTTTTTCTCCATTAGAACTCGATTGGATTTGCAAGTGAACCACTTTGATTGTCTCCTGTTCAATTTTTTTCTTCATTACGAGAATTTTGCTCCATCATTAATTGCAATTCTCAACTATGTTATCAACTTGGAATCGTGAAATTTGTTATCAAATTTTGTTTTTTAGTTGTTTTCTACCTTTTTAACAAGTGTTTTCTGAGGAATGTGTAAGAAAAACCCCAAATTTCTTATGGGTTTATGCTAGAGGAGCTTTTTACGAATCTCTAGTTTTGTTACCTTAATTGGCTGTAAAATGGTTTGAATCTGTGTCTCAGGTGAAGATAAATACTACATCTTTTCAAAGGGTATTTACAAGATTGGTCGAAAAGGTAGTGTTATTACACTTTCATCATCGTCTTGCTCCTGTTCTGTGCCTTGATGGGTTTTTCTTTCTCTCTAGGATGTGATATTATTATCAATAAGGATAAGGGGGTATCTAGGATCCACGCTGAGTTAACTTTTGATTCAACCTCTCGGAGGGACAAATCTTCAGATACCTCCTCCTTTGTTATCCGTGTCAAAGATTGTTCTAAGTATGGCACCTTTATCAAAACTGACCTGGGGGCAAAATACAAAGTTCATGAGCTACCTAATAAGGAGAAAATTCTCCAAGATGGAGATGTTATCGCGTTTGGTACAGGTTCAGCTACTTACAGGTATTTCAGGTTTGTCAGTGTAATATGGCTTATATGTTATATCCGTCTCTTTTTGAAATAAATTCATTGCAGGTTGTCCTTAATTCCGCTTGTATTTTACTTCTGCCCTTCCTCTGAGACGTTTAGGGTGGATCAGTCGGTACAAGATGCAGTTTCATCTATTGGTTAGTGAAAAACGTTATCCCCTGCCTCATGGAGTATAACTGGTTAATGTAGTTTCATATTACCCGCATTGCCTGAAACTATGTCGATATTCAGGTGCTCGTATTTCTCCTACCTTGAGTGAGGAGTGCACTCATGTGCTTCTTGAGCCACGTATGCAAGTGAATGAAGCTCTGGTCAATGCAATTTTAGCCAAAAAACCAATCATTTTGACAAATTGGGTGAAGGTATGTGTGAGCATTCCATTGTCATCACTTGTCTGTTAATTGGTTTTTAACTTCACTGGTTTTTCTAGCTTCTCGCAGAGAAAAGTATCTGCAGCGAATTTCCTGGATACAGCCAGTGAGTAGTACTTACTGTTTTCCGGTTATAGAATAAAAATATAATAAATTCTGCAGTTACTGACATTCAAATAATCAATGTTATTTTAGGTACAGACCATCAGTGATGGTTGAAGAAACTTTCGTGGATGTACTAGAAGTAAACGTCCGTGAAAAATGTCTAGAAGGATTTACCTTTGTGTTGGAACCACCAGACATGGTATAATATCTTATTTGTCCCAAAAAGAATCAGATTCAACTGATGGTTCCAAGTGATTCTTGTTATAGGTCTCTAAAGATCTTAGTCTTGCTAATTTTTGATGAATTATGCATTTACCCATTCATGCCTTTTTCTTTATGCAGTACAGATTTGGTTGCAGCTTCCCATCTTTACTTAAAGTATGTGGTTCAGAGACTGTTACCATAGCAGACGTTAGCTCCATAAGTCAGGTTTGTACTTTTATATTGTTTTGCTTATTTGCTCTTTCTGTAGGTAGCCTTAACCGTAATCAACTCTGCAGGATTCTCAGTATGGAGAAATTAATCGCATGATATGTGTCATCCCAAAAAGTTCAGGAGACAAATTTGGCCGTTTGAAGCATCTCAGTTTGTTATCTAGAGTGAACGAGATGGATTTAGTATGCGCCGTCTTTTCCGGAAATCTACCTTCAACTTCACTGATACCACCTTCCGGTGAGTACCCAGAGCCAAATATATTTACTTTTCTCGGACTATGACCTCAAAACACTGATCTTGAAACATTTCTTGTTTGTAGTTGTAATTTCATCCTCATGCTCTACGGATGAGACAGTGGTAGCGGATTCTGATGCCGAAGAGGAAGAAATAACATCGTCTGTTCATATGATTGATGCTACTGAAAAAGCAGAAACACCAGAGAAGCCTGCAGCTATTGTAATTGAGGATAGTCCTGTTACGATATTGGAAGAAACTATGGATTTGAATGAGTTTAAAAGCGTAAACTTATTAGCAGATACTGAAGATAGAGGTCACATCGATGAAAAGAACTCAGGTGATAGTGTGACAATCCGAAGGGATCGGAACGATGAGGCTGAAACTGGTAATTCGGAGATTATATACACTCAAGATCTTATTGTTAGGGACTTGCGGTCGACTAGAAATGTTCAATCGACAGGAGGGGAAGGAGTTGTGGACTTCAAGCGATTCAGAAAGGTAAAATAGAACCTTTGGATTCTGGACAGATGTTGTGTTTGCGAGATGTTGATTTTGTTTGTTTTGATAGGGAAATGTTACATGCGGAAACAGCTTCAGTAGCCTAATACCTTTTGCGAAGGATCCATACAAGTAATCCCGGGTCTTATCTCTTGCTTGTTAGCTCATAATGTTTTCTCCTCTATGTTTTCTTGATCGTTTGCTTCGGTGATGCCAGAGAATACGATTGCGGGGACGTGACAGATTTTATGAAAGAAGAGAAGAAAAGGAAGCAGATGGAAGCCATTGCAGAGGACTTGTTTAACACTGAAAAGGTGTCAACTTTATTATCATCTAACATCAAAATCTATAGATCATCCAGCGATTCTTTTTAAACTAATATCGTAATGTGCAGGCTAGAAAGCGTGGAACGGCTGGTTCCATTCGCGGGTTTCTCACTCGAAGTTGAGGTTTCATGGTAAAATGGCCTATGGAAGAACGCATGATTCTGGATCAGTGGATCACTAGGAACTAAACAAAATCTTGTCTTTTTTTTCGTTCTTCATGAGTTAAACAATGTATGTACACGGGGAAGTGTAGATACATACACATATATATAATGATCTTTGGTTTCTCTGATGAAAACAAAAATTCAATATTAATTTTCAGAAATTTAAAAACTGAAAACATGTGGCCATTACTTCTCCGTTAACTCGAAAAGATACAAATTTTATCCTTCCTCTTGTTCTAAGGACAAGCAACAATGGAATGGCCATGGTCGGCCATCGCTGCTGCTTCTTCCTCTTCTTCTAGTTGCTTCTTTGCTTCTCCTAACTCTTGCTTGTCTATTACTAGACGAGCGAATTCGAGCTGTGCTAACAAATATCCATCGAACATTTTGGTTAAATCCTTGCGACATAGCAGATTCGACTCGAAGCATATTCTCGTTTCGATCTTTAAACGTCGAATCAATGGAGATTCCGTTGTTCGGAGAAGCACCACTAGCAATAAAAGCACCGAGGAGACTGAATCATCATCGTCTTCGTCAGTAGATTGCGTTGGAATGGGATCAGACGTGGAATGCGTCTACAACGGAGAAGATGAGGAGAATCGGAGCTCCGGAATCTTGAACGGCGGAGAAGGAACGTTGCTTGAATGGACGGTTCTGATTTCACCCTTCTTTTTCTGGGGAACGGCGATGGTGGCGATGAAGGAAGTGTTGCCCATTACTGGTCCTTTCTTCGTGGCCGCGTTTCGGTTAATTCCGGCTGGTTTGTTGCTTGTCGCGTTTGCAGTTTACAAAGCCAGACCTTTGCCTAAAGGAATCAATGCTTGGCTCTCTATTGCTCTCTTTGCTCTTGTGGACGCCACTTGTTTCCAGGTCTGCTTACTTGACATGAACACTTAAAGAGTTAAGTTGATAGATTCTTGTCTGCATGTTGGTGATGCTGATTATGATGATGGTTCAGGGATTTCTTGCTCAAGGGTTACAGAGAACTTCTGCTGGTTTAGGAAGTGTAAGTTGTTTTCTATCTCTTAAACTGTGCTCTTGTTTAAACATGAGAATTTTGTATGGCTGCTAATCTGTCGCGGTGCAGGTTATAATTGATTCTCAGCCACTGACTGTTGCTGTATTAGCATCTTTCTTGTTTGGTGAGTCCATTGGAATAGTGAGAGCTGGAGGTTTGCTTCTTGGTGTTGCTGGACTTTTGCTTCTTGAGGTAAAACATCTACTTAAACATCTATACCAAGTCCGAGTAGTATCTCGATAGTGTTCTTACAACTTGAGAATATGCCTGATTCACTATAGGTTCCATCAGTTACTTCAGATGGTAATAACTTTTCCTTGTGGGGAAGTGGAGAGTGGTGGATGCTTCTTGCAGCTCAGAGCATGGCTATTGGCACTGTGATGGTCCGATGGGTCTCAAAATACTCAGATCCAATTATGGCTACCGGTTGGGTAATGATGCTCGATCCTCCTCGCCCCTATCAAACCTTACTTGTCCCCATTTCTGTTCAATGCCTTGTCTTTGAGAGTTCTTCTTACAAGAACTAAACCAAACTAAACATGACTCCAATTTTATCTTCAGCATATGGTAATCGGTGGCCTTCCTCTTTTGGCGATTTCTGTTATAAACCATGACCCGGTTTTTAATGGCAGTCTTCAAGAGCTATCCACAAATGATGTTATAGCACTTCTCTACACATCCATTTTTGGCAGCGCAGTTAGCTATGGTGTTTACTTCTACAGCGCTACTAAAGGTCCTAATTCACTGCCCTCTCAAGAGACTTTCGCTGCTTCGGGTTTCAAATCTCTGATGCTTTTATGATTGTCTTTTTTTTGCAGGAAGCCTAACTAAACTCAGCTCACTCACCTTCCTGACACCAATGTTTGCATCAATCTTTGGGTAAGACCAAAATCAGCAATCGGTAAATCGATGATTCAAATCTAACGTTTCTTTAATCATTCATTAGTTCATAGCTCTGATATGTTTGGTTTGGACCAGATATTTGTACCTCAATGAGACTTTCTCCTCATTGCAACTGGTGGGAGCAGCAGTCACTTTGGTCGCTATATACTTGGTAAACTTTCCCGAAGGCAACGACTGAGACACTCTTTCAGTTCTTACTTCACTTATAAACTTGTTATGAAGGTGGAAAACGTATCAAAGTATCATCATGTTCAATATAAATTGTATATAGTAAAATGAATCATCATAGTTCAGTGTTAATCAAAAGCCAAGTTTTATAATAACATAACAAATGTTGCACAACTCGATACAGCAGAAGCAGATTCTCTAACTTCCTCCACAACATTTACAATCAGAGATCAACCATACTTCCAAGCGGAGCCATTATGGTAATACAGGTGTGAGCAGTTTTGGATTAGTGGTCTTCTTCTCTTCTGATTTAGCTTCCATCTCCGACTTATCAGCCACGTCAGCAACTAGTCTCTCCACATCAGCAACTAGTCTCTCAACAGGCACCTTGCTCACATCCCATCGCATGCCTATATCTGAAACCAGGCGACTGGTGCAGTACATGCCATATCCAGCAACAGCCAAACCACCAAAACCTGCTACAAACCTGAGTGGCGAAGAAAGAAGAACACTGGCAGCTGCAACAATGGAAGCGGCTTGACCGCTCCTCCCCACGTCGGTGTTTGCCACTAGCAAACCAGTTTTACAATAGATGGCAAAATCTTCACAGTTGTTCTTAAAAACATTGTACACACCAAAACCATTTTGCAAGAGAAAGTTTGCACGGTAAATGACTTCTTCAGGAGGATCTGAAGATGCTATTGTGCATACGCCGCCTCGAGGTTTAGCAAGAAAAATAGCAGGGGAAACACTGTACTCAAAGACATAGAGATCACCTCCAGCAAGGAAACATTCAAGGCAGGAAGAGATGACACCGCCAAGATTGGATCGATCTCCACAATTAGGACAAGGGTTGTCTCCATGATTATGGGATGAACTAACAATGATATTGTCCAAGAAAGTCCCAGTTCCAGTCTCTTGACCATCACCACGAGTAAAATGGTTGACTTGTCCATCACCTACATAGATTCCTGCAAATCATACACATATACAAGTTAACAAGAACGATTACAGAACAAAGAAAAGATGATAAGAAGATCTCACTAATCACATTGTCAAATTCAGGCCTTGAATTTTAGATACAGGCATTGTGAAGATCAAAGAATGAGCTATGCCTAGTAACAGAGAATAGCTGTTAAAATCACATCATAGAAGTTTCCTAAACCTTCTACTTATTTAGTACCAAACAAAAGAATCATATTATTCTTTCCCCAAATTCGAAATTTTCGCAAATCTCAACAGTTGCACAAATATCAAATTGAGACAACTAAAATTGGAAACTGAATCATCTCTAATCGCCATGAATGTAAAATGTATGTAAAAAGGGAATTACAAAGAGAGATAAGAGTGAGATCGAACCGTGATGAGCGTAGATATAGGCCTGACGCCATGAATAGATGTGATCGCCTGGTTTCACATCGTCTCTGGAGATTTTGTTGGAAAGGAAACCCATCTTCTCGCTTCCACAAAATCTCCCGCCTACGAACGGAGAACCAGAAATTAGGGATTATGTCGTCAGAGAGAGAAAAAGATCTGATTTTGCTTAGTGTGTAGGGTTTTCCATCTTCCTTGCATAAAAATCATTACTTTTTTTTAGTTCCATAAAGACACCTTTTGACTTTTGACCCCAGACAAAAATGAGATTTAAATTTTAAGTGCTTAAATCTCTCTCCTACTAAAGAACACCGTTATATTATTGGGCCTCCAATGACATTGACTATTCATTAATAAAAAGCCCAAATTAAAATTCAGACTATTTCAGCCCTTAAACCAAAAATCTTAGTCTGAGACGGAAAGAGAGAGAGTATAGCCATGGAAGTCTCAAATCAGACCAGAAAACGGAAAGCAATCGACGCCGGACATGGCTCGCCGCCGCCGGCGTATCGAGGCTCAGATTCTTACGAAGCTAGCAGTGTAGATCTTTCTCTCCTTGAAGCACTTGAGAAGTCTTCGCATCATGCAGTAGAAGCGCTTGATCTTAAAACCCTAAAAAAGCTTGTCCTCTCCTTCGAGCGGCGTCTTAGGGACAACATAGCTGCTCGTCTCAAGTATGTGGAGAATCCAGAAAAGTTCGCTGACTCAGAGGTTGACCTACACGACGATCTTCAGAAGCTAAAGGTTCTCGCTGGAGCTCCGGAGCTTTACCCTGACCTTGTTGCTTCCAATTCGGTTCCTTCGATTGTTAACCTCCTCTCCCATGATAACTCCGACATCGCCAACGATGTTGTTCAGCTTCTTCAGGATCTGACTGACGAAGATGCATTAGAGGATAACGATGAGCCGGCGCGTGTGTTAGTCGACGCACTGGTTGAAAACAATGTGCTCGAGCTCTTGGTTCAGAATATGAATCGTTTGTCTGAGGCAGACCCAGACGAAGCTACGGCTATATACGCAACTTTGACAGTGATTGAGAATTTGGTGGAAGTAAAGCCGGCTGTTGCTGAATTGGTGTGTGAACGGACGAAACTATTGCGGTGGCTTCTGACGAAGATTAAGGTGAGGGAATTCGAAGGGATCAAGCAGTACGCGTCTGAGATTCTTGCAATTCTGCTGCAAAACAGCACGGCGAATCAGAAACGGCTAGGTCAGATGAATGGTGTAGATGCTGTGCTTGAAGGTGTGGCGATGTATAAGTCGAAGGATCCTAAAACTCCTGATGAGGAAGAGATGTTAGAGAATCTATTTGATTGTTTGTGTTGCCTCTTGATGCCATTGGAGAACAAGGAGAGGTTTGTGAATGCGGAAGGTGTTGAGCTGATGATTATTATCATGAAGCAGAAGAAATATGCTTACGGGTCTGCAATTCGAGCTCTAGACTTCGCCATGACCAATTATCCACCAGCTTGTGAGAGGTTTGTGGATGTTATGGGACTGAAAACAGCATTTGCTGCTTTCATGGGTAAGGCAAGTTTTTCAATCCCGTTTTCTTCTTACCATATTTGTAAACTCTCTAGTGGGCTTATTGGGTATTGAAGTCTGTATCTTTTGTTTGAAAATGCTTGCGTAGTAGATCAAAGTAATGTGAAAGAGTCGATTCTGAGGCATACTTGCATTTTGATTTTGTTTAGTTCTTTGAATGTTTAGATTCCGCTAAACAAGAGGATCAAAAGGGAGCGGTATAAAGAGGAGCTAGAGGAGCGGGTTATTTCCCTTATTGCGTCATTATTTGGTAAGAAGGCAAGTCATATGTTTATGTAAAAGTAACTGTGTTTTCCTTGCATGTTCCTGATTTTAATTCTTTGGTTTTCTTGGCTGTTGGCTGTATATCTCAGCTGGGATTTTAAGGGGTTCTAGGAGAGATCGTTTATTAAGTAAGTTTGTGGAGAATGAGTTTGAGAAGATTGACCGGCTCATGGAATTATACATGAGGTAATATTCTGTTTCTCTTCAATAGTACACCATCTTAAGCATTTTGATTAAAAAAGCCAGGGCTTCTATATGGTGAAAGCTATGGTGAGGCAGTTACCTCAAAGTTGTGTTTCCTCTCTCATTATTGTTTGCACTTGGCAGATACTCTGATAGGGTTAGATCAGAGGCGGAGAGGTTAGACCAGCTTGAGCTTGATGACCTTGAGGTAATTTTCACTTTATCATTTTCAGTTTTCATATTTTGATGTTTTCATTCTGAGCTTTAATCTGTTTATGAACTGATTTCACTGTTTTACTTTCCAGTTGGATGAAGATGAGAAATATAACCGGAAGCTAGAATCAGGGCTCTATAGTCTTCAGGTTCGACTAAGTTTAATTTTGTCCAGTTTCATGTTCGTTTGGGAAATGTGCCTCATATGTGTACATATGCTACATTACAGACTTATATAGGCCTCTAAACTTGATTTTATCTTCTTTTTCTAGTTGTTCTTAATCTTGAATAACGTTTTCTCTGAAATTGCAGCTTGTTGCTGTCATCCTGGGCCATATTTGGTGTTCTGAGTAAGTCACACCCTTAGGAGCACCCACCAAAAAGATACTTTCCTGAGGTTTCGCTTCAGACATACTAATTTGTAATCAATACTTGATGTAGGCATTCTGGGATGAGAGGGCGGATCGAGCTGCTACTGAAGCAACAGAAGCTTAGTAAAACCGATGTCAAGCAGATTCTTCAGGTTATCTTTCTCTTTCCTAGTCTACACACCAATTAATTAGTGACTTGACTTGATATGGATAAAACATTTGAACAATTTGATTCACTGAAACCATCAGACTTAGTTCTAAGGACTGTGAAACATAAGTTTGTAATGAAAACTCTCTTGTGGTTGCTCACTTGCATTTGCTAACATAAACCCTTAACAGGAATATCACGACAACATTGGAGATCTTGATGGACCAGAGGAGAAGGAACGAGGACAGGCAAGAATTCAGTTGTTCATATCGGCAATGTGATTTAGAGAAAGAAAGAAAGAACTTGGAGATATCGCAAATGGCTTGGTATTAGATTCCAATATGGAACCAGATATACTCTGTCTCAGAGGCTTGAAGTCTAGCAAAAATCAATTATTGGTCATCAGATTCATACCCATTGTTTTGGTTTTGTCCCCTTTCGATCGATTTGGGTTATAAACTTACTTTTTTTTAGTACTTAGATAATTTAGCTGGCAGCTTTCTTACACATCTGTGCTTTCAATTTTTTTACATCTATTGTTCGTGTGAAATTCTCCTCTCTCAAATAATTTACGAATATCTAGGTTTAATAGATAATATATACAGACAAGTGGACGTGCCGGAGTGGTTATCGGGCATGACTAGAAATCATGTGGGCTCTGCCCGCGCAGGTTCGAATCCTGCCGTTCACGGATTTTTAATTTCCTTTTTTCTTTTTTTTTTTTAATTCTCGCATACGTGTGAAATTGATGAGACCACACGACACATGTGCTCCCCAAACGTCGCCGTGACCCGCTCGCTCCGGTCAGAGTCATTATCTCTCCAAATTCAAAACACGTTCAACCAGAATCTCTCTCTCTCTCTCTCTCTCTCGCTGAAAAATGGCGAACTCGAGAACTGTTTTGATCTTGTGCGGTGACTACATGGAAGACTACGAGGTCATCTTCTTCCTCTGCTTCTGTTTCTTTGCCTCTTTCTTAATCCCATTTCTTCCTTGTTCTTATATATACATCAGCTGATTACTTATGTGTGTGGCTTATTCTCCCAGGTAATGGTCCCGTTCCAAGCTTTGCAAGCTTTCGGAGTCTCCATCCACACCGTCTGTCCCGGAAAGAAAGCTGGCGACTCTTGCCCCACCGCCGTTCACGATTTCTGTGGCCACCAGGTTTCTCCCTCTCTCTCGATCTCGATCTCGATCTATTTATATACGATCCATTGAAACTAGATTTAGAAATGCTTCATTTCAATTGAGCTTCGAATTAGATGTTATATGTATTGTAGACAAGTTTCTGATGTATTTGTTAGAGCATTTGCAGACCTATTCTGAGTCACGAGGTCACAATTTCACTCTCAATGCAACTTTTGATGAAGTTGACCTTAGCAAGTATGATGGATTGGTTATACCAGGAGGACGTGCTCCAGAATACCTGGCATTGACTGCATCTGTTGTTGAGCTGGTTAAAGAGTTTTCAAGATCTGGCAAGCCCATTGCCTCTATTTGCCATGGGCAGTTGATATTGGCAGCTGCAGACACAGTCAATGGTCGAAAGTGCACAGCTTATGCAACTGTTGGACCTGCCCTTATTGCTGCAGGTGCTAAGTGGGTCGAACCGATAACACCGGATGTTTGTGTTGTTGATGGTAGTTTGATTACTGCAGCTACATATGAGGGTCATCCTGAATTTATCCAGCTTTTTGTCAAGGCTCTGGGCGGTAAAATAACTGGAGCAAATAAAAGTATCTTGTTTCTTTGTGGGGTAAGCAATCTTACTATTCTGCTGAATAAAAGGATTTTGTTTCTTTGTTCAGGTTTTGTTGGTTAATGAACTACACACTCGGGTCTCTTCAACATCACAGTTTTGGTTATTTTTACTTTTGCAGGATTATATGGAAGACTATGAAGTCAAAGTCCCTTTCCAGTCCCTTCAAGCTTTGGGATGTCAAGTTGATGCGGTTTGTCCAGAGAAGAAGGCTGGTGATCGCTGCCCAACTGCAATCCATGACTTTGAGGGTGACCAAACTTACAGTGAGAAACCAGGCCACACTTTTGCTTTAACTACTAACTTTGATGGCCTAGTTTCCTCGAGTTATGATGCTCTGGTCGTTCCTGGAGGCAGAGCACCAGAATATCTGGCCTTGAACGAACATGTCCTTAACATAGTTAAAGAGTTCATGAATTCTGAGAAACCAGTTGCGTCTATTTGCCACGGACAACAGATCTTAGCTGCTGCTGGTGTCCTCAAGGTCAGTATTGTTCCTTCGTAGCCCCAATGTATTTATCTGTGTCCTCCTTTTTCTTGCCACTACAAGTAGTTTGAGGAATTTACTCTATGTGACCTGATCACTGGCTGGTGCAGGGAAGGAAATGCACTGCTTATCCAGCCGTGAAACTGAACGTGGTACTGGGAGGAGGAACTTGGTTAGAACCAGATCCAATCCACCGATGCTTCACTGACGGAAATCTGGTAACTGGCGCAGCATGGCCTGGACACCCAGAGTTTGTGTCACAGCTAATGGCTTTGTTGGGAATTCAGGTCTCATTCTAAGTTCCATGTTATGAAAAGAATCCGTCAAACACACTTGTCTACTATGTAATGTGTGTAATGGTGTATGGTAAATGTTACTGTGAAAAAATCACTTGAGTTTCATGAAGAACCCCACTGTTGATGCTTTTATTATGGTGAGAATGATTTCTATAAGACTTGTGCTAGTTCTCAAGGTCCTCCCATAATTCTCTTCAACAATGGCAAATTTCGGCAACAATGCCTTGTTCTCAGGTTAAATGAAATGGATATTTCAAGTTCTGCTTCCCATACATAAATATCAAAAAAGGAATATTGTTTTGCAGAAAAGTAAAACAAATTATGTCTCATCTACAGAAATAGCATATGATTGAACCGAAATTACCCGGTGACCCAACAGTAAAACCGAAACAAATCGGATCAGGGCCCATGAGTAAAGACGGATAAAAGAGCATAATAAAATATATTAAAATCTGGCTATAGTTTATTAAAGACCTTGAGGTTTTTTTTCTTATCCCTTGCTGAATAAGTCAGAGACGAAAAGGAGCAAACCCTAATTTCCGATGATGCCGCCGAATATGAGATCAGTCATGTCGCTGGTAAATCGAAAAATAATAATGAATATGCGTGGAGGGAGATCGATGGGGGCTCGCCGTAATTTCTGTTCAACACCTGAAAGCAGCAATGGTAAGGTTTCCGCTATCTAATTGGCGAGCGTGGGGCTTCGATGTATTTGTATTCGGAGGGGAAACAAAAAATCTTTGATATGTTTTTGTATGTAATTGTAGATTCCCTTCCAAGAGAAATTGTAGATTCCCTTCCAAGAGAAATGGCTATATGGTTGGTAAGTCGAGGTGTAGGAGTGGCTGTGGGATATGGCTTAGGTATGGAGAGATTTTATCCTCTTAAATTTGTCATCGACCGATTCTCGAATTAATTATCCTCTTAAATTTGTCATCGACCGATTCTCGAATTAAATTTGTCATCGACCGACCGATACTTGAGAAGAAGATGGAACGGGTAAAAACATAATCAAGAAGCACTTGGAATGACATTGTGACCAGTCCTATTATTTCATCATTTTTATCTTTTGTTTTCAGAAATCGAGGAGGAAGAAGCAGCAATAAATCCTAATTATGATGAAGCTTTTAATAAATCCTAATCTGCTTCTAATAAATCCTAATTATGATGAAGCTTTTGTATCCGTAAATCAAGCCTTTTGCTAAAGAGGATATATGTTTAATAAAAGGAAGAAAATTCAAGTATTATGGTTATGGACATGATCAGTGGATTTGGTAGGCTTGACTATAATGATTTGGGCATTTCAGTTTACTTTGTATCATCGAACATTCAAGTATCATGTCAAGTATCATCGAACACCTTAAAATTTAGAATTTTACCTTTTTGGTTTTACACATAGATTCTCGATGACACCAGGGCCCAGAGAAATGAAACATGGGCCCAACAGTATAGGCTGAGAAACGATAACGCAACGTAGGCCCGTTTTTATGTTATACTATAACTTTGTGAAAAAAGCAGAGGCGAAAAAGAGCCAACCTATCTAATTTTCGATCATGCAAAGTCTGTATACGTGTTTAGTTTTTGTTTGGTTCTGTCATGGATCCTGTGGACTAAATTAATCTATGGGTTGCATTTTATAGTGGTAGCTTTTTTCCTTGTTACGTACACAGATTTAAAGGTATAAGCTACAAACACGGTGCATCTTTTTTTTTTTACTTCCATCAGCAAATAAAAGGATCTTGTTTCTTTGTGGAGTAAGCAATCTTACCATTCTGTGGAGTAAATCTTTTATTGATGGCCATGTCTTTTCATTAGTTCTGCTTACGATATTGATTTAGATTGTACTTCATATATCAGAGGGCCTCAGGGTTTGTGGACAGATCGATAAGCATTTCTCGATTTATTTGTAGAATATATCAAGATCATTCAATCAACTTTTTACTTTTTAGGACTTGACAAGCTTTTCTAGTGTTTTTTTTTCAAACATGACTGAAGCATAGATTTTGTTGGTTAATGAACTATTTTCTCTCGTCGTTTGACTAGCTACCTATCAAAATAGCACTTGAGTTTCATAAAGAATCCCACCGTTGATGCTTTATGGTGAGAATGTTTTCTATAAGACAAGTGCTAGTTCTCGAGTTCCTCCTATATTCTCTTAAACAATGGCAAACTACGGCAAGAAAGCCCTCAGATTTCTAATATGATTCCTCCTATATTTGTTGTCTGTGAAGCTAATATGATTTTAGGTTAATAATGGACAAACAATATTTATTTATAGGCATGAACAGTGGATTTGGTCTTTGAATTGCCTTTTCTGTTTAAAGAGTTGACTTCAACTACCTTCAAAAACGTCGTACTAGACCACCTGAAGTCAAAGCAAAGAAAGAGTTTGAGTTACCAAATCTCTTTGGTAGAAGCAGAGATTCAATATCTTCGTCATCTTATTCGTTGTATTTTCCATTGATAGGCAAAGAGATATCATCATCTTCCTTCATCATATGTAGCTTTCGGTTTTTCTTTAGAGATATCTTGGCCTTTCTTGTTCCAAGCCTGCCTGTGTTGCTCTCGGCGGAAGATGCAGCCAGTTTCAACGTACATTGAAATATCAAATAATCAAAGCTAGAGCTATGTAACTTTTACCATGTCTTGTTTGTTTGCAAACACTAGAATGACATTGTTGAGCATGAATGGGTCTCTTATGATCTCCTAAAGAAATCAACTTTAGTTGGTTTGTAAGTTTTGGTGTTCAAAGTTCGGCATGTTTTCATGTAATATAGATTGAACACTTAAATTTATTTTTAAAAATTAATTATGATTTTGACTAAAATTTCAAACAAATTTAACACTTAAACTTTAAGAAAATTATGCTTTTAACCAATACCATGTTAATTTCATTATTACTTTATAAAAATAAGTTTAAGTGTTAAATTTTAAAAACGTCGAAAACTAACCGCGCCTAGGCATCCTGTCCTTAGTTGGTCCGTAAGATTTGGTGTTCGAAGTTCGGCATGTTTTCACGTAATATAAGATTTAACACTTAAACTCATTTTAAAAATAAATAATGATTTTGACTAAAATTTAAATCAAATTTAACACTTAAAATTAATATTTTTTGAACTAAAATCATGTTAATTCCACTATTACTTTTAAAAAATTAGTTTAAGTGTTCAATTTTTAAAACGTTGAAAACTGACCGCGCCTAGGCATCCGATCCTTAGTTTGTCCGTAAGTTTTGATGTTCGAAGTTTGGCATATATTCACGTAATATACATTTAACACTTAAACTAATTTTAAAAGAATAATAATGATTTTAACTAAAATTCTTTTGATTACACTCAAATTTAAAATAAATTTAGTATTTAAACTTTAAGAAATTAAAATGCTTTTTAAATAAAACCATGTTAATTTCACTAAAGTGCATAACGCACCGACTCTTCCAAACCAAATCCAAAATTTCAACTACAACATCCTTGAGACCAAATCAACTCAAACCTAATTAAAGATATGATTAATAAACATTAATCTTTATCTTGATCATATTTCTTGAAACATTTACACATACAACATAATCTCTTATTGACGTTTCCTCATCAGCTATAGGGATAACATCAGTCAGATTTTCCATTACATACAACCAGTTATGGTAAAGACATATAATGGGATTGGTTTATCCCGAACCAACAGACCTCGCTGTTTCAATCGCTGCAACCAGATCATCGTATTTCGCACCGGTCACTTCCTTGACGACCTTGTTGTCCTTCAATATCTTGAAAGTTGGAACCACTCTTATTCCTAGCTCCTTTGCCAATGGCTGCACCAACAAAAAGAGTCTCAAAGTTTTTAATGGCTTAGCAACAACAACAATACAGAAAACCGAGTAACCAAATCGAGAGATAAAGAGCAGAACACAAACCCGGTTATCTGGATTGCAGTCAAGCTTTAGAAACACAACGTCCTCGTACTTCTCTGATAAAGCTTTGTATTTAGGAGCAATCACTTTACATGGACCACACCTGCATAAGGTAAAAGAGAGCATCTTTTTGTTCATGGATTTAAAACATTCACTATGGAATCTAAATGAACCACATGTGCAGAAGAATCTCATTGAGAAGATTGAAAGCCAATTAGCCAAGGAAACTTTGAACAGTCTCAAAGATCAAAACCATCAGAAACTAAACATTCATTAGGAATTCTATGCGACTTCCCGGCTAGTATACAATGAAAATGCAAAGACGAACCAATATCTCAGCTAATCATTTGTATACGCCACCGAATCCGAACTATATATGTTTCAGAACTTGAAAATTCTACACACTATTGAGGAAGAACTAACACAAAAATCAGAAGGAAAAAAAAAAACAGGTATCCAATTGAAGAAGGTATAAACATAAGACATAAAATTCTTCCTTCCTATGATCAATCGAAAACCTAAGTATTCGACATCGCAACGCCATTGATTCATCGATTCGGCTCTATGATCAATCGCAACAATCAAATCAATTAAGTTCTAGCTATATACAATCAGAGATTTTGAAACCTAGAGAGTCATAGAAGCAGAGGAGATAGATACCATTGAGTGTACATGTCAAGTACGACAATCTTTTCACCGGCGGCTTTAACGATGGGCCAGAACGTGTCCTTATCGACCTCCGTCACCTGACCAACACTGACATTCACGGTCTCTAAGCTACATCTAACCACAGATGAATCTCCTCTTTTCCCATTATCCAAAGAACAGAAACCAATCTTCGTCGTCGCGACGCCGGAGTAAGGAATCCGGCACTGTTTCCGCGATGGACCAAATCCTCCGGTGGTCGGAGCTAAAGCCGTCGGAGAAGGAGAAAGACGGAGAGAGAGAGGCATTGTATGGGGAATTCAACAGAGTGACGATGACGCAAAATTTTCGAAAAGAGAGAGTGTGTGTGTGAGGTCTCAACGGACTGAGCAAAATATTTATTTTTGTGTGATGGATTTTATAGCAGAAAAGACGGTATTATCCTCGAATGAACAAGAATATTCGGGGGTAGTTATGGTAATTCTATGTTTTCGTGATAGATGAACGGGAGGTGTAGAATTCTTGAGGAATTAAGATTGATATTTATGTTTTTACTAAGAAATTACGCTTCGGTCCCTCAAAATGATGAGACAAACATGAATTCTTTTATTTTCCATAAATATAACTATTTTAGACTAAAATACCAACAACATGCATGATAGTTCAGTGATTAATAGTTTTTTTTTTTTTTTTTTTTGATTAATAGTTTTGGTTTTAAGGAAAACTCTCATAGTGATCAAACAGTTTTAAATCCAACTATTTTTGAAAACGGATGATTTTAACACTAATCATTCATCTAAAGTCGATTCTTTTTATAGAAAAAATCTACATTACACGGTAAAAATGAGCCTAATAATGTATCACAAAGCATATTCATGTGAAAAATGAAGGTTATACAAGTGAAAATAACGTACTGAACAATTGCCGCCAAAGTGTAAGCAAGCAGTTATTTCCGTTTTCTTCTTTAAGCGATTACATTCTCGAATCTTTTTTTTTTTTTCTTTACTTATTTTTTATACATAGAATTTTTTTAGCCGGTCTTAAAGTTAATTTCGAATGTTGTTTAATTTTTTTTATTGGGAAAGTAGCAATTTTTCTTCTTCTTTTTCTTGGCCTAAATCTTACTCCACCGCCAAACTATACTTTTCTTTCTTTTGCTTCTTTCTCTTCACTTTCTTTGGGTCTCTCAACTAATTTACTTAGGGATATCTCCGGTAATGGATCTCAGGCGGAGACAGTGGTTCTTGTTGCCGATTTTACTGTCGGCGGCGTTGCTGATTGAGCTGCAGTTATCGACGGCGGCGACGGCTCCGGATAATTTGGTATTTCAAGTTCGAAGCAAGTTCGCCGGAAAAAGAGAAAAAGATCTTGGAGCTCTCAGAGCTCACGACGTCCACCGTCACTCAAGACTCCTCTCCGCCATCGATCTTCCTCTCGGCGGCGATAGCCAGCCTGAGTCTATTGGGTTCGAATCGCCATTAACCAGAACCTGTAATTTGGGAATTTTTTTAACAAAAAGTCGGAATTTTTGTTTTCTATGAATGTGGAATCTGAAGAAAAAGCAAACCTTTTAGCTTTTGAATCTATTGAGATTCTCAACTCTTTGATTGGTTCTTGACTCATTGTTCTTAGACTAAGAAATGATCGTCTTCTTGTGTCTCCTATGTTAAAATGTTGATTCTTGTTCTTTGTGTTTGTAATTTCAGTTTATACTTCGCTAAAATTGGACTCGGAACTCCATCAAGAGACTTTCATGTGCAAGTTGATACAGGAAGTGATATCTTGTGGGTGAATTGTGCTGGTTGCATTAGATGTCCTAGGAAGAGTGATCTGGTATATACCATCAATTTTATCCCTCCAAAGAGAACAGAACTTTAAGTTACATTATGTTTTAGTTTCATAGTTTCATTATCTTTCAGGTGGAGCTGACACCTTATGATGCCGATGCTTCGTCCACTGCAAAATCTGTTTCGTGCAGTGACAACTTTTGCTCTTACGTTAACCAAAGATCTGAGTGTCACTCAGGTTCTACTTGTCAATATGTTATTCTGTATGGAGATGGGAGCTCAACTAATGGATACTTGGTGAGAGATGTTGTACATTTGGATTTAGTTACTGGAAATCGTCAAACTGGTTCCACCAACGGAACTATTATCTTCGGGTTAGTTTAAGGAAAAAACAGCGTTATTCTTCTACGAATTTATAGCTTGTTGTGGCTTGCAAATCTCTGAAGCATTCTTTTTGTGGTTCTTATATAGATGTGGGTCTAAACAGTCTGGTCAGCTCGGAGAATCTCAAGCTGCGGTTGATGGGATAATGGGATTTGGACAATCGAATTCATCGTTTATATCACAGCTAGCTTCACAAGGAAAGGTCAAAAGGTCTTTTGCACATTGTTTGGATAATAACAATGGAGGCGGTATATTCGCCATTGGAGAGGTCGTGTCACCGAAAGTAAAGACTACTCCTATGCTCTCTAAATCGTAAGTGAATGCCTTCTCTTAAAGCTCTTCTATTTCTGTTCCTTGTCAAAAAGTTTTGAATTTCTTACACTGGTTTGTAACTATTTTACAGAGCTCACTATAGTGTCAACCTCAATGCAATTGAAGTTGGTAATTCAGTTTTACAACTTTCTTCGGATGCTTTTGATTCGGGAGATGACAAAGGAGTTATTATTGATAGTGGTACAACTCTGGTGTATCTTCCTGATGCTGTTTATAACCCGTTAATGAATCAGGTGAATACTATTTCTGTTACTTGTGAATTTCTTTCTGTCTTCGTCTATAAAGTTCTTAACACTTTGTTTTTTTTACCCTTGGGGTTTGTCAGATTTTGGCTTCACATCAGGAGCTTAATTTGCATACAGTTCAAGATTCGTTTACTTGTTTCCATTATATAGACAAGTAAGAATCTAACTCATTGCCTTGTCATTCTCGGTGTTTAGTGTTCACGAGAATGTTTGAAATGGTACTGTCATTTGCTGGAAATGTACTAGTTTTTGCTCTTGGAATTGAAATGGAGTTGGACTTAGCTGAATCTGATGGAATGCACCTAGTCTCCGATGTTTAATGTTTTGACCCGCTGAAACTTTCTGTCAAATTCACAGATTAGATCGGTTCCCAACTGTCACTTTTCAGTTTGACAAGTCTGTTTCATTGGCGGTTTATCCTCAGGAATATCTATTCCAAGTTCGAGTAAGTCTTGTTCCTGTTCTGAGTTCGTGTTCTTGTTTTCTTGTTCTGACATAAAAACTGATTATAGGAAGACACATGGTGTTTTGGCTGGCAAAACGGTGGATTGCAGACTAAAGGAGGAGCATCATTAACAATTCTTGGAGGTACATATCTCTTTGAAAAATGACTTTCATCCTGAAATTGCTGAAAATTTTGAGCCTTGATTTGTTACGCTGCGCAGACATGGCCCTCTCTAACAAGTTAGTTGTCTACGATATCGAAAACCAAGTCATTGGATGGACCAATCACAACTGTAAGCATTACAAATCCTATATTTGTCTTCATTGCCACAACTTCTATGAGATTTGAAGCATTAGGTGTTTTGACTGTAATGAAATACTGAATCACACAGGCTCAGGAGGAATACAAGTTAAGGATGAAGAAACTGGAGCAATCTACACTGTTGGTGCACACAACCTTTCATGGTCGTCTTCTTTAGCTATTACAAAACTTCTTACACTTGTTTCTTTCGTAATTCCTTTCTTCTGTAACATTGCTTTATAGTTTCAGATAAAACCCTCTTGGGACAAAGTATATTCCTACTGTTGTTAGTTGTTACCATTAAAGGATCTGATTCCCATTTGTTGAATATTTTTTGCCACTTTCATGATCGAGAAAGAGAGGGATTGAGACAAATTCTGTACTTGGAATTGGAGCTTTTTGAAAAGATAAAAACAGGAAATTTTCCCAACAGACTGACAAAATTAAGCCCGAGGGGAATCACAGAATTACAGACACAAGCCATTATTACATCATGTGATGTTTTTCACTCTTCTTTACTGACAAGACCAAAAAACAGCATAAACATCAACAAGAGAGAAAGACAATAAAAGACAAAACTGACAAAAATTTAGGTTCCAAAACCAATGAATTATGACTCAAAAAAAGAATAGAGATCAATGTAAGAAAGTTGAAACGGAAAAACAAATGAACAAAAAGACACAGTACCTTGTCTTGGGTGATTTATTTTGATATCATTTATCACCTCTCAACTTCTTCCACTTCAACTCTTCTTTCTCTTTTCACTTTCCAGGCACAAATCTTGGTAAGTTTAAAAGTGTATTAACTCTCGCAACACCTTCTAGTGCAGAATACTCTGTTCCAGGTTCTGAATCCAAGTTATCCGCTTCTTTTATCAGCTTCTCAGCTTCACTTTCATCAAGAGCAATCTCTTTCCCCGTCCTGACAGTACTCGAACGGCCTAGACCGCTTGGTCCTGATGCATCATCATCCTCAGTTGCGGCTTTTAGTTCTTCTTCTTCATCTTCCAGTTTGGAGATGGAAGAAGCCGTAGATATGGCGTTTGTGTTGTTGGAGTCTAGATACAAGCAAACAGCGGCACAGTCATCGACTTTGGAAGTCGGGTATTTGTATCTCCAAGCTCTAACTGCAGACTCGACTAAAGATCTAGCTGCAGAGGAGCGCGATGGAGCTGAAGCTACAATCGCCACTACATCTTCATTTGAGAGAACATCCCAAATCTATCACACAAACATAACATTAGAAATGTGAGCAAAAATTACAAATACAAAAGATATGTGTCTAAGAGAGAGAGAAATTACCCCATCTGTAGCCAACACTATAAACTCATCTTTTTCCGTTAATCGACGGAAAGATACATCAGGCACAGAGATTAGGCCAAAATCTTTAAGGCAAAAGTCTCCAAAAGCACGTGCCATAGCAAGTCCAGGTGAGTCACAATTTGGCAGCCAAACTCTACAAACTTCAGGTTCATCTCTAAGTGCAAACACCCGTCCTCGACACTTTCTTATTCTCTCTGCCTCAGCTGCAAGTTCAATTGAGGGAATTAAAAAAACCCAATAAACATGATTAATGGATCCATCATACATCCACAGGACAACATCATACATTTCACATAAGGAAGCATCATCAAACCTGGGAGATTTGGCTTAAGATCCACAGTTAGTTGAACAGCGACAAGAGCATTTTCACTGTCTCTTGTACCCATTACAGCTCTAGAGTCCCCAACATTTCCAACAACGAGATACTGACCCTGCAATATTGCAGAGGATACATAATAAAGATTTATGAAACAGTGAATAAGGCTTAAACTTTATACATACCAAACCGAGACAATACCTGCTTGATCAAGGTTACAGCTGTTGTCCCACTGCAGAAACAGTCAACACTTCCATGGAATTTAAGTTCTCTATCCATAACTTTAAAAGCCTTAAGAAACGACTCTTTCAGCGTTTGAAACAATTCCGGTTGGGATTCTGTGTTCTCCTCCTCCATGTCAGCAGATGTCCTAGGTTCTTCTTCAGCAGATACAAAAGCAGCAGCAGCAGCATCTTCAGGGTTGTTAATGTTGGTTGCATTATTAACGGTGTCGGTGGTGATTGGCTTTAGAACACCTTCAACTGGTACTTTTGCTTCCCAATAAGCACTTAATTTGAGAGGAAGATTGTCTCTAACCCTCTTTGCAACCAGATGACCATATGGACCATGTCCATCAAACACTCCACAGAAGATTGTATCTGTCCTCGAACCAAAATCCTGAGCATAAAAACAGGAAACCATCAGAATCATTTGCATAGATCAGTATTAAAACAAAGATAGTCTGGTGATTCTACATAGATTTCAATATTTCAGATTGCAGTACATAGAGTATATACACCAGCTTTAAATATAAGTGTGAAACTATAAGATGAAGTCTTTGATGTAAAAAATCAAGATTCTAAATCATTTACTGGTTAGATCAAAGCAGTGAAGAAGAAACAATAAAAAAGGGAAGACTTAAGGAACAAACCTCCCAAACAACCATGGCATCTTGATTAGGCCCTTTCTTGCCTTGTTGAGTGAAGATACAAGCAACCTCACTTGATCCATTCAAGAACATGCGCCCCGGAACCTGATTCAACGGTTCTTCTCTTCTGTAATCAAAGGAAGAGTTCCTAGAACCAGGTCGCTTCTTAGAGTTCTTCCTCTTCCTCACACTGAAAGCAGGAGAGCAAGGAGAGCCCGGTCTAGGGCTCCTGCTCTCTGCAGATAAACAGGACCCCATTCTAAGGGCCCTGATTATATTAAGAAGGCACTCCAGACCAACAATGGAACAATCACTCCCACGGTCCTCCAGCGAGAAAGATTGAACCTTTAGATCACAATTCTCACCGCAAAGAGCAATGATGATTCAAACTATGCAAAAGAGATGTCTGTAAAAAGACAAAACCCCTTTTCAGATCCCAATGATCACCACAAAGAGCAAATGATGCTGATTCAGTCTGTAAGAAACAAACCTCAAATTTAGTTCCAGCTACTTTCTGCAAGAACCTTTTTGATCAATCTAATTCTTCAACTACCAGTACATACACACACACACCCAGTGATTTTTAAACCCAAATCGTCAAAATTGAATGAACAAAAAAAAAACAGAAATTTTTAAAAAATCAAGCCTTTCAAAGCTGACCAAGGAAAAGGTAAAGGTGAGACTTCTGGCTCTGACCCTTTTCGAGTCTTGAAACGAAAAATAAAAAACGTTTTCTTCTAACAAATATTTAATTTGTACAGCAAAATTAAACCCAAAAGAGTTTTATGAGAAAAAAAGGAACAGATCTACGTAGATTTTCTTTTTCCACCATACACAAGAAAAAAAGGAAAGTGTAATTTTTATTTATTCATCAAAAACAGTGATTGGGAAAGAGACCCAAAACACGAGAATCATGAGAACCCTTTCTTTCTCAGCAATCTCTTCTTCGTCTGCAACCAATCAAAAAAAGAATCACTGAGAAAAATTAAACTCAAACAAAAGAATCAAACTTTATTTTATATCAAATTCCCAAATTCAAATTCGAGCTGATAAAGAGACTCACCAGGATCAAAAGGTAAGAGGATCTCAGAACAGATTCAAATCGGGGGAAATAAGAGAAGAAGAGCTTGAGATTTTTCTGTTCGTGCGTAGATAGATAGATAGATTATAAACAAAAAAAAGGAATTGAAAGATGAAAACAAACAAAAAAAAAAAGAGAAAGAAGAATATAAACGAGAAAGAAACGCAACCACCAACTACAAACCCGTTCTTTCTTCTTCTTCGTCTTTCTACTTTTGTGTGTCTAGAGAGAGAAGAGAGAGATAGAAACAGTAATGGAGATGGGTCACACTCTCTCTCAAAAAAAAAACAATTATACAATACAACCAAATATGTTATCAGATTTTTTTCTTTCTCATGAATCATTATTTTATTTTTATTAATAATTTAATATAAACGGTTTTTATGAATATTGTTTTCTTTTTTGTTTCAGGCTGGCAGAATTAACATGGGCTTGGATAAGACGTTTCTTACACTTATATAATTTTCCGACATCCACTAGAATATAATAAGAAGAATTATTAAATTGTGAAAATAAAAAATCCAATAACAGATCATTTATTTTAGATCATCAAATCATATTCAGGTCACACACAATTAGTCAATCATCCCACTCTTTATCAGATTTAATCTATGATTTTAATTATGCTATTGATATAAAAAGAATAACTTAACCACTGTGAATTCTTCTAATTTTAGGTGAAAGAAACAACTGATTATTTTCTATTAATGATCAGAGAATGGTAAATCTACTTATGTTGATCCGGTTTGATTTGTTTCCTAATCAAATGTAAGTACTTTTTTACAGCGAAAACGTGTAGAGTGTAGACAATAGTCAATGGAAACGTGAGATGTGAATACAGAAGTGACCTTAAGTTACTTGAAGCCACCACATGTCGGCAGAGAGGTACAGAAACCAACACGTATCGTCTTTCTTCTTCTCATCTCAGGCAAATGCAATCAGAGAGATCTGCAGATCACATTTCTGTTTTTTTCGAGACAGCCTTACCTGTTGTGTTTCATTTTCTCTTTCGGTCTTCTTCTATTTTTCCACCTCATTTCAATCTTATAAGATCGCAGATTAGCTTACATAGGAACGACTATTTTGGTTGGGTCCCTTGATCAGAATCAGAATCAGGGATAAGGATTTGTTTTGAAAGAAACGTAACTTTGATATTTGCGTTTACATATTTACATATATAAGAAACAAATCAAACCGGGTCGGTTATCGACTAATGATCTCACATCATCAATCAAAATTCATCTACTCTAAATATTCAAATACGAAAAACCTCATCAACATCAAAATCTCTAATAAGTTCTTATCATCACAAGTCATGCTTTTCCCATCAGATTCAAAACACCAATATCAAACATACGACACAAAAAAAAAGAGTAAAAAAATGCAAAACACAGTATGATTCCTTTTTTCTGGGCATCGAACCAGGGAGCGAGTGTGTACCTTTCATCTCTTTTCAACAACTCAGTAGTTTCAACAATTCTCCCACGAAACTATCTCTAGAACATGTTTGATCTTCTTTCTCTTCACTTCCCTTCTCGAGCTTCTTCAATGTCACAAAACCTCCACTGAGTTCCTTTTCTCCTACCATCACCATCCAAGGAATCCCTGATTCCTTTGCTCGATTGAAATGCTTTTCCTTCCTCTTACTCACTAGATACTCTGCGTTGATCTTAGCATCCCATAACTGACTTACCAGTCCTGCTGCTTCCGCTAGTTTATTATCCACCATTATACTAACCAAAACCTGTGTCTCCGTTGGTCGAATCACCTAAATTCATAGCAAAAAAACACAACGTTCAAAATCCATTCTTTTCAAACAAGGTCAACAAACAGCATAAGGGTTTGGCAAGTTACTTGTTTCTGTTTCTCGTTAAGCTCTTCCATTATGTTAAACACTCTCTCGATTCCCAGGCTCATCCCAACCGCAGGGACTTGCTTTGTTCCAAACATTCCTATAAGGTTATCGTATCGCCCACCAGCACCAATTGATCCCACCTGCAGAAAGAAGAAATCAAAGGCCATACACTTTCTCTAATTGAATTGCAAGAAGCCAAGATGCGGGATTTTACCTCTGCTCCTATACAAACAGCTTCAAAGATGACGCCCGTGTAGTAATCAAGACCTCTAGCTAGACTTAGATCAAAGACTATTCTGTGACTGCACTTTGATCTTTCAAGAGCTTCAAACATGATACTCAACTCATCCAGAGCTTCTCTTGATGACTGGTTATCTAAGAACTCACTCCCTTCTTGTCTCAGTTTAGACAATAGCTCCAAAGGAGCTCCCTTCTCCTTAACAAAGTTGCCAATTCTGTCTGCAATCTCTGAAGACAAGCCCTTCTCCTCCACCATTTCTTTCTTCACTTGCTCAAACGACTGCTTGTCTAACTTGTCGATACTCGAACAGATGGTCCTGAATTTCTCAGGTGGTACTCCACATATCTCTAGCATTCCATCAAGCAACTTGCGGTGATTCAGTTTCACCTATTTAAACATACCAGAATTAAGAACATAGCCAAAGAGAAAACCAACCAGGAAAGATTAAGACTTTCAACTTAAGTTATTACCTCATAATCTCCAATCTCCAATTCATCGAGGAGTTCAGTTAATATCTTGACAATTTCAAAATCGGGTCCCATTGGTTCGAACAAACCAGCGATATCAAAATCACACTGATAAAACTCTCTGTATCTCCCTTTAGATGGATTATCCCTTCTGTACACCTTTGCTATTTGGTATCTTTTGAATGATGTGATTCCATTCATAGCCACATACCGTGCAAATGGAACAGTTAAATCATATCGTAAAGAGCAAAGCTCTCCACCCTGAAAATAATATATCCACATGAGCACAAATTTTGACAAACAAATCATCAAATAAACTGATGATATTGCAGCAGCCAAGATGAGTTTTACCTGATCAGCAATATCATAAACCAATTTTGAGTCTTCTCCGTACTTTCCCATAAGGGTCTCTCTCAATTCAAAAACAGGAGTATCAAGTGCAGTTGCACCGTGCCTCTTGAAAACGTTTTGTATGATTGAAAAGGCTTTTTCTCGGACTGCCATTTGTTCTTTAGCGAAATCTCGAGTTCCCTGTCATAGAATCAAACAAATCAGAAATTAATTTGGGGCCTAAACATTCTCCATATACGAGATTGTATTTTACCTTTGGAAGCTTGGGAAGTCTCCTGTTTTCATTACTTTCTACAATCTCTTTCACTTTATCCAAGAAGCTATCAAAACCACGACCCTCGGGGTTGAAAAGATTTAAGATTTGCTCCACCCATTGCTTGATTTGCTTCAATGAATGCATCTGGTCACCATCACTTGCTGCCTCATTACTCACCAATCTATCTTTGATAAACTGGATAACTACACTTGTCCCCTTCCCCACAACTGTTTTTTTCTCATTCTTCTTTTTTTTCTTATCGTTCTTCGACTCTTCTTTGTCCGCATCTCCGCTCTTCTGAACAAACAATTCTCCACCAGCAAGAGGAAAAAACGCAGTAACTGCCTCCAAACCAACAATTCTCCATACAATACCCAGAGACTCATTCAGTTCGTGAGCAAATTTGCAGTAATCCTCTTCCAAATGAGCAGTATAAGCTAACTTATAGCTATTCTTTAGTTTCTCAAACTCAACATAGCTATTTTCGAACACTTCAGACAAACAATTCTTCAGATTCTCATTCCCAATCTTCTCGAAACAAAGCTTAGCACGAAGGAACGAACACACACCCAAGTTTTTAATCGCCGTTAACAAAGGTAACAATGTTGTCCCTAAAGCCTCACCAATACCAGTGTTTCCAGACCCAGTTTTGCCTCCTTTAACACCGGAATTCAATTCTCTCCTAGCATCAGAATGCACACTTTTCACCACATACCTGAATTTCCCATGAATCCAAGGGATTTTCGAAATCTCTTCGATTTCTAACTTCCCTACACCTTTATACCCGTTAAGCAAAACCTTGAGATCACCAGCAACACCAATCACATCTTTATCACTATTCCCATCTCCAGAATCCAACAAGCTAAACGAAGCTATATCAGCCTTTGTAACCTCACAACTCAAAGCAGCAACAGAATCCACAATCTGGGAAAGAGTCGTCGATTTGTGATCTATAATAGAACAGAGTCCAATCAACGGAGCAGAAGACTTCTCCAACACAATGTTTTCCCCTTCAGTCACATCAATCTCACCCAAATCCAAACTCTGAGCCTTCGAATTCAGAATCTCTAAAATCTTAAGCGGAAGAACAGAACGAGCGGTGGAGGAAGAAGGAGGACCAGAAGTCGACAAAATAAGCTTGTTTAAGAGAACAGCCAAAGAAGCTCGAGTTTCTTCGTTCGTTAAACCTTGAGGGATACCAAAGGAGCTTCTTTTGATCGATGGAAGGTTTCTAGTGGAGAATCTCTCGATCGCAGAAGAGTCAATTCGTACATTAGCGACGCCGGAAGCAACCTTGTAAACGGAGGAAGAAGTGAAAGAAGAACCTTTCCCTCCGAGAGTGATGGACGATCTCTCCGCCGCCATTATTACACAGAGAGAGCTGAAGCCGGAGTGATTAGGGTTTTCTAGTTTAATCGGCGACGTTTACACCTTCTCTCTGTGACCTATTCCTCGTTGATTAACACAAAACAATCGTGGGTTATGTTGTTGGGCTACAATGGGCTTTACCACTACTTCTAATTACTACCATGTTGGGCTCTTTGCCTATTAGGCCTTTTGGCTTTCTAAATTTTTATTTCTTATGCAATCAATATTCAATAGCAAATGTTTTTTTTTGTCAACTCCACAAACTCAAACAGATTCAAAAGTTCAATAATCATTCAAAGAAGCTAACTTTTACTCTGATAGGCTGATAGCCATTACAGAAAACACAAAGCACAAAAGTAGTAGCTTCAAGATTCAACATCACTTGCGTCCTTTAAACGGATAATTCTTTTTTTTTGTGAAACTTAAACGGATAATTCAATCTGAGAAACAAGGATACCATCAGTATCTGCATAAAGCCATTCGCCATCGCATATCCGAGTGCCTGCTATGTTCAAAGGGACTCTTTGTTCACCAAGTCCTTTCTTACTCGCCTTTATTGGATGAGAAGCTAAAGCTCTCACTCCAATGTCGCAACCATTGATCTCATCAACGTCTCTGATGCAACCGTTCACTATGATCCCTGCCCATCCGTTGTTCTGCGCTTGTACTACTGGGTTTCCTCCTAGTATCGCACAGCGTAAACTCCCTCCACCGTCCACCACAAGAACTCTTCCATTCCCTGTTTTAACATTTTAAACATTAATCAACCTTTGATGTGAAAGCTACAGAGAACAGATTGGTTTATTGACTCGGGTATCTATTTAGTCTCTAGTGTTCAAGAACTTGGTAATGTTTTAAACATCCTGCACCCTCAACATATCATCATCATCATTGTCATCACTAATAAAAAGTTGTTGAATCTTGATGTAAAGATACAGAGCCACTCTGGTTTATTCTAAATACAATGAACTAAAGCAGATCCTTTTTCTCATCACAAACTATCCTTTTGCAAACATAGTTTCAAGCAAAGAACGATTGAAGCTATTTGACAAGTAAGTAATAAACCAGAACTGAATCTAAACCATGTCAATGATCCTCTGGAAGCTCATATCTCTACAAGTAAAGTTTCAGTATTTATGGAAATCTATTTTTGGCAAGAATTATTACAATACCTTTTTCTTCGAGGAAGTGACGGATTAAGCCATTGTCTTCAAATACTTTGACAGTAACTACTGGACCTGAAAATATTTGACGACGACCGTAAATCTGGAAATTGGGTTGCAGAGCTCGGAGCTGGCCACTACGAATCAGTTCTTGATTCGCGTCACAAACTTCCGCAGTGGTCACAAACGCCATATTTTGTTCTCACCTGAATCAAGAATTATGATCAAAACAAGTAATCTGATTTTAAACACAGAAAGCAAAAGACAAATCGAGATTAGTCTGGATAAAGTGATCATATATATTCACAGTCAATCGATCAAATCCACAAGGAAAAACACAAACTTTTCATTCAATTCACAAGAAAACTATTCAAAATCCATCTGGATATATAGAAAAGATTAGATCGAATCTTCTTTCGTTTACCTGAAATAGAAGAAACACTCGGATGATAAAAAAGAAGAGAAAACTCTGTGTGCGCAAGTCTCTGAGAAATGGAGTGATGATAATTTAAAGGAGAACAAAGTCATCAACATACTTGTTTGGTCGTTCAATAATAATAAAATTAATGACCTGTAACTTTACACATATAAATCTAATCGAAGGTAGCTTCGGAAAAGGGAATCTTTGCGTTGCCTTTTTTCTGGTTTCGACTCTGTTTCCTTGTTATCATTTTCCTCGACTGTTTATGCTTTTTGTACATCTCAAAAACTATGTAACATTAAAGCTTAGAACATTGAAAGAAATTCAATAATTCAGATAAAAATGAAAACTTTATTGCCTAACGTGCTTGGAATCTTTAAAAGTCTCTCACAGCTCCCAAATTATTATCATCACAAAGATAAAAATCATGAAGAGAAAGTTGATTCAAAAACTTAAAAGAATAAAAAAAGATGTTTAGAGCTTGTGGATGGTTTTCATGTCTATAGCTTCACCCAAAGTTCCTTTCTCAACATGATCCCACCACTTCATCAAGAAATTGTCCACCACCAATCTGAACCAAGGTGACAGTTTCAAACCTTCCTCACCTGCATCTGCTTTCTTCACCAGCTCCTTCAGCTCTTCCCGGCTCACATACTTGATATCAGCTACTTCATCCGGGTTTGGTTGAACCTTGACATCCCGCACGATGAAGAGCAAGTAATCAACTGCAAAAGGAAGGTCAACACAGAAGAAGCTTAGCTGTTTTGTGATAGTACTCAAGAAAATGGGAAATAAGAGTCTTGAGAAACGGTGTTACGTTCGTGCTCTCCCCATTTCCCATCAGAAGGAGCCTTGTATAGCATACGTCCCAAGGCAGTGAACTCATCGACTGGTACATCTTCAGCTACAATACCAAGCTCGTCGAGAAGCTTTCTTTGTGCAGCATTCCTCACACCTGATGAGCATGATACAAACAGTGAGCTCACTAGTTTATGGTTTGGACATAGATAGTAAAAACTACTGGACTGTTTTACCATTAGATACCAACCTAGTGCATTTTCTTGGATAAGCTCTGATTCCCGGTAAAGAGGATGGCTGCAACAAGTGTTTGTCCACACGAGAGGGAATGTAACCTTTGTGTTTGACCTTTGCTGTTCAAACAATAAAAAAATTCCAGTAAGATGGCACATGGGACAGCATATTAAGACCCACCAACCATCTAAGATCACGAAAGCATCCCATCATCATAGCAACACCCAACATGTGCAACAAGATATCTAGAATCAAGCTTATTTTCTATCTAACCTCCCATATTTTTGAGCTTATCTCTCTCTACAAAAAGGAGATTTGAGATATGACACAACCATGCCTAGTCACAAGCCTGTGATCCATTTGTATACAAGCCTATGATCAGAGCATTTGACTTATCTAGACTTCAGAACAGTCATATGTATATACCTGGAGAAGTAACTCATACTTCGAGTTGAATAAAAATACACTAAAAGCCCTGTGAAGCAAATTCTTAGCTTCAATATTTTCCATCAGATGACCTGCAGATTTGACAAGGGAACAGTATCTTGAATAGGGGCATAGACAAAGACAAAACAGCCCTCCTATCATTGAATTTTACTGCAAAACACCAAGTGATAGGACGAGGCTCAAACCAAGTTCACTTACAATTATATTTGCTGTCATGCCCCAGGACACGATCAGTTTCATCAACAAGAATGCATCTGCAAGCAAGATTGAAAACGAAGAGAAGAATCAATAAATTAAGGTGGAGAGCTCGTATAGTTTCTTGTACTACGCATCAAGAACCTAAAACTTAGAGGAAACACTTCCATCAAAGCCAAGGATCAACCATCATCATCGTAAAATTAAGTATAAATGGAGACAAACAACAATTTATCCATTTTTGGCCAAAACAATGACATCTTTCACAGAAGACACTAAAGCATTGACTTTTTGCTTGATTCTAAATCCAAAACTCATTTCTTCTTACATCAAAGTCGATAAATCAACCGTCCTAAGTTCCTAAACCATTGTTAATCGAAAAAACTCCAAATCCCATAACCTAATTTCGTCAATTTTCCTTCCATTTTCTCAGACCAAACAATGAAGACAAACCAGGTTCGAGAACACGACTTAAAGATAAAGGTACAATTTTGGCAACACCCAAAAATTGAAATCAAAGTAGAGAGAATCAGAAATCAAAGAAAAGACATACTCATCCTCAAACATGAGACGTCTCTGAACAGCATCCATACCAGCATCTTTAGTATCTGTCATTGCGGTACCAGAGAAAGCACGAAAAGTCGGTAACTTTCTCGGGGAAATCGATGACAGAGGACGATGTGAAAATCGGAAAGAAGAAGAAAACGAAAGAGCGAGAGATCTGAGGCGAATCAATGGGAGATTAAATAAAGAAGAAGCAGACATTGGTGTTGGTGTCTCGCATGTGCTGATCACTGATGCGTTTCTGCTTTCTGCGTTTTATTTTATTAAGGTCCACAATTCTTACCATGTACCTCTCCACACACTATAACACCCCCAAAAAACTAAAGTAGATAAGATTATTTCCATTTTTAAATATAAAATTAGTATATATACTCATATCGGCTCTCGCGTCTTAAATCAGAAGAGTGGAGCACAATTAGGGTTAGGGTTAGGGCTTCTCCCTTCCTGGCAAAATCATCCCTTTGAGCCGCCATTGAAGATGACTGGTAAGGCGAAACCAAAGAAGCATACAGCGAAGGAGATTCAAGCGAAGATCGATGCTGCGTTGACTAATCGCGGCGGAGGAAAAGCTGGAATCGCTGATCGGACCGGAAAAGAGAAAGGAGGTCACGCTAAGTACGAGTGTCCACATTGCAAAATCACGGCTCCGGATCTAAAGACGATGCAGATCCATCACGAATCCAAGCATCCTAAGATCATTTATGAGGAATCAAAGCTCGTGAATCTCCATGCTGTTTTAGCACCAGTAGCTGAATTGAAACCTAAACCTGGTATCAGGGGAAGCTTGAAGAAGTAACTCTATGTTTCAATTTTATCAAAATTTGTTATCTTTTGATTTTGAAGATTGTAATGTGCTACTTTTTGCCCTCAAATCTATCATGTAGTTGATGATGTTGATGTCATTTGGTTTAGCTTTGTAGTTTCAATATCTTACATAACATTTTAAGGGCAAGAATCTTACGTAGATGTTAAATCAACAACCTCTGTTTCTTTTTTCAGACAAGTTTTAGATCATCAAGATAAGCAAAGCAAGCATATGATTTTAGTTGAAATTCTGCAGAACATGTTTTAGTTTAGTGGTTTATGTGTTAGGATTAAGGAGCCTGAAGTTTTTTGCCTATTGAAGCTGCAAGCGCAACAATGTGAAGATTTATTCTTGTTTGAAATCAAATACTCTGTTTCTGTTCCGACATAAACAGCGGAAAACTTAGGTCAGGATGATTTGCAAAGCACGTCAATGCACGGCATCTTGTTTTCTAATAATGACATGATGAAATTTTCTTAGCTATAACTATAAGATTGAGTAAATGTCACTCTGATTTGCGTTCTTGGTCTTGAGTTTTTTATCCGATACTTGGGTGATGATTTCTAAGGTAGGTGAGTTTTTATCCGATACGTTGGTGGTGATTCTTAGGTGAGATGTGGTTCGGTTTGGGATTTTTTCCGGTTTAGTCCTGGTCAGAAAATTTTAGGTTATCTTAATTTTCTCGGTTTTGGTTATTCTTTGTCAATTATGTGTTACAAAGACAATGTCAATTATAGTTGCACACTATTTTTATATGTACCAATTAGACTGAGAATGGAAATCAAAAGCTAGATATATAGTATTAAAAATATATCATATTTTCTGTATTGTAAAGATGAGAGTAACCATGATAGATGAATAGAATGTGGCTCTTTTTTAGTTAACGAATAGTAATCAAATTGTATTTCTTTAATTATCTTCGAAAACATACTTTTCCTAACACATGTGCTAGATTAGTCAGAAACCTTGTCCTGCAGTGCACATGGTATAAATTAGAAGCTGACTCGATACTCTTAACCTCCCCTCTGTTTTCTCTGTTTTAATTATTGATTTCATATCCAAAGAAAGTATACTACCGAATTTTGATCTTTTAACATTCAGTTTGATTGGCTAGAGAAGTTTTTTGAACCATAAACCAGGAAATGATTATTTAAGAACTCTTTATAAATGATTTGATTATTTAAGTATAAGAATCAAAAACTCGGTATTTTGCACAATGCTCCCACTTATATTATTTATAATGGTTATTTACACGAAGTATCCGCGAAGACATGACCACACATGCAAAGTTTAATAATGGATCCTAAATTACATGAACTATATGTATCGCATGCCCACATATACGAACTATATGGAGTCATGTCGCCAACATCACGAACATTTTTTTCTGGTACACTTTTCACCGGAATCCGGCATTGACCAGTTTGACCGGCGTTGACCAACATAAATATTTAAAATAAAAAATTTTAGTTTTTTAATATTTAGAAAATTATGTTATTGAATCATTTATAATATTGTATAATTAAAAAAATATATACAATATTCAATATAAAAATAGTTTGTATATATATTCAATGCATTGATTTTTATAATTAGTTAGTTTCAATAATTTCAAAACTAAAATTAAAATAAAAATAAAACAAAAACCAATTAGGTAAAATAATTATAAATAGAAAATTTTAAATACTCTATAGTCTAAAGTTTTTTTATAATATGTTGTTAATTTTTTTGTATTATTAGAAGAATTTTTCGTAATAATTTTAGATACAAAAATTAACAATATATTATACAAAACTAACTAAAAATTTCATATTTACAAAACATATTATACAAAAATTTCTTATTTACAATTATTTTACCTAATTGGTTTTTATTTTATTTTTAGTTTAGTTTTGAAATTATCAAAACTAACTAATTATAAAAATCAATGCATTGAATATATATACAAAATATTTTTATAGTGAATATTGTATATATATTTTTTTATTATATAATATTATAAATAATTCAATAACATAATTTTCTAAATATTAAAAAACTAAATTTTTTTTTTTTGAATATTTATGTTGGTCAACGCCGGTCAAACTGATCAATACTGGATTCCGGCGAAAAATGTATCGGAAAAAAATGTTTGTGATGTTGGCGACATGACTACATATAGTTCGTATATGTGGGCATGCGATACATATAGTTTGTATAGTTAGAGATACATTTTTAAACTTTGCATATGTGGCCATGTCTTCGCGGATACTTCGTGTAGCCAGCCATCTTTTTCCTTATTCGAAAGAGTCTTTTGAAGTTTGAACAACAAGATAAAGCAACTTTAGGAGTTGACAATAAAATAAAAAATAAAGCAACATAAGCATGAATGGTCGGTCATTCGAGTTAAAATGACCTATTCTGCATCAGTTTGTAATGAAGAATAACCTTCCTGTACATTTCTATTTCTAAAGAACCAAATAAAACTTCTGGTTACGGATTTTGGGATAAACTAAAACTTATCCCACTTAAAGAATCATCCAGCCACCGATAAATCGAAACTCAAATTAGAACCCGAAACAAATCCCACTTGGTTGCTCTCTTTTTAAACTTTAGCAGCCAGCGGTTTTGGTGTCTGGACATTTTCGTCTTCATATGCCAACCTTCTCCTCTTGAAGCCATAACCGTGATACTGATACATGATGCTCAAGAGACACTGTCTCAAGCTCACTATATCAAATGTCTCTATAAAATTCAAGTCCCTTTGTCTCCACTTTAAACCCGCGTTCTTCTGGTATTCCTCGAGAACCGATGATAAGCACCAGCTCTGAACCTTTCTTAAGCATCCCACTAGACAACCTGTTCTATGCTGCAAGTTGACCAAAAACACCAAATCATGAGTGTCCTGTAAATAACTCAGAACACAAGCCAAGTTTGTAAAAGACCACCAAAGAGAGTACTGCACATAACAAATAACACAAGACAATCTCCTAAAAAAACCCACCATGAGTGTCCTGTAATAAATAAAAACATAGGTTGAGTTCCTAGAAGAGGAAGAAGAAGCTGTAAATTACCTTTCCGCGTTTGCAATGTATGAGAATTGGATGGTTTCTTACATCTACAGAGAAACAAAAGATCTACTTTAAGACTCATGAACTAGCTAACAAGAGACAACAGACATCAGAAGACATTATTGAGTATTGATTCCTTACCAACTAAGACTCTGAGAGCATCCAAAACTGTATCTTTTGGCATAAGAGTTGGAGGATCCTGCAGATCATAAATGATTCAATGTAGGACATCAAGGGCAATTGAAGTTCTTTGAAAACAAGCAACGAGAAAGATTGTTGATCAACAGAGGCCAATGAATCTAACAAGGAAAACGCACCGTTTTGCCTTCGATTCCAAATTGGTAAAGCTTAATGTTGTTAGCCTCAAGAAACTGGAGATTCTCCTCTGGGTATGGTTCAGGACACAGATAACTGTTTTGATGAATCAACAAACGATTAATTAATCCAATCAAAACCAATGCTTAAAGAGTATAATTGAATAAACCCAGAAGATTAATAAAGGATCTTACATGATGGCACGAAGATTTAGGGTTTTGAGGAAACTGAAATTCTCAGGTCGAGGAAATCCAGATCGGTAAATTCCATCTTCAACCATCGAGAAATTCGACGGCGGCGCTAAAACGACAGCTTCGTGATCGTCCGTTTCCATAATCAAACACATCGAATTCAATAAACCCTCTACGAATCAAAAGAGAGAAACAGAGCAAGACCCAAGATTTGTTGATTTGAGAAGCAAAAAAGAAGGTGTTTTTGTAGGAGGAGAAGGGGATCAAGTGGGGTTCATAAAGGAGACAACTTTGAAAAGCGGACTCAGATTTTGGTAGGATTCTTCCTTCCTTTGTTGATTTGCTTATAAAAACCTTAAATGGATTTTAGGGTGGACCTCACTTCAGGAATCTCCAAGATCCTGACACGTGTCGTTTCCTCTGCTTTTTATTTGACCTCATAGCTGACGATTCTTTACGAATCTAGGTCAATCCTCTAAACATTCTTTAATCGAGGTAAAATAAATATTCTTATAAAGTATAGTGGTCGAATCATGAAAGAAAAGTAAACCTAAGTGGTCTCATTTTAAAATTTTTATTCCAAAGACTGAAAACTTTTGACAATTGTCGTTGACAAAAAATGGAAAACACAAAGACTATCCTTAATTACAAAATAGGATAAGAAGTAGATTTATGTTTATATGAACTCTTTCTATCAGTTTGAGTATCTAATTCAGTATATCCAAATAGAGAATCTAATACTTTCCTTTTCCTATGGATAATCTAATATTTTGTTCATATAGGCTATTATGAGTCATATATATCTAAGATTGGTTTTTAAGATTCTTATCTAGGGTTGGATTATCTCACTTGTTTTTCTTTAAAATGCTAAACTATTCTTATTTTATCTACTATTTAAAGAAAAACATAACATTTTTTTTCAAAGGATTACAAAACCTGAGATGAGTTTTCTCAATCAGATCATCTGATTTATACAGCTTGTTTCTTTAATTATCTACCAATCCAAAACATCTTCATCATGCCATAAAGAGAGATGGTTATAATTTGTTAAGAAAAAACATCAATATGTATCTTATAGTAATACTCAGCAATTGAGAGTTTTTCCCAAAAATGATTCAAACTCTTTTTGTGAGCTTCAGTGGATGGATTAAAATCTTGAAAAAGTCACTCTTTAATAGAATCAATCTCAACCTCTGATTTTATCCGATGCAAAGAGGCTCCATTGTCATCTCCTGAATCATCATCATTATCAAAGTAAACACTTTGATCATCATCAGTTTTTGAGCTATCAATGTGTTCAATATGAGTATGCTCTTCCTCTTCCTCCTCTTCTTTCTCTTTCTCCTCCTGGTCTCTGTCGCTATCATAGCGCGAAGAAGTGCTTTCGTCATCTGATTTCTGGCTGCTTTTACTGCTTAGCCTCTCATCACCGACATCTATATCTTCCCAGCTATATCTATACTTTATCTTCAAGCTTTGCGCCTGGTTCTTCTCATCAATAGGCTTTGGTGGTGGACTATCTTGGTCTTTTTCATGTTCAGAGTTTGAATCAGACCCATCATCAGATTCCATTGAGCTATCTTCCTCTTCATGTTTCTTATACTTCTTCTTACTCACATTCTCATTTTCACTGTCCAAAGATGATTCTTCGCCTGATGATGTACTAGATTTGTCATCTTCCGTAGCTAGCTCAGGAGGAGGAGATACAAGATTTGAATCATGCCGGCTTAAGGCTATAGACATGCTCTTGTCCTTGAAAGATAGGATAGGAACTGCTGTGGGAATACCGTCTTCTGTAGGCATCGAAAGGAAGCTAAGCGCAACCATTACATCGCTTATCAGAGGACGAGCTGCTGCCTCCTCTTGCACACACATTGACGCTATTGCCACTGCTTGGTTTAATCCTCTCTCTGAGAATTTATTATTCAGAACTGGATCTGCCATATCCGGATACTTCTTAGGATCTCTAAATATCGGTTGTGCCTGCGATAGCAAGAATTGTTCAGAAAATAAACAACTTTATGATTTGAAAAAATAAAGAGCAATCTTCATGGTTTATTATTTACCCAAGAAACTAAGTTCTGTTCATCATTAGGCCTAGTAGTATCAAGAGCTCTTCGACCCGTGATGAGCTCAAGCAACACAACACCAAAGCTGTAGACATCTGACTTCAAAGTGAGATTTCCTCCTCGCGTATACTCAGGAGCAGAGTAACCATAAGTTCCCATTACTCGTGAAGATAGAGCCATCATCTTATCACCTGTTCCTGGTCCTAGCTTATGCAGACCAAAGTCAGAAAGCTTTGGAGAAAAGTCATAATCTAACAAAATGTTTGAAGCTTTTAAATCTCTGTATATCACAGGTGGATTCGCTTTATCGTGCAAGTAATAAAGTCCTTGCGCTGCGCCATACGCTATCTGCATCCTCGTTGTCCAATCCATCGGTTCACAGTCTGGTTTTGGTTCTGCCAAAAAAACATCCAAAATCTTAGCTTTTCATTTCTTGAAAAGTTAAAAATGTGCTGAATAAGAAATCTCTCAATTTAATACCGTGAAGATGGTCTTGAAGTGAACCTCCAGAGATATAATCATAGACCAAAAGCCTTTGATCTCCATCTGCGCAGTACCCAATAAGCTTAACAAGATTCGGATGATCGAGTTGGCCTAAAGACAAAACCTCAGCTTGAAACTCTTTGTTCCCATGTAATCCATGCTTGTCTAGTTGCTTTACAGCCACCACCTACATTCCCCAAAACAAGACAAAGTCTACTCACTCTGATGATGGATCATTGAAAAGTATCTAACATTGGAGGAAGATTTAAGAAAGAACCTGGCCAGTAGATTTAAGGGTTCCTTTGTAAACTCTACCAAATCCACCTTCTCCTAGCAAACATTCTTGCCTGAAATTCTTTGTGGCCGTTGCTAATTCCCGGAAAGTGAATATCTTTAACGATGTTCCTTCTGATTGCTCTGTTTCCTCTGTTTCTTCTGTACGTCTCCTATCTTTAAAAACAAACAAAAAAGTATCAATTTTTTCATTTTACTGATCGTATAAAAGACGAAAACTAGTAAAGGGTCCAACGTTAGGACATACATACCAGGTGGTCTGGGTTCGTTGTTGTCGTTAGTTTCATTCGTAGTTGAAGATTTCTTGTTCTTTGGCGAGGAGAAACACGGAAAACAGTGCATGATGATCAGAATCGATTTTAGTAATTAAAGGGTATTAGAAGCTAAAAACAGAGAAGAGGGAAGATTTTTTTTGGTTTTGTTAAGGATTAAGCAATGGTCGGGTCCTTCAAGGAGATTGAAGGACCCACGTAAAAGGAGAAACACAAGAAGAAAAATGAAAGGAGAAAGAGAGGAGGAAGATGAAGTAGACAAATCCAAGCTACCGGAAATCGATGAAAAAGAGTGACTCCTCCGAGGAAAAAGGGACAAAAAAAAGTTTAGATTTTTTTTAATAATCTCAATCTCTCAGAAACGCTTACCTTCTCCCAAAAGCATGGACAACCATCCTTCCTTCTTTCGAATTTCTGTAAAACCTAATTTTAAAAACCTGTAAATAAAATAGTTTACGCTCCCAAGTAACAACGTCTTGAAGTGGATTAATCTGTCCCACAACAGACTATAATTAAAATTTTTTGCGAGTTTTGATAGATCATCCCGCTAAAAAAACGCTATTTCTGGACTAAAAAAGCAAATTTTACGAATACATTCAGATTTTTTAACATGGGACATTATTATCTGCAACCCCTCTCTGTCTTCTCTACGTTACTAATATGTTCTACTGGGCTTTAAAGGCCTCATTTACAATATGTTTGGTTCCAAAATATGTGTTTAATGGGCTTCTCTTTGTTCAGCTTATTATAATAAACCGGGTCGGATAGTACCCGCCCCGGTTTGACCCATCTAATTTTCCCGCTACAGAAAAAAAAGTAAAACCGCCAAAATAATTTCCGATGGCGAATGATAAGACCTAAGAAAGAGAGATCGAGATCGAAGGGTGAAATCTGAAATGGAATCAGCTCCGACGGGATGCTTCAAATGTGGCCGTCCCGGTCACTGGTCTCGCGATTGTCCATCGTCGGCTCCGGTCGCCGGCAATAATTCCGTTTCGTCTTCTTCCGGTCCATCTCAAATCCCTAATAATGAATTTCAGAGATCCTCCAATAAAAGTGGAAATCCTGCCGCCGGAACCTCCATAGCTCCTGTTCCTAAAGTGACGAAGACGAGAGTGCAAAGGCCCAAGCTAACTCCTGAATTGTTACTCTCTGAGGATGGTCTCGGCTATGTTCTTCGTTATTTCCCTAAATCCTTCAAGTATCGTGGCCGAGGCAAGGAGGCAAGTCTTTTTATTCGCAGATTCGATTAATTGTTGCTGGTTTCTCCCATAATTTCATCGGATTAGGAACCTAATTAGCTTCTTTTGATAGCGATATACATGCCTAGTGTGATAATTTGGATCATATTATATATAGGTTAGCGATTTGGGGAATTTGATACGGCTGTACAGTGAGTGGCACTCTCATTTGCTACCTTACTATTCCTTTGATCACTTTGTGCATAAAGTGCAACAAGTCGCTTCTACTAAACGTGTGAAGGTACTACATTGCTCGATCCCCTTTTTCTGTTTTTTGTAAAGCGTTCTTCCTTGTGGCGATTTTTAACTTATGAATCCGGATTTAAAGGGTGAAAAAATCCCCCAATGATTGTAAAGATTGCTGAAATCAGAATTACATTATTCGTCTCTTTCTTTGGTGTTCAATCATTTGTTGCTTTCAAGTTACAAGTTAGAGGATCTAAGTATGTGTTAGGCTGTTTTGTTATATGATCATTGTGCTCATTAGCTCATACCTTAGCATACTTAGGTTCTGTTAGTAACTAAAACCTTTTTTTTTAATTCACTTAATCGGTATATTAACTTTGCATTTATACTTGACACATTTGATATATACACTGATGTGTTATCCTTTTTAGAATTGTATAAACGAACTGCGAGAAAGGGTTGCCAGCGGAGTTGATCCAAACAAGTTATACGAAAAGCCAGAAGAAAATACCGGTCCTTATGATGATCAAGGTATGTCAAACATATCAGCTTTTTTTTCCCTTGAATCTTCTTTAATATCTAATTGCTCTACTTGATCATGGAATTTGGTTGGCTGCATAAGTTTGAGATATTGATACGAAAAGGAAAGGTTTCTTGTCATTAGCTGCATTCCACTTAAGTTCAGTTTCTATTACTCCATTACAATCTCGTAGGTAATGAATAGTCTGTTGCAGGTAACCTAGATATGGATCAGCCAGGTCAGGAAGAAGAGAACATACCATCAAAGAGCGCTGATGCTGATACAAATGCTGATGCTTTTGAAGACAGTATGTTGAATGAGATCTTTGATAGTGCTTCACAGCTACCGAGCGATGAACAAATCCTGGATAAAAGCAGTGAACTGACAGAAGAGCAAAGAGCACGTATGGAAGCTAATAGATTGAAGGCAATGGAGAAAGCTCAGAACATTTCCGAGGAACAAAGAGTACGTATGGAAGCTAATAGGCTAAAGGCTCTTGAAAGAGCCAAAGCAAGGCTCCAACCAAATCAAGATTAGACTAGAGATGTTCAATTTGGATTGAAAATTTTGGGCTTTTGGGTGTTTCAATTATAGCTATCTAGTTGTAACAAATCAAAGTGTGTCCGAATCTAGAACACATGTAATGTCTGGTCGTGTGTTAGATTCGGTTGTGGATACATCACACCCAATATTATGGACCGTAATTTGTTCCAACCTCCAACCCAAGTTGATGATAATTGGCATAAAAGCTCTTAATTGTTGGTAGATTTGTTTTTTTCCAAACAATTTAATAAAAAATAAAAGTAGTAGTATATTCATTTTTTTCTTAATATAATTAATGAAATAACCACATAGAAAAGGACAAAGATAATAAAAATTTCTGACGTGTTCTCTACCGTCCAATTTTGGTGGAGAAGATAAAATAAAAATTGTCGCACTCTAGTCTTTACGAAAATAGAAAAAGAAAAAAATCAGTAGGGGTAATATCGTCATCGTACATACAGAAACATTGAATTAATTAATTTTTCTCAAAATTTCTTGTTTGATTTGTGTGGAGGTGAGACGAGAACGCTTTTTTGCTTTTTCGTCTTTCTCTCTCTCTCTCTCTCTTTCTTCACTACCCTCTCACCTCTCTGTTTACACGATTCTTCTTAGATGTCTTCTTCCTCCATTGTCATTTACCTATCTACACTTCATTTTCTTGTTGGAGGAAGATCGATTATCGGTGATTCATTCTTAGTGATGACAGTATAATGTCTGATGCTTATTATCATCATCATCATCATCGGAGACATTCTTCCTCTTCACGTCTATGGATTTTAATGCCGGAGTTCCCATGTCTTCTCTTTCACCTTTGATGAATCAAGGTCTAATCAATTTTCTTCCTCTTTTTCTCTGTTTTGATCTGCAAATTTTGAATTTTTTTTTTCTTGAACGGATTGGGTTTAAACTCAGTTTCTCTTTGTTTTTTTTTTGTGTTGTGGGTTCTGATCAGATGCAATGTGGCAAATGAATTTGAGTTCAGATGAAATAATGGAAACAGGTTCTTACCCTGAACGACCAGGAGAGCCTGATTGTTCTTATTACATAAGAACTGGACTTTGTAGATTTGGCTCTACTTGTCGGTTCAATCATCCTCGTGATCGGGAACTGGTACGATATGGTTTTTTGTGTTCCTGTCTGTGATTTTGGAGTTCAGAGATCTGTTTGGTCTGAATAAAATGTCAAAGCTTTTGCCTTTCGGAACTTTTTTTTTTATCTCTTCTCTCTCATTGTCCAAATTCTAGGTTATAGCCACTGCAAGGATGAGAGGAGAATACCCTGAAAGGATTGGTCAGCCTGAATGCGAGGTAAAGAAGTTTTGGTTTGTCCAATTGTAGATTAGCATTTTCCCAAGGTTTGGTAATTTAGTCATTATCTTCTTACACAAACTAAACTTACATTGTGATGTTGTATGTTTGCGCAGTACTATTTGAAGACAGGAACCTGCAAGTTTGGAGTAACATGTAAGTTTCATCATCCTAGGAACAAAGCTGGGATTGCTGGAAGAGTCTCTCTCAATATGTTAGGCTATCCTCTCCGCTCGGTATGTTGACTTTTGACTTTTATGTTTTCATTATTTCCCATTTTTTCATTCTCTTAGTGATTCTCTGAATGTCATATACGCAGAATGAAGTTGATTGTGCTTATTTTCTAAGAACCGGACATTGTAAATTTGGTGGTACTTGTAAATTCAACCACCCTCAGCCTCAACCAACCAACATGATGGTTCCAACTTCAGGCCAACAGTCTTATCCTTGGTCAAGAGCTTCTTTTATTGCCAGCCCTCGTTGGCAAGATCCGTCTAGCTACGCTTCCTTAATCATGCCTCAAGGAGTTGTCCCAGTACAAGGATGGAACCCTTACAGTGTAAGTTTACTAAACAACATTGCTTATTCTCTTTCAGATTTTGTATGACTTGGGTTTGATTTCTGTCGAGTGTTTCTCGGGGTTTCCATTTCGTTAGGGTCAGCTCGGCTCGGTTTCTCCTTCAGGTACCGGAAATGATCAAAACTACAGAAACTTACAGCAGAACGAGACAATAGAGTCAGGCTCTCAGTCTCAAGGGTCATTCTCGGGTTTCAATCCGGGGTCCTCTGTTCCGATAGGAGGGTATTATGCATTGCCGAGGGAAAATGTGTTCCCGGAAAGACCAGGACAACCCGAATGCCAGTTCTACATGAAGACAGGTGACTGCAAATTTGGCACAGTTTGCAAATTTCACCATCCTAGAGACAGACAAGCTCCTCCTCCTGATTGTCTCTTAAGCTCCATTGGCCTCCCTTTACGCCCGGTAAGCTGAAATACTGAAATATATGTAATCGTCCTTGGTTTTCTTCGATTAGATCTCGACATTGTTTGATGTTGGTTTTGTCGATAGGGAGAACCGTTGTGTGTGTTCTATACTCGCTATGGAATCTGCAAATTTGGTCCAAGCTGTAAATTTGATCACCCAATGCGAGTATTCGCATACGAGAACACAGCTTCAGAGACCGATGAGGCAGTGGAAACATCAACAGGGCAATCAAGAAGACACTCTGTATCTGAAACAAGACTAGCAGCAACAACATCCTCTGGTAAAGACACTACCATTGATAATACACAGCAGTGAAGAAACAAAAAGAAGAAGAGCTTTGATTTTTCAAAAGAGGAATCTGTAAATTGTCATTTTCATTTAGTCTCTCAAGCATTTATTAATAATGTATAGAGGTGATTTATACAAGTGATCTTGATCTTGATCTGATGGCCATTGTTGTAATATTCTTTTGGCGAATCAGGTTGAATAAAATTGAAAGTAATTTCCCTCAAATTTGAATTTGAGCACGTGCATTGGTTTAATAATTTCCGGTTGAAAGATGTTACTTTTTCAGTTGGACACAATTAGGATCAAACTCTACAGAAGAAACAGAAATTAATTGCGATTAAAATAGTTAAGAATATTTTTTTATCCAATAAAATAAGGAATTTGGTGACGCCTCTTTTATTTTATTTGTTGTCTATTGTTGAAGAGAGAAACCATTTCAGGGTTTAGCAGGGTTTAGGTTTCAGCCAGAGAGTATCGGATCCGTCGCGAGGTATTTGAATGTAAAATCGGTTCAAAAATTAGTCTTCTTTGGCGTTGATTGATATATATGGTGGGTTTCTGTTTTCGCTAGGGTTTTGAGATTTCTGGCGGAGATTAGACTGCTGCTAGTGTTCTTCCGCATTGATTTCTAGGGTGGATTGATAGAGGGTTTTGGGATTTTGCGCAAGGATCTTCAAAAGGGTTTAGCTCTCAGTGATGGATATCATAAGTGAATTGCCCGATGCACTGCTCTTGAAGATATTGTCTTTTCTGCCTGCGAGACAAGTTGTGGCCACAATGGTTTTGTCCAAACGATGGCAACCGCTTTGGATGATGGTGCCTAAACTCAGATATGATGATGCTAGCGCTGGAAGTTTTCCTCGTTTTGTGGACAGGTCTTTGCTTTTGCATGAGGCCCCGGTTATAGAGACTTTGCATTTCAAACTTGGTCAAAACTCTGGTGCTGTTGATATCGGAGTATGGACCAGAACTGCACTTAAACGCTGTGTGCGTAAGCTGATTATCAAGATGGACCCTTCTTATACTACAGCTCTAGTCATACTTCCAAGGAGTTTGTACACGGGGTGTAGCATGCTTGTCAAATTGAATGTAGATAAAGTGGTTTTTTTGGATGTCACTTCTCCAATCTCCTTCCCATCTCTCAAGAAGTTGAGCCTGAAATATGTGATATACCCAGGTAACGAGTTTGTTCAGAGGCTTTTATCGGATTGTCCTGTTCTTGAAAGCTTGGTTGTGAAACCAATTCAAGGTCACAATGTGACCAGTTTCACCATAAAAGTCCCTTCTCTCAAGAGTTTAGTCTTGCGTAAATATGAAGCTTCAGATATTGCAGCTGGGTTTGTGATAGAAGCTCCATCTTTAGAGAGCTTTGAAATTTATGATATTAATGAGGGTAGTTTTTGTGTTATTGAGAGTCATATGCCTAATGTTGTAGAGGCAAATATTGAGGTCAGTCAAGCGTCTCACTTTACGTGGTATAACTTACTCAACGGTAATATCTACTTAACTATATATTACATGCATACTTGGTTTTGTTTTCCGAATCAGTTATTGAAGAACGACTAAAGCAAATACGTGTGTTCTTGTGAGCAAATTGTTGCCACTAACATTGACTGTGTACTTAATTCTGTTTTGCATTGCAGTGCCAGTATGCATTACCTGTTGGTACAGTCTTCAGCTCTCTTGTGTATTTAGAGATATTGACATATAATGAAGCAGAGTGGTTGACTCTACTTATGCGTGTTCTCAAAGATTCCCCTAATTTACGAGCTCTCAAACTTGTACAGGTGCATAAAATTCGTCCCAAATGATTCAGTTTCCTTGGATCAGTATATGTATGTTGATCTAATGCACTGTACTTCTATCATGTCAACTTATAGCTTCATTATGAAGATGATGATGATCGCCCGTGCTGGAGTGAACCGAGTTCAGTCCCTGAATGTGTAAAATGGAGTCTCGAAACTCTTGAATGGACGGGTTATGATGGAGCAGAAGAATTGAAAGAAGTAATAGCATTTATCTTAAGAAACGCAAACCGTCTAAAGAGGGCAACTTATCCACAATAGTAGTGAATACCACATTAGTGAAAAATCAACCGACCCCAACAAGAAACTCGAGATGCGTAAGGAGTTGTCGTCGTTACCCAGGTGTTCACCTACCTGTCAGCTTGCATTCGACTAAAGGTTATGGTCTGGCCTTAGTAATCTCTGGTTGGAGAGTGTTTGATCCAGACTTTATTTATGTTGGAAGCTTATACTCAGCCCTTTGAATTTCTTATCTTTTTTGCTCTGTCTTAGTTTATTTATTTTCTTCAATTTGGTAATGTTTTGAGGTTTGACTTGACTCTTCAACAAACTGGGCGTTGTTATGTTGGTTTGGTTCTGGATTGTAATTTGGCTGGTTTAAAAAGTTCTGGATTGTAATTTGGCTAGACTGGTTCAGTCTTCACTGTAAAATCAAACCCAAATGTGTAAAGAAGTAATTGGAGCGTTTGTTTTATTCTTCAACTCTTAGGCTTTTTAAAGGTTGGACCTACTGTAGAAATAAGTTGGGCTCTAAATAAAGCCCATATTCTATTAAACATTCTAAACACAATAGTTAAGTAACCGGTGTCGTTTTACTTAGTTCCATCGGTTGCCCTAAATCTCTCTCCATGAGTACATATAAACTTGCGTTTTCTCTCTTCCGTTACCTCCATATCAGATTTTAGGGTTTAGTGTTACAGCGACTGAGAAATCTTTGTTTGTGTTGGTGTTTTCTTGTAAGAGGTCATCTAACAAAGCAAGATAGGTTTTAATTTATACCAATTTTGTGTCGGAAGATGACGACATTAGTTTATAGACCTCCATGGCAATATCTTCATGGAACTCTTCTCTTCCATGGAGTTGCTCTACGGAGGTCACACTTCCACATTTGTCTATATTTTATCTATGTCCGAATCAAGCTCGCTGATCTTATATTAACCATTGGATTCAATTTCTTGTTGTAGTCAACATTCTTGAAACTCTGAGCTACTCTGTTTTCTTGGTGTCTGAGATTCCAATTATGAAGTCATCCTTAAAGCAAATAGGTGATAGCCTCTGTGCCAATTTTGTGTCGGAAGATGACAAGATTGATTTTTTTGCCTCTCCATGACAATTTTGCTTCATGGAAATCTTCTCTTCCATGAAGTAGATCTATGGAGAGGCACATTAATGTGCAGCTTATAAATGTGTTTGTGTCTGATCATTTTCTTAATGAGTTTCTGCTTTTATTATTGTGAGAACATTATTTCAGAAGCCTAAAGAAAAATTTTTGTTTGGAACAAGACAAACCATTGTCTAGTGTTGATACAGAGCAGTAGCAAGAGAAAGGGGTTAAATCATTATTCAAAGAGAGTCTTATTGAAGATGAATCTGTAAATTCTCTTTTTTTAAGTATAGAAGTCAGACCCTGGTATTATCTCTGATACATTGGCTTTGTAATATGGAACGAGTAAGGTGAATAAATGAGTCTGAATGCCATAAAATATTTTCCTCAATGTGTAATTTCTTCATCCTCTCCCTTATTATTTTGTACCACTTAAACCTATTTTCTCACAAGCTAATTAACAATGTTATTAAGCTATGATGCGTTTAAAATGTTAATTTCGATCCAGGAAACTTCATCTCAGTCAGTGAAGAAGAGGCCTTGTTTCATAAAAAAGGCCCAAATGATTTAAGAACCAATTTTCTTGATTCCTGTCGATAATTTGTGCGTTACTGAAGATTAGGTAGGTAATTTCAGCATTAACAAGTTTGAGAATGCATGACTTTGATTGAACCAACTGGCTTATGTTTCTGCGTTAGATTTGGTGATAAACAGAACCGGGATGTAATGAATCCGGTTTCGGTTGATTTTTTTTTTGTTTTCCTTAAAAATCAAGATAATTAAGTGAAAATAACTCTTTATGGATCGTTTTAATCAAATATAATATTAAATTTTACTCTTTTTTTTTTTTGTGAAATTCGTTTTTATCAGTTATACATACATATTTGGTTTTGATCGAATCAAATCGTCTTTGTTTTTTTTTTTTTTTTTGTTCTTCAAACACCATTTGTATTAAGTAAATATGTCTACACGTAATCGTCTTGTTTATGATCTAGATACTCCTCTACTTTTGAATCACGTAAATAAGTCTACGCGTAACATACATATTTAATATATTGAAGAAACAATGACGCGGGGAAAAGTAAACAAACACGGACCCGACGACGGATAAGCGACCCAGCCCGAGTCCCACCGTCCTGGTCTAATAGTCTTCCCTACTCGTTTTTTCATTTTCTTAAACTAAAGCTAATTTAATCACTCTTAATTACTACTTTTATTAATTCAACTATGACTATTTCTTATTCACAGAATGAGTCTCACATGCCTACCCGTACTCGAGTCCAGTCCAAATGTTCCCATCCTTGTAATCTATACTACATATATTATACGTCATGGTCATATATATAAGTCTCATTATGTATCGTATAAACAATCAAAGATGTTTCATGATCGCGAACTAATTTCTAATCATTATTGATATATACTTAAATTTATAATATTTAATAACTTTCTAGTACTTTTTAATTAAACATATAGTATACAGTTGATCAAGGATAAAAACGCGTAATCTATATGTTTGTGTAATATTATATAGTTCTTGATATGATCTTCTAAGTTATTTCTAAGCTTTCTAGACATTAACAATATTTGAATGAAATACTCTAAATTTAATTAACCGCCGGAAAATAAAAAGTCATAATCCATAGTATATTTCAACGGTCAACATTCCAATTCAGTTCACAAACCTAAATCAAACTTCCATTTCTTAGCTTTTTTCTCTTTCAAGCTTATACAACCTTTGACCATGTCTCACTTTAGTAATAAGTACAAAACCACCTTACATTACATGCATATATATATAAATAAAACACGTTAAGGAACATATATTTATACAAATCCCATAAACCCATTTCATTCTTCATCGAATAATCGAAAAATATTTGAATTTTCTTAGGAAACCAAACCAAAAAACAAAAAGGAAAACGAAATAATGGTGTTACCTTGGAGATCAAGAGGAGGAGTAGCAAAGAGACGCAATCAATTGATTGCCGGCGATATATCCGTCGTGGAAACCAAGATTCCGGTTCAACTCCGATCATCAAGGATGGAGCGGATTGAGTCACCGCGGGTGCTGTTGGCGCCGTATGATGCCGTTGAGATAAGTCGGAGATTGGAAAATGCGGCGGCGCGTGAGGAATATGGCGAGTGTTTCGAGATTGTAACCAAAATCAAGAACTTGGGAAGAGAAGGAGGGGACACGAACAAGAAGTGTTTGGTCCAAAACGGCGGAGTTTTAGCTCTGTCTTCTTGTTTCGAAAGATTCGCGGCGGCGCGTGAGGGACACGATCGTCTTTTGGAGGAAATCTTGTTTGTTCTATCTTCATGGTTGCCTCTGAATCGATCAGAAGGTTTCAACAAGATGGGATCAACAGCCTCGCTTAACTGTCTCGTACGGTTCTTGAACGGTAAGGACGCTAAAACGAGACAAAACGCTGCGTTTTGTATCAGAGAGGTTATTGCAGTAGACAAGAGGTACGTGTATGCGTTAAAAGATATGGAAGGAGCTTGTGAAGGATTAGTTAAGATCATCAGAGACTCTGTTTCGACTAGCTCGGCGAAAGCATCGCTAATGGTGATTTATAGAGCGATTTCTTGTAACGACCAGATCGCTGCAAGATTTGTGAGACTGGGTTTGGTTGAAGTGATCACAGAGATGATGGTGAACAATGCCGAACAGAGCGTTTGCGAGAGATCTCTAGTTGTTCTTAACGCTATATGCGATAACGAGCAAGGCAAAGAAGATGTTCTTAGAAACGCTTTGATCGTTCCTCTTCTAGTTAAGAAGGTTCTTAGAGTTTCGGATCTCGCGACACAATGTTCGGTCTCGATTCTTTGGAAGCTATGGAAGAATAATGGAAAATCTGATGATTGTTTGCTAGTTGAAGCTCTTCAAGTTGGTGCCTTTGAGAAACTTTTAGTGCTCTTACAAGTCGGGTGCGAGGATAAGACGAAGGAGAAAGCGAGCGAGCTCTTACGGAATTTAAACCGTTGTAGAAACGAGATCGAGAAGACAAATTGTGTCGATTCTTCAATGCATTTGAAGAATGTGAAGAAATCATTCTAATCAAACAAACAAAACACACTATTATTCTTTGTAGTTACTCTGTTTCTAAATAAACTGATTTTTTGAAATTTGCCAGAATCATTATGTTTCAACAGCCAAGTACAACTTTTGTCCATCACTAATCAAATCTACATCAATAATTTTAGCTTCATCTTCAGACAATACACAAGAAGCTTCTGGAACCTTCAGCTGTTCCGCTGCAGTTTTTATAAGCTCCTCGATGCTTCGAGGCACCCACAGTACAATCCCGCGCCTTCTTTTCTCTTTCGAATCACCAGGATGTGCAAAATACACTGTACATTTCTTTTTATATACTTTATCTGCAAATTATTCGAATAAACAAACTGCTATGTTAAAGTCTTAAATCTGAGAAAACATCGGTACTTTGACTTATATGCCGGATATACTACCTTTAGGCTCTTTGGAGCCACTCGGAAACGAAGAGATTTGAGAATTCTTAGCGTCTTCGAGTAATTTTATCAACATCTTGTTCCCACAACCTAGGGCTTCATCAAGAGGAGTGTTTCCCCATCTGATTCAAATACAAAAAAACAGTTAGCAACCGCGAAAAAACAAACAGATCTTTGTTTATTAAGATAACGAATAAAAAAGAAGTTACCTGTCTTTTGCAAGAACATTAGCACTTGCTTCTACCAATTGGATTGCCAAGACATAAAATCCTTCAGAGGCAGCTACATGAAGAGGTGTTCTGTGATCATAATCTTTGGAATTAGGATCAATTCCGTTACTGAGAAGTCGTTTCAAGAAATCGCTGTCTCCTTTCGCAACCACTGTGCAAAGGAAAGTCCCTGCATTCTCTATGTTCAACGTAGCTCCTTCTTTAACAAGCAACGCCGCAACACGATCATTCCCATTCTTGATTGCTTCTAGTAAAGGTGTGCTCCCCAATTTATCTTTGATATTTACATCAACTGATTCTTGAATAAGATATAATGTAATGTCTTCATATCCTCTAGAGGCTGCAAGATGCTGTTAAGACAAAAACTTGTTAGATATCTTCCAATGTTTGATTAAAGATACCGAGAAGCTGTAGAAGCATACCAATGGCGATCTTCCGTCATAATCTGTCTTATTCGGGTCACCTCCAGCTCGAATCAAACTCTTAAGCTGATAAAGATCACCGTAGAAAGCCGCACTATTCAATTTCAAAGCTAGCTCTGCCTCTTGTTTACTGATATGAAAGGTTATATCGGATTCTAGTTGCTTAATCCGAACATTGGATTCTTTCCCTTCAAGCAGATTGTTGAGAATCCTCCGTCCATCGTGGAAATATATCTCAAGTATGTTCATAAAAGATTGCTTGTCAAGCCTTAGAATCCGACATAGCTCTGCAACTCGAACCGTGTAAGGCTGAGGAATATTGCAGAGGATTGAAATCTCTCCAAAAGAATGATCTGGTTCTAGAAGTGCCACTATTTCTTCAGATCCATCCTTAGCTATACCTATCTCCTCCTGATTATATTACAAGAAGTTTGGTTTACTAACTGAGATTTTTAAATATTCCTAACATTTTGTTTGACGAAAACGCAGAATTTCGCTTACCAATACACCGTGACAAACAAAGTAGAGCTGATCAACGACGCTTCCTTGCTCCATTATAACTTCTCCAGGGAGAAAGAACTCTTCATGAAGTCTTATAACCTGTAATAGAACCAAAAGTTTGCTCTTGAGTTACCTGAAGAAAGAAAGTCAATTTCCACAGTCAAAATCAAAAGGCTTACAATCTGGTTAATGAATTCAGCTGAGCACCCGCGGAAGAGAGGAACTTTCTCAATATACGGCAAGTATAAAGTTTGCGCAATCTGCAGTAAAAACATAAGCTTACATCTGTTCATCATCTGAATCTGAATAAGCATCTCTAAAGCATTCATCAATACCTTCGCGCGGATAGAGACAGGGATGTCTTGAAGAACAGCTGCCTCAGTGTAGCTGCTTTCGTACTGCAACCGCAAATGTCCGGTAATCTGACCACGGATGTTTCTACCGAGTTTGTTTCGGTTCATATACCGCATAATATCAGCCATCTTATCCCGGAATCTCTCTGTTTTCGAACCTTTTACAATCAAAGCTGTCATGTTACCAATCAAGTAAGCTCCTAGAATCATATCGAATGAAATGTAGACCATCGCGAATATCATTTCCCGCATATTAACCGCGTGTATATCTCCATAACCTGCATCAAAGGAATAGGCATATAAAAAATCAAAGCAAACGATTCACCAAGTTTTCAGTTATCAGAACTTACCAACAGTTGCCATAGTAACAACTGCAAAGTACATAGAAGTAGTGTATCTAGTCCAAAGATCGATCTCTCTAAACTGCGAGTAACTGTAATCTCCTAACTTCAAGCTTCCAATCCATGTATACCCTTCTTGAGAAGCAGGCAGCGTCGTGGCCAAGTAATAGAAGATACAAGCTGCGGTGTGAGTGCAATAAAGCTCGACGAAGATAAGCTTGACGATTCTTGTAAATAGGTAATTGATTCTTATATCTTTCTCCATTTTGTGGAAAAACAGGATTACTCTATGAACTCGATATAGCCTTATCAACAATAGGTATCTCACTTCTTCTTTTTCGCCTGCAGCCTGTTTTTTTTTTTAATTTTTCAGTTTCAAATTCCCCATTTGGTTTCTCGCAACTCACGGTGTTAGCAAAATCAAAGAGTAAAAAGTGTACCTTGTAGATGATATCCCATGGCATGCAAGCAAGTAAATCAATAATAAAAGTTGATTTTAAGTACCTGCAAAAATGGCAAACACCATGAAAAGGTTAATATCGTTCCTTTGAATAGAAGAATCTTGTGAACACTTATCATATGAGTCTACTAAACACATAGCAAGAAGAGAGAAACAGAGGAGAGTTAGAATACCGTAAAGCGATTGAGCTGCGTCTATAGATCATTCTATAAGTTCGGCTATCTCGATAAGCGACGAAGAATGTCAAGACAATATCTACTAAGAAAGCGATTTGGCCAGCGATATCGAGGATGAAGAGATTCTCTGGTAATCCCCTGAAGAAACCGAATTCCAATGGAGTGAAGAAGGAAGAATAAAGTGCCCATATCAATATAAACATCGTCCACGCCTTGTACCACCTGCAAATCGAAGAATTTTGTTAACAATTTTTAGTAGCTAGACTAAACTCATTACTTCTAATATTGCTCCAAACATCAGCGAAACAGAGTTTTCTTTGGTCTGACGTGTACAGACTCATCATTGGCCGTTAGATTTTTAACGAACGATCATTTGTGACCATTGAGAAATTGATACGTGTCATAAAGTGGCGGGAAAAATGAATGAATAACCGAATAAAATGTAATTACACTAAAACCCACAATGAAGCCCCTAACGTTTTCGTTTTCACTACAATTGACCCAAAACTTGGTATTGCCTTCTAAATTTCTTTCTTTGATTAAAGTTATTATAGCTTAAAATCTATAGTTTGATTTCTATAAGATTTACTTTTAGTCAAAATAAGTAAAGAATATTATTTACCCTAAATCCATATAGCAAAGTAAGTGGACTAGAATGAAATAAAATAAAACGTAGGGGCTAGTTGTGAAACTATGAAATAATGAAAGGACTCGGAACAAAAACTTTCAAAAGCGTGACGAGAATTTATGGTTTTACCGGTTATCGGGATGAACAATGGAGCCTCTGGAGATATCTCTGATTCCATTAATGACGGTGAACTTTCCGCCGCTACCGCCGGCGAAGTCTAACCCTAAGAAATTGGTGAGAGGATTGAATCTGTTTCCTCGCGATTCTACAATACCATCTCTAAAATCATCAACCTCGTAATCCTCCAATTCCACGTCTGATTCGCCGCCGCTCCGGTAAGAAACTCCGCCGCCGCTACTACCTCCCATTACACCTCCGAATCACGAAACCAGATAATCGGATATATGACGAAGAAGACAATCTCTCTGTTTTTCTCTCTCTTCTCTTTTTTTCTCTCTTATTTCCTCTTTTTTTTTTTTTTTTTTTTTGTGATTTTCAGTTATATGCCTAAAATTGGCGCCTGTGTTTTCAAATTTTGAAATTTATCAGATAGAGAAGAAAATAGCAACTCAAGTTATTCCGATGAACAACACCAACGAATCGGCGAAATTTATAGACAAATTTTCGTTTTTTTTTTGGTTAGTGCTGTTATTTAATTTTCTTATATTAAAAGTTCAAATTGTGATTGAAAACGCCCATGCTATATTAATATTTTTATGGCCACAATAAAAGATAACGTAGTGTAAAAGAATAATCATATGTTTAAAAAAATAAGGTGAACCAGTGAGATATGGGTTTATTTTTAGTATGACCTATGAAGAGCACCATATAAGTGATAAGAGTCTTTTATAACCACAAGATAAATAATGTCATTAAATGTTACATGTGATAAGGTTTCGTGATGTGATAAAGTTTGAAGAGTCACTTTTTCGATCATTTTATTCGTAAAGGTTTCTATCTTTCTAATGTAGAACGATTTATCCTTTATCACGTTTAAACATGCATAAGAGATTAGAGATCAAGGAAAAAAAAAAGAGATTAGAGATCATAAGGATAAACACTTATGATTGTATGTACTATTTTATAAGATATTGTTTGGTTATGGTGTTTTGTCTCTCTTTTTTTTTTCTGAAATTTACATGAAGACGATGAGTTCGAAAAATTATACTTTATAAAAAAAACAATGTCTATAAAAATAATCTTAAAAATTTTGGAAAACCCAAGTTGGGATACAAGTGTTATGATGGATAGACTCTAAACTGAAATGTCCCTAAACTTTGATTCCCGTTGTGGTAACACTTTACCATTATAAATTCACGTGACAATTTAAACCATATGATTTGTCAAGACTAGATAATGTTAAGGTATTTTTAGGAGATTGAGCAGTGGCGGAGGTAGAATTTAAATTTACCGGGGTCAAAATATAAAAAATATTTTAATAAAGTGTGGTTGTTTTTTTTCTTCAAATTATATTGCATATAGCTTATGTTTTTTTTATTACATTTACAAAAATGAAATTCTGATATTTATAAAAACATTTGGTTTGTCTAAAACATGATAATAAAATTAAAAACAAAGAAACTTATATATAACAATTAGTGGTTATAGTCTATATCATTTTGTAATATTAAAAAAGTTATGGTTTAAGGGGTCAAAAGAGTAGTTTTCATATTGGGCACTGGGGTCAAAAAATAGGAATTTAATCAAATATCTATGTATTTGTTTAAATATGTCATAATATTAGTTTGATTTTGAAAATTCACCGGGGTCAGTTGACCCCATGTTTCTATGCTACCTCCGCCACTGAGATTGAGTGCATTCAGTTAGGTCAGAAATAATTAGTTAACCAATTTATGTTCTTATGGGGAATTAGTTTATATCATCAATTGTGCATTAACCGACCTTTGCTTTGTCTGTTCTCTCTTTTGTTATGTGGACTCCTTTTCAAGTTATAAACAAGATAAAATTACGTTGTTATTTCCTTGTTTTTGGTTATATATATCGATTTTAATATTTCATGTCAATGGTTTATGATGGAAAGCCTGTTGCAATTTTTAAGCATATGGTTGGCACTCACAAACAGTCCAAAAATTCATTAAAATATGAATATGTTTAGTTAGTGGTCTTCCTTCTTGAATACTTGACCCCTAATTAGTTCCTAAACATATTTGACCCCTAATTGGTTTCTGTAAATGTCTAAATTGTTTATATACATACATTGATTTGTTTAATACATAGTGTTTTAAGATGATTGTGAAATTTTCCACAAAGTGATCAAAATCTGAAACATTCTAACTCAAAAACTAAAATGATTCGACCACCAGTCATCAATCAGTTTTTGAGTTTACCACCTGAAACTGCTCGAAACTGCCACAGTTTCAGGTCTCTTCCCCGAATATTCCGGCCTTTTTGGCAACTCTGGTTATGAAAGTTACGTTCTTGAATTATACCCATTAACCGATATCTATACTCAAATACCAATTGATCCTCTGAAACTGCAGATAATTCTATATCATGAGATTGATTCGTTTTCACTGTATATTCTAAGAGAACATTGAATGTTTTACCAGGGTACAGATTTTGAAACAGTCTTTTATAGTTTTATTCAAAGATGTTGAGCTCTCCAATCAACAGCGGAATCCTCGTCATCCTCCTCATCGCTGAGGGATTCTTCCTCGGTCTTCTTCGGCTTTTTAACAGACCCCTCAGAGGTTTTACTACGCTTAGCTAATCTAGCTGCTTTAAGTTCCCTTTTCCTCCTCTTTAGAATCTCTACTTTCTCTTTGTATGATCTGCAGAAAAAGATTAAAAAGGAGATCTAAGTGTTTACTTAATCTTAAACAAGTTTCAATATTTTCATCTTCTTGCTATAACAAACTTATGTATCAAATCACCTTTGCTCTCGTTGTTCCTCCTCTTCTATAGTTTCCGCAGCATCAACCTGAGGATTAGTGTGCGAGAAAAGCGATTTTAAGTTTAAGAAAGAGCTTATGATACTGTCAGCAATTTATCATAGTGACAGAGAGTTATCTGACCTCTTCTTCTTCCATGCGGCTATCCACTACCTGCAGATCATCTTGTATCAACTTCTCAAATTCTTTATATTCATCCCTGTAAGAAGATCCATGTTTATATAAGTTCACTAAGATAATTCTTAGGTACAAGCCCATAAGATCATATGACCCATTCAAATTGAGAATGTAAGAAAGTAACTGGACAACAACAATGAGGTTTCAATTTCATTTTCTGCATCTGGAAAAGTAAAAGCAAAAAAATAGAAACTCACTTGATATCTGGTTTGACGAGCTTTATTCCACGGGCAAGCAGGTCAGCTTCTTTATTATCAAAAAAACCGGTCGGAAGGTTTCCTTTCACCACAGATTTTGTTTCTGAACCAGTGGTCTGTGTCTGACTCTGTTTAGGTTCACTGGTGGTTTTGGTATTTGAAGAATCAGTTTTCTGATTATCAAAGAATCCGGCTGGAAGTGGTCCCTTTGAATTGTTTGTTTCTGAACCTATAGTCTGCTTGGATTGCTCTATATTCTTGGATATTGCTGGTTCTACTTCTGCAGATTCTGAACACATATTTGACCAATAAGTTTTTGCCATGAGATACAATAACGGAAACTCGATTGACAAATGAAACTACCAATAATAATATTTCAAAATCCTAAGACTATAGCCATCCACAAAACTAGCAACTAAACCAAAACTCTTCGACTAAGAAATGTATTGGTAAAACTTTCCTGGTTGAGAAAAAGATATGAACAAGAAGAGGAAAGTGCATAAGCCATTACCTCTAGCAGGCTCATGATTTTCGAAGAAATTTGGCGGAAGACCAGATGATGTCTGAGATTTGGATGATTTAGCCAAAGCTTCAGTTTTTGCTGGCCGAGTTTCAGCAGGTTTGGTACCCCGTTGGACTCCCGCTGCACTAGCCTTCAGATTATCAATTGCCTGTCCCAACATTAAATAACGAAAGCTAAGTTACTAAGATTAAAGAACATAAAACAGAGACTCTAAAGCCAGCTACGATACGATTCAGTAGCAATCCATAATCCATAAAAGAGCATGAAATCTACCTACCTTCAATAGTAATTAATCAAATATCCCATTGTTACTCATGTTAAAAGAGAATGTGAAGTAAGCTTATGGAGCAGAAGACACTGACTTTACCTCGTGGTGCTTACGAGAAGCTTGATGAACATCCCAGAGCGATTCAGATTTCAAGACGACATTGCAAACTCGACACACAGGCTGGTCTGATTCGTTGTACCTGCAAATCCAAAGAACATAATCATCAGCACAACTTGTAATCGCCAATAACTACAATTCAAGCCCATTCCCAGAACCCACAGATTCTAAGCGGGGATTTGTTCAATTAGAGGTTTTTGGATTCGCAGGAGCCCAGAAGTGACATCGAAACGAAGAGAAGAAGCAAGACTGGTTTACCTAACGAGAGGAGAATCTATGCGGGTGTCTTTCTTCTTGGCGTTGAGTTTAGAGCGAAACATCGCCTTCTTCTTCGCTTGAGCATCCATCACTCTCCTTCGAAGCAACCCACCCAGGAAATTTAACGCAACTCCCAAATTATCAGAACCTCGGAAGATATTCGAAGATCTGAGAAATTCCTTCTACACAAAACAAACCCTAAATCCTTACCGTGAGAATCAAAATTCCTGGCTCACTCCGTTCTTCTCCGCAATCTGTTCTCGTTTACGGGTCGGGTCGATCCAAGTCGGGTTTAGACTTGAGACTTTCGGGCTGGCTCTGGGTCGGTAACTGGGCCAGACTCATTATCTCCATTTTCCTCTGGTCATTTTTTTTGGGCCGATTGGTAACAACTATTACTTTCGGCGGTAGAGATTTTCGCTGTAAATACTTTGGCTGTAAAAATTTTGATTATAAGAACTTTAACTTTAGATAATTTAACTGTTAAAATATGATTACCAAAAGCTATAAAAATTATGATTTTAAATAAAATAAATACAGCGAATATAAATCCAAACTGTGATATAACAATAAAATTCACACAAAAAACTTTATGAGAAGTTTTTCTACATTCATATTTCTTTATTTTTGTATCAAATATAATATCTGATGTTTTTTATATATATACATAAGTGGATCTTAAAAGAACAGGAAAAAAAATCAATTGTAAATTAGTTAATACTTTTTTAAAATTAATTTTCCAACGAATTTTATCAGAGGTTTTCATATATTGTATATGACAGGTAATTTTTTTTCATCTAAAAGGCCGATTGGTTACTTACTTTTGGACTCTAAAAACTTTAGCTGTAAAAGCTTTAACTTTTTTAAAAATTATGATTTTAAATAAAGTAAATTACAGCAAATATAAATCCAAACTGTGATATAACAACAAAATTCACACAAAAAAACTTTATGAGAAGTTTTTATACATTCATATTTCTTTATTCTTGTATCAAATATAATATCTGATGTTTTTTGTTTATATATACATAAGTGGATCTTTAAAGAACATGAAAAAAATCAATTCTAAATTAGATAATACTTTTTTAAAATTAATTTTCCAACAAATTTTATCAGAGGTTTTCATATATTGAGAAAAATAAAATTAAAAAACTATTAATTTTTATTCTTTTAAATTTTAAAGTCAGGTTTACGTGGCTTTAGAAAAAAAACTGAATTCAAAGAGTAAAAAAAAAAAAGACTTTAGAGACTTAAAAATTACTTAAAGCCAAAAAAGTGTGATTGGGAAAATAAAAACTTTAAATGCTTTAAAACTTTTCTAAAGCTTTAAAAGTGTTTACAAATCACCCCCTAAATGATATTTGATAAACCTTTGAAGGAAACAAAGACCATACAGTGAAGTTATACATATTGGTAAAAAAGTAAATAGTTCCAAAAACAAAGCTAGAAAGGAATTTTTAGAGACATAGGCCCAAAAGGGCGGACTAAAGAAGGAAAACCTTAAAAATCAAGAAAATGGTGAATTAAGAAAGAAAACTTTAAAGAAAACCTCTCAGAATTAACATGGTTTTAGACTAAAAAATATTTATTATTTTCTTAAAATTTAAGTGTTAAATTTGTTTTAAATTTTAGTAAAAATCATTATTATTTTTAAAAAATAAGTTTAAGTGTTAAATCTATATTACGTGAAAACATTGCCGAACTTCGAACACCAAAGCTTACAGACTAACTAAGGACATGATGCCTAAGCGCGGTTAGTTTTTGACGTTTTTAAAATTTAACACTTAAACAAATTTTTTAAAAATAATAATGAAATTTAATTTTTTTTTAAGTTTAAGTGTTAAATTTGTTTTAATTTTTAGTGTAAATCATTATTACTTTTTAAAAATGAGTTTAAGTGTTAAATATTACCGAACTTCGAACACCAAAAGCTTACAGACCAACTATGGACAGGATGCCTAGGCGCGGTTAGTTTTCGAAGTTTTTAAAATTTAACACTTAAACAAAATTTTTGAAAATAATAATGAAATTAACATGATTTTAGTTAAAAGCATTAATTTTTTTTTTAAGTTTAAGTGTTAAATTTGTTTAAGTTTTAGTGAAAATCATTATTATTTTTTAAAAAATGAGTTTAAGTGTTAAATCTATATTAGAAAACATCCCGAACTTCGAACACCAAAGCTTACGGACCAACTAAGGACAGGATGCCTAAGCGCAGTTAGTTTTCCCCATTTTTAAAATTTAACACTTAAACCAATTTTTAAAAAATTAATAATGAAATCAACATAGTTTTAGTTAAAAGTTATAAATTATTTCTTAAAGTTTAATGTTTTAAATTTTAGTGCAAATCATTATTATTTTTTAAAAATGAGTTTTAGTGTTAAACGTATATTACGTGAAAATATGCCGAACTTCGAACACCAAAACTTACGGTCCAACTAAGGACATGATGCCTAGGCGAAGTTAGTTTTTGACGTTTTTAAAACTTAACATTTAAACTCATTTTAAAAATTATTAGTGAAATTAACATGGTTTTAGTTAACAATTATTAATTATTTTCTTAAATATTTAAGTGTAATGTTTGTTTTTAAATTTTAGTGAAAATCATTATTATTTTTTAAAAATGAATTTAAGTGTTAAATCTATATTACGTGAAAACATCCCGAACTTCGAACACCAAAGCTTACGGACCAACTAAGGACAGGATGCCTAAGCGCGGTTAGTTTTCGACGTTTTTAAAATTTAACACTTTAACCAATTTTTAAAAAGTAATAATGAAATTGACATAGTTTTAGTTAGAAATTATTAATTATTTCTTAAAGTTTAAGTTTTAAATTTTAGTGAAAATCATTATTATTTTTTAAAAATGAATTTAAGTGTTAAATCTATATTACGTGAAAACATCCCGAACTTCGAACACCAAAGCTTACGGACCAACTAAGGACAGGATGCCTAAGCGCGGTTAGTTTTCGACGTTTTTAAAATTTAACACTTTAACCAATTTTTAAAAAGTAATAATGAAATTGACATAGTTTTAGTTAGAAATTATTAATTATTTCTTAAAGTTTAAGTTTTAAATTTTAGTGAAAATTAAATCATTATTATTTTTTAAAAATAAGTTTAAGTGTTAAATCTATATTACGTGAAACATGCCGAACTTCGAACACCAAAGCTTACGGACCAACTAAGGACAGGATGTCTAGGCGCGGTTAGTTTTCGACGTTTTTAAAATTTAACACTTAAACTATTTTAAAAAAAATATTTATATTTATAAATGTTTTAGTGAAAGTTTTAAACTAATTAGTTTTAGGTTTACTTAAATAAGTTTTAAAGAAAAGAAAAACAAAAATAAGAATGAAAAAGAATAATGTACCTTGTTGGAAGTGGTAGCAAAGAAGCCCCTACAAAGCTCATTCCAAAACCAAATTTAGTGGAATCAGGCCTTGATGGTTTCTCCTGCAGCAGCAGCATTATTAGCCTTTGATTGCTTCTCCTTGTAGTCTCTGACCGCAGACTTGATAGCGTCCTCTGCAAGCATATTGCAATGTAGCTTGACGGGTGGCAACATTAGATGCTTTGCGATTTCACTGCAAATTCAAGAATCCCAAAACAATGACTCATCCATCAAAATCTTCACCATATCACTAGATTTGGGATATTCCAAGAACCGAAACAGAGTTAGAGATAACAACCCTGACGATATATCTAAAGAGGCAGGAATAGAAACATGATTTGGCAGATTGTTAAAGGGCACTTAAACATTCTTGATGGTCAAAAGCTGAACCAAACAAATATACAAATTAAAACCTGTCTACATATCCCTGACTCTGATCATGAGCCTTTAAAACGAATCGAACAAAATTGGAAACCATGATTGGAAGACATACCAACGGAAGAAGAGGCGATAGCAGAGCCACAGCCAAAGGTCTCGACTCGATTGTCAACGATCTGACCGGAATCATCGACCTTAATCTGGAGGCTCATGAGGTCCCCGCAAGAAGGAGCGCCTACCAATCCAGTGCCAACGTTAGGGTCATTCCTGTTGAAGGAACCAACGTTTCTAGGGTTTTCCAAAGTGGTCGACGCCCTAACCCTAAAGAAGACGCTCGTAACCCTAGATAACTAAGCCTTTCTAGATAACTTCAAACTTGGAACATCATCATCATCGAGAAATAGAGAGTTTTGGTTTCTCTCACAAGGAAAGAATTAGAAGAAGCGAGAGAGAGTATCTATTTATAAGCAAAGAAGTTTAAAAGAAAAAGGAAATTGCTAATCACAACTAACGGTCACATTAAGATTTCCTTTTTCTTTCGATGCCTTTATTTCCTAATTTTTTCGATGGCTTTATTTCCTTTATTTTTGTTTTGTTTTTATGTGAGTGAATCTGCTGAGTTTAATAAAGGTGAAGAATCAACTCATTGCCTGAGTCGATGATCCGATCCTCAAAAGTATACTAACCACAACACTGTCTTCTTTCATGTTAGGATCATGATTCATAAGAGTACTTCAAAGTCCAATGTACGTTGGTACTGGCTGCATCTTCCGCCTAGAGCAACAGAGAGCATCATTGCTGGTTTGGAACAAGAAAGGTCGAGACTATCTCTAAGGAAACCAAAAGCTAGCTATGATGAAGAAAGATGACATCTCTTTGCCTGTGAATGGAGAGAATACAACAAAGAATATAATGTGATGGAGATATCTAATCTTTGCTTCTCTTTTCTGACAGCTCTGAAAGAGATCTGGTTACTCAAAAAGTCTCGTTTTCCGGTAGCTGATAGTCTAGACTCTAGTACATGTGTTTGAAGAATATATGCAAGTTGTGCTGAAAAGAAAAGCAAAGAGGAAATGAGTTTTGGTGATTAAATCTGAAGTGGAAGGATTGGCATGGGTTGTTCTTATACGTGTATATATCCAGTTTATGGAGCAGAAGCAGATTCAGAGAAACGATCCGAAGCATAAAAGTGAGATTACTGGCACTAAAGAAGGATGAAATTAGCAAATTAGGGTTAAATTATGCAAATTCGATTACAAAATCAAAAATGTATCAACACAATGAAAGAACCGAATTCATTCAATACCAAACACATGAAGTTTTTAAATTGAGTTCACAAGGGGGGAGTAATTAAAAAAGAAAGAAAATAATTGGTTTCTTGTCAACAATTGAGTTGGTTTCTTTCTACCGAAAAGAAATACTCTCTCCCTTGTTACCAAACTAACATATAGTGAGGTTTTTTAATTGAGTTCATCATAAAGTTGACACCATATTGTAAAACAATAGATGACTTCATGCCCCTGTAAGCCGCAACGCCTCTGCGAATAACTCTTTGAGAGAAGAGTTGGAAGCCGCGATCCTCTGCG